ACAGCAGACACGTCACTTGACACGCCACTCAGGGTGTGTTTAATACGGGGTCTAGAGCCGGAACAGACACGTCACTTGACGCACCACTCAGGGTGTGTTTAATACGGGGGTCTACAGCCAGGAAGACACGTCACTTGACATACCACAGGGTGTGTTTAATACGGGGTCTAGAAGACAGGCACTCGCAGCCTTACACAGCCAGCACACAACACTCCCGACCAGTATAGGGGAGACTCTGCCCAGATACTCAGGGCAACCACCATCCGAGACTTCCGCATAGGTCTCAATACACCACAATCACCCGCACACCACCACACAAGCAGTTATTCAAGGATCATAGCCCGCCCGGCTTAGTCACGAACTCGGCGAAGCCACTGTTGGAAAAGCAGGAAACCCCACACGCTTTGCGGCAGCATCAGGGAATCAACATCGCCCAACCCCTCACCCCTTTTCACCTATCAATCATCCGATTCCCGGATAGCATACGACATCGCGCCCGCGCCCGTGCCCGCAATGTCCGCGCCCGCAATGTCCGCGCCCACGCCCCCGCCCCCGCCCGCAGCGTCCGCGCAGGCAACGCCCGCGCCCGCATCCACATCCGCGCCTGCAACCGCTGTACCCACGCCCGTATCCATGAACGCGACACCGGTGTCCGCGTCCGAGTCCGCCAAGCCCCGCGATGGTACGTATGATTTTGACATTGATGTGGTAGACATGTATACGCTTGCGCGAACGGCCCACATTCGCCGCGAGGCCACCGATACAACCGTCATCGCCCTCGCAGAACAAGGTTACCTCGCAGCAAGTCCCGTCTCCCCGACTCTGGCCATCACCTTCAACACTCTCGAGCACTTCCGTCTGCTCCGCCTCCGTAAGCCCTCTTTCAGCGTTGAAGCCTTTGCAAAGGTGTTATGCGATTCCTACGCTGTATGTGCCCAGAAGTTTCAATATATTTTCGGCATATCCTAACTGTAAGCGTACATGACTATCTAGCTCCCGTATCGTCGTAGATATCGTACGGCGCTGAGTGATTGCTTTGATGCATATCTCTCGGTGCTTCGCGTCATCGAGAAGCGTATCAAGACGCGATTGGGGCGCGACACCCCAGACTGGAGAGTTAAGAATGCATGCCCAGCCTGTTGTTATGAGGTCAGTTCAGGCTTGGCATCTGCAACCTGCAATTCACGCCCCATCCACCAGCTTGAGGAAGAGCCGCCACTCAAGTTTGCGCGCCTCTTCTGCTTCGACGGCAACAATTCCCTCAAACGGGTGGCAAAATTCGGGGATCGTGAAGTTGCAGACACGCGCGAGTTCACGGAAGGCGACTACTTCCTCTCGCCGGACTTCGTAGACAAATACAAGGACGAAGTCAATGGTGCTTCCGCGCGAGGTCCCCAAATCGCCGATCCGTCTGATCGCGATTCCGATGCTGATGAAGACGAGCCACCGGAGGAGAGCGGTCCCGCCGGCGACTGCACGCGCAACTGGAAGGCTGCCGCTCCAGAGCAAGACAAGAAGATGTGGGCAATATTTGACGAAACAGGTATCTTTGCGAGTGCGTGCCGCCACGGGTTCATCCTATGGATTACAGACATGATTCGGAGTGGCGAACTGTAAGTCCGTTCCTCGCGGGCGGCTCTGTTATTGACGTCCTCGCGACAGATTCAAATACCCGATCTCCATCGTAGCCAAGGCACTCTCCACACTCGGTCCGCGTCTATTGATCGGGTTCGATGTAGGGTGCTCGCTCTCCGGGACAATCGATCGAAGTTCGCTCGGGCCAGACTTCCGGCGTCTTGAATGCCGCTGCTGTGTGGATGTATTCCACGGTTACTCACACAGCCATCAATGCCAAACCAAACACCATCCGACTGCGATCGAGGGCGCGGGCCTCGAGGATCTAGGGACTATGGAGCGCGTCTTCAGCGGGTCCAATCAGCTGGCGTCTGTCATTCGTTATGCGAGTCGCTACCATCGGCACGTCCTTATCGACATGTACTTCAAGCAGTGGGATGAGGACAAGTATTCCAACCTGGCAACTATGCTGCTCAACAACTATCAACAGGCCCTCAAGATCATCCAGGATGACACTACCGCTGTTCAGGATGCATTGGGTGTCCTGGAGTGTACCACGGAGGACCTCCATACATGGGGGCAAGAGGAGGCCGCCTACTTCGCTACTGTCGGGACAGAGGACCCCGCCAATATCGCTGCGGTGGAGTACGTCACCCTTCTGCGGGAGCTTCGCGTAATCGAGTGAGTGCGCCACCGCCAATCATTTCCTTACCAGGTACTAATGGATTCGGGATTTCGATCAGGAACCAGCTCAGTAACTCGACGTCGGCATTCGTCGCTTCTGTTCCCGAAGACTGGTCTTCCACAACACTCGCGGCGCGGGCGGCCAACCCAGCATACGAGGCGGACGCCGCTCGCACTCGAAAGCGGGAGACGGAAAGACGCCTCTTGCGTGAGAAGTGGGACCGCACCCTGCGCGATGTCATCGCGCTCGAACTGAAGATGGGCATTCAAGACAGCCGGTGGCAGCCCGACACTCCCGAGTATGTGACCTCTATGCAGTACATCTCGGAGCGCGACTACCGCGTGGCCCTCGAGAAGCTTCATGGACTCGTCGTGCAGCGTCTCTTCGAGCTGCATAACCTTAACATCTCGCAAACAGGTACGTTGTATGTATCCTCATATATATAATCTAACTCTCTTGTTGTATACTGCAGCATACAAAGTTCGGACATACATTGCGAAGAATCTGCAACGCAGGTCTCAAGCGATTCGTACAGCAGTCAAGCAGTACAACACCGCTGCAGAGGCGCTCAACCCTCCTCGACCGCCTCTCGATTGGACGAAGGTCACGCATTACTCATTCCTGGAGGAATTCGAGTTGCTCCGCGACACAGGCAACACTCTTCGCACTAAGCGGTGGGCCGAGCCTTTGGCACGCGAAACTATGAAGAAGGCTAGACATATCGCACGCGCCCACGAAGAGATTCTTCGCTGCAACGTGGAGGTTCGCCGCCTTCACACATCGATCGTGAACGAGAATGCAACACTCAATACCGCTTGTCGCCTAGCGCGCGTCGAAGGGAATTCCGTATCAGGGCCCCTTGAGATATTTGCCCTGCGCCGCAAACGGGTGAACGCCCGTCTCCTTGCCGTGATCTCACAGATACACGCGCTTCCCGGATACACGGGTGACACACATTGCGGTCAGCGCAAAGGCGCCTCGGCGCGTACTGTGCCAGACTCTGGGGCCCCCGCGGCCCCCGTTCCTGAAGAAGTACAGAGCGAACTGGACGAGCTTTCGGATGAGAGTCAAGGAGATGCGGTGGATGACGCGGACATGGTAGATTTAGGCAGGCTCGTCAATTTCGCAATGAATGTAACGTAGACGATAGATGTACGGACTTGTAATCGGCGGACAGAAGACTCATGACGTAGATTGCGGCCGATCTGCAAGATCAAGAGATCACTCCGATGTTATCGGAGGTCGTCGATCACAACGGCGCCTGGCTCTTGGCCACAGTGGCGGTACCCCGCTCGTCGTTCCTGGTCCTAGCGCCCACATGCCGACGCTTCCAAATTAGGTGTATGGCACTCCCAACCTCAAACTCTCCAGGCTCGGCCGGCCATAGCTCCATCCTCGCGCTACCAATTTGCTTCAATCCTTTTACGCATTGTGCGCATTACATGGGGAAACGCAAAACATAATTTTTGCCAACGCTACGTGATGTCTTCGTAATGAAATACACGAATTACGCTGAAAACACCTTCCCCTCCCAAGAACTACCTATGTTAGCTGCACTTCGTTCTTCCACGGCCTGAAAAAATTATATATGGGTGACCTAATATTGTGAGATTAGAACAAGAGCCTATACACTGCATTTGGCTCAGCAATCACTATGCAGCATCTTCAACTCCAAGGGGAGGACATGCATATATTCTCTATCCTACAGGACCTGAAATCGGCTGGCGCGTTTGGGCGCATTGATGCGATCTTGTTTCTTATATTCCATTGTATACTATCTGAGCTTTTTAGGAGTCACAGACCACTGAAGAATTCAGAATGTCTGATTTACCGAAAAGCGCCGATTTCTTGACATACATTGCGACATATAGCCTGGCTCCCACCCTGCAGCCTCGTATAATGTATTCCATTACATTCCTCATTTCGGTACGCATCTTTCAAGCCCAAAAACATGTTTCTCCGTCAAATATCGAGAGAGATATAATGTTCGCAGTGCTCAGGACCAGCAGTTGTGCACAGTTCGTTGTAGATTTCAGTGCATAAAGCCTTCACAGCTTGTACAACGGCTGTTCTCGGACACTTCATGAGCCATATCTCAGTCTCTACTGCACGGATAGCCTTGCGTAGTAGCGTGTTCTGTGCGTATGTAAAGGGGCTATCCAGCCAGGCCATTTTTATGTTTTCAGCATAGGTGCCGGGGACCATATGTTCTGTTTGGTATGTCAGAAACATATGATTTACGAGAAACCAAAACCAACTTCGCTGTGCTTCATTTGATTGGTCCATATCTTCCAAAAATGCACTTGTGTAGCCGTAGAAGCGACTTGTATAGCCCGATCAAAGCTCGTCAGCCGTGCTAAGCTCTGGAGGAATTAGGAAGGTACGTGTGTTATGCCTCAAGAGGCGAAACATTCACGTAATAACCCTGGATCCAGTCATGTTGTAAGAGGGCTTGTTCTCAAGGGTTGATCTTCGGCTATTTATTGAAGCCTTTTCTATTCTGAAAGAGCATGGTACGCAATCAGAATAAGTCATTCTACACAAATTGAGATGGTTGCAGCGTATTTCCTGTATTTCATTGCGAGTACTTTACCTGCAGCTATAAAAAATGGCTCCTTAGGTAGCTCCGTGTAGCGCGCATGCTTCGCAACAAATTTGAAAACAATTCGCTGGGTAGCGCATGAGATATGGCCTACCGAGCACGGAGAGTTTTGAGGTCGGAAGTGCCACACCCAATTTGGAAGTGGCGGCGCGGAGAGCCGCGCGGGCGCTACGCAGTTCCGGCGTTCACTGTTTGTCGCGCTTAGTGTCGCTCCTGACCACCACCACCCCACGCGTATCCCGCCTCACTCATGTCTTCTCCGCGCAAGAAAGCTCCAACGAAGGCCTGGTATGTGACGCTGGGTACAGGGAAGTCGGGAAAGACACAGAAAAAGTAAGTTCACGGTATTGTGAAGCTAGATGTCGCGTGCTCACCATGGCTCCCAGGCCTGCTTTACCTGGGGGCCTATTCATTGATTCATTCCCGATAACCTTCAAGGTTCCCACAGAGGCGCTTGCCGATGAAGTACTCTTGTATCAAGACGCAATCACGGTGATCGAGGCCGCGGAGAGCGTGTATGAGCGGGTCCGGCTTGCGTACACTCTGCCGCTCGGCGACGGCCTTCTCTCGCGCCACATGGAGGAAGAGGGTACCTATGGCCTTTACCCTGTGCTCCATGGTTGGGAATCCGCAGTTTTTATGACCCAGTACGTAGCCGCGCCTCGCTATCTTCGCTCTTACTGACATCTGCGACAGCGCGGAGGCAATCAGCGCGACGAAGGGATTCTATAAGCCCATCTGGAAGAAGGTGCCATCATTCAGGCGGGCCATCGCGTACATGGTATCGGGTGCAGAAACCGAGAAGACGGATGGCGCGGCCGAGCTGCGAGAGCTCCTACAGGCCCATATCTCGAATTGTGAGTAATATTCTATGTTACTGCAACTTGATTAACACGACACAGCTAGCCCGCCTCAGCGCGCTCCTAAGCAGGAAGACGAGGGTGTCACCGGCTTCGCGTCGCCGCAGCGCGCACCTCCGCAAGTTGCGGGGACCCCATCGCGCCGGGGCAACGAGTACGGGCGGTACACCTCGTCCCAGGCGCAGATGTCTTCCCCGATGCCGCCTACCCCGCCTTCTCCCTCGCCCTCACCCTCGCCCCTCTGCGCCGAACCCACCTACCACATCCCTGATGATCCGGCTGAGGTCGGCGGCGGGATCTATCAGCACAGCCGCGATCTTGCTGGGATCACACGCTCACATGTGTTCCCTCTCATCAACACGGTGAAGGTGCCGTCGTGTGGTCCCGCACTTGACATGTTCCTCCAGGCGTTCGGCTACGACACGGAATCCAGATTCACCGTCGCCGACATCTGCAAGAATTCGCGCAATATGGGGGAATTTGTGAAGGAGATCGCTGTGCGTGGTGTGCCGGTTCTTGAAGCTAAGTATCTTTGGATGTTGTATAGCTCTCAGCCCCCTGTAGCACGCTGGGCTGAGACCCACCTCATGTAATTGTATTGGACTATCTGCAACAATGCTATTCTGTATGTCACCTACGTCATGATATTGGGTCTGTCCCTCACGTGATAACACGTGATGGTCGTCAACAAACCTCAGGACCGGAGTTGAATGCTGAACTTCGCGACGCTCATTCTGTCCCGCCTCCTTCAGCCTGCTTGCCAATGGTCCTCCTAGGGAAGGGCAAACGCCTTCCGGCTCGCCTTGAGGCGATTGCAAATCAGCGCAAATACGTAACTCGCTTAGCCCGGAAGCCGTACAGAGTGCGCATCAAGAAGGAGATCATCAAGAAGACTCCTGCGGAAAAGAAGGTGCTTGCGGAAAGACATGTCGAGACGCGTGAGAAGCTGTCAGGCGCATTGGCTACTGCGCGGGATACCATTGCGGAGGAAGCACGGAAATTGCAGGCAGAGTTCGGAGGCCACGACCACAAGTACTACGAGCACCAGATCCTACAATCGTCCCGCATCGCAAATACTACACGGAAGACCAACCCCTGGAACGCATTCATTCGTTTCGAGTTACAAAAATGGAACAACGGTGAGTGCCGAGAAGCATCTGATACATGTTGCGTGTTACTTACGTACAGGTCAGCGCTACCAAAGGACGCTAAACGGTGTTCATCCACCGACCCGGTGTTCCTCGCCATGGCCCGCGCGTTATGGGCGAGCATGTCAGACGAAGAGAAAGCCCAGTTCAATGAGGAGGCAATGAAGGATTTGGAAGAGGCTAAGGAAATGAAAGCCCTGTCAGTACAGAGTGTCCCCATCAACGCGTTCCACGATGCCCGCGCGACCCTCGATGGTATATTCAAAGAGGTACAGACACATATGGTATCTAAAGACCATGGTGATGGACATTAACATCTTCTCGGGACTTCTAGATACAACGGCTCCACGCCCGCACCGGAATCGAGATCGGCCTCGTTGCCGTGCGCTCGGCGAAGAATCATCACACGCCTGCCATGTCCTTTGGGACGTCTGCACGTGTGCATGAATTCATCCAGATGTCGCTTGATACGTCGTTGGACGACATCGCCTGGGGCTTGGAAGCCTACTGCTTGAGCGGCGTGTCCGGTACGCCTCGGTATTCATCATGTCTGATCCTCTCTAATGGGCTCATTTCATAGGTTTACTCGAGCGGAGTGTCGATGTCATTCAAGACCTCCAAAGCCGTACTGCGAGCCTGATTTCGCAAAGGCTAGGTACGCCCTGGATCGTGTGAATTCGGTCGGATCAGCAATCTGACGAATCCCCCCAGGAGATATATCGAAGGGCGCTGTCAAGAAGATGATATACTCCGGCTTCGCGGATCGTATCACGTCGCGTCAAGGGCTCGTCATCGAAGGGTGGCCGTTGAAGGCATTCCAAGCTCCCAGCAGCTTCCGGACACGCCTGGAGCTATCCACGCTTTTCCAAGCATGGGAGCGCAAGACCGCCCATTTCCGAAAGCTCACGGAACCGGAGTGGCGGCAGTGGGAGCAACAGGTCCTCGGGGATTCCGCCGTAAGCATATACGCGGTGAACTTCGCGGTCGGAGTACCCCAGGGCCCGCCCCCGTCCATCGATTCGAGCACGGCTACCACGGCGCCGGCAGACCCCGCAAACACCGAAAATGTGGCACCGGCTGATGGCCTCGCGATTCCCCCGGCTGCTCCCACAGATGCAACGGCTACGGCATCCCCTCCTCAACTTAGTGCAACAGTCGCAGCGGCCACGCCGGGTGAGTACACACAGTGGCGACGAGGCTTAGGCTCTGAACATTGTTAATAATCTGCGTTACAGGTGTCGAGGAAGGCAATGCGAGGGCTGCCGGGGCTGCCAAAACCCGCAAGCGACGGTCGGATTATGGCAAGTCGCACAAGAAGCGGAAGGCGGACGCCCTAGAAGATGCGCGGGCAGCGTCCATGCTTACGCCCGCGTCCGCGCCCACCCCTACTACGTCTGCGACGGCACAAGTCCCCGCGCCGCCTGCGCATGCGCCCGCGTTCGCATCCGCACTCGCGCCCACCCCCGCGCATGTGCCCGTGCCCGTGCCTGTGCCCGCACATCTGCCTGCATCCGCGTCCGTGTCCGCATCCACGTCCGCGCCGGTGCTCGCCAACGCGCATGCAACATCTGCGCGCCTCGACGCGCACAGCCCGCCTACACTCCCATACACGCACGTCGCGCCTTCCCCCGCGTTTCCGCACCCGTCGCTGTCCCCTTCTCACGCATCCGGGTGGTACACGCCCTCCGGTAACGCCGCGCCGCCTCCGCCTCATGCACCAGCACTGGCACCGGTGTCCTCCGACATGCAGGGCGCGCACCTTGCAGGTGCCTTCGCCTTCCCGGGCGGGTACCCATACGGCGCGCACCCTTCCGCATTCGCTTCCGGTAGCGCCCCGACTACCTCCGGAGACCCGTACTACACCCACATCGGGGGCTACTCCTTCCAGCCGCCTCCACCCCCGGACCACGCGATTGACCCCCTATTGATGCAAGGGGGCTATGGCGGCGTACCCATTTTTCACCCCTCCACCAACGGCCAGCCTCCGAGCCTGCATGTGCAGCTGTACCCCGGAGCTGGGCTGAATTAGAGCGATCACGGGCGGTCATACCCGGATGTAGAAGACATGGCCCTGGCAGAAGCTGGCAGAAGAGCGGCGGACGCTCACTAATAGCCGGATAGCCCCCTCGTATGTTTATTGTATACCCCTCCATTAAATGCTATCGTTAGATGGCGGTATTGGGTGCTATGTACCGTCTGTGCACAAACTGCTTTTGGTGCTGCTTGTATAGCTGAGATCTCAGTACCCAGGCGCCCTGCAGCTCTCTTTCTTGCTGAGAACACTCTATTATAGTGCTTGAATGAACCGTCCAAAAAACGCTTCGCTGGCGATGCCAATGTTCGCGCAGTGCTAAGTGTTGCTGCTGCATCTAGTCATATAAGTCTGGCCGCCCTTCCTTCCCCGGGCTCTGACCCTCATCACCTGGACCTCACACAAAGGCAAGCTAGTTAGCCTGCCGTACCTACCCCCCTTTGCCAGGCTAATTAGCCTCGGCGCCCCCTTTACCTGCAGGGGCCAATAAAGGCTCGATAAAGAGCTATTAGCTAAGCCCAGGGGGCGCCCGCAAGGCCAGCCACACGCTCTAGGAGCCGCCGGCGCCTGCTGAGGCGGGCGCGTGCCTCCCGCCCGGCGCCAAAGCCCCGGCGGGACCGTGCTCGCTGTCCGCGACAGCGAGCTCGCTATCTCCCCCGGTTCTGGGCCGTTTCGCTCCGTTTCTTTTGTAGTACCACTTTATATAGGTTTATAATGCGCATCGCGACGTTTATATCAGTCTACCAATGCCTCACGCATCCAGGGAGAGAGCGGAAGGCGGAGGGGGGCCGGGAGGAAGGGCTTGGCAGAAGGGTCCGTGCGCGCTGCACGCGTCATCAGGCACGCGCGGCCGGGGCCCCCGAGGCCTAGGGCCCTGGCGAGCGTTTCCGAGGAACACGGAGTTCCGGCGTCGAGTCCCGGTTGCCGGACGTCGTCCTTATACTCGAGCTCATCGCCGTCCACGATGAGCAACGTTCCCGCCCCACTGACAGGTCCAAAACATCCCCTGACTCTTGACGAATCGCACATAGAACGTTCTCCGTGCCTGCATGGACATCTGGGCGCACGTGGGTGCGCACAGGCCGTATTATCGAGTCAAAAAGCAAGCGGGTATGCCCATGTGCAAAGTTAGGATCTAAAGCTTCTGTTAGCGAGTGCGCAGACGTGACGCCAAATTTGCAGCACGTACACATATGTCATGCACACTCAAAGACGAACTGAAAAGCTCGCTCTGATATGTGTCGGAGGTCATGCAGCCCACGGATCCGAGCCTCCGAGAGTGGGACCGAGTGTGCCGGCCGCAGTCCTCGCCACGTCAGGACTCGGGAGATGTTCTGTGTGTTCGGCCGTCGCACGCACTACTCGAAATGCGACATGATGAAGCGTGTATGTCGGTAACCAAACAAATACCCTGCGGGGGCGGCCGTGACGATTGTTTTAAGGCACAGACGATAGGCTTTGGAGTACTAGTGGACTCGGGCTACGTCGGAGATGGCGCTCGTCGCCAAAGCACCGCCAAATGGCCATCCAGTTCACTGTACAGATATCTAGATACCTATCAGATGTTTCTGCAGGTGCATAATGGACAAAAAGCTACCCGTAACACGTACTGTAATGCTGTCAGGCCTTGAGAAAAGCGCCGTGGCAGGTCCCAGGAGACGCGTCGGACGCCTACACGCGATTCTCCCGCTTGCGCAGGATTTGACTACCGACGTCTGCTTGCGTTAGGCGTCAGGGCTTTAAGCTCAAGCTTCAGCAATAGCTCGGTGACCTCAGATGAGAGCAGTCGCGGTTGGAGACAGAGCTCGAGTCGTCGGCGTCAGGGCCGCGGAGGTAATGAACCATCTGGGTGCCGCTCCGGTCCGAGACGGCAGGAGCGGGCCGCAAGTCGCTATCCCTTCCCCGGGCCTGTCTCCAGCCGTTTCCTCCTCGTCCTCCTCCTCGTCCTTCTTCGCCTCTCTCCTGTTGTTACTACACCCGCTCTCTGTGTATTCGTGTAGACCCTCTGATACATGCCTCCCTTCTCCGAACTCTCGCTTTCTTCCAAAAATGCTACCTGCTGGCTACCGGTCTTTTAAGCGCGCCCTCAGTTTCGTCTTGCCCTCGATATGTTATGACGCCATCGAGACCAATTTCTGGGCACGCTGTGTCGTCTGTGGACTAAAATCGGCGACCATTTGGATCGTTGAGTTTTGGGCAGACTTTGTAAGTCGCATATGGTCTCGAAGAACATGGCTATATTCAACACGCTTGGCGTACCCGGACGCTTTTTCATTCCGTTTTCCCCCAAGGCGAGTTCTTTCTCTTACGTTTGCGCTTCAAGTAGCCGAAACCAGTCACTCGCGTAGATGCTGAAACATGTCTTCGTGAACTGCACAGACAGCCTCGACCTGCGACCCTTCCACGGTAAGGCGACCGCGTTCGACCACGCACATCCACACGCACCGTTCCCAGCCCTCTTCCCTTTCCTTGAGACGCGTGTACGCGAGTCCCACCTCGGCTGCCCCGCCGCGATGGACGTTCCGGAAGACTCGCGATGGCAGGGCTGGCTCGCAGCTTATCATGATGGCGCCTTGCGATGGGCGAACAGGCGGGCTTTTCCAATCGCGATCTTCCCCTACGGCGACCCACTGGTCCGCAGACAGCTGTGGGACCATTCATGAGGAAGCAGCCGCCGCCCGGAGAAGCGCTGGCTGATATCCTGGCAGCGATACGCACAATGCCGTCGCGGCACGCGTCTCAATAGGAGGGCATGCCTGGACGGCACGGCGGCGGAGAACACGCGGAGGTATGTCGCTCATGTCGGCGTGGAAGATCACTCTCCTCCGTAATTCCGTCAATACACTGATGAGGGAGATAAGTAGGTCTGTTAGTACCCGGCTGGACCAGCTCCCTGTTCGCATCTAAGCATTGACACCACTAGTATTTGAAAGATCGATCATTTGCTGATTCCGATCGTATTGAAGTTTGTTCCCCTCTCTCTTCAAATCAAATCGCTAAATGCCGTATACCATCGTGCTATATGTATTAGGGTTTTATCCGACACGGTCGACCGCTCGGCCGCCTGACGGTCTACCTTTTCGCACGCCTACGTGCATCTAGATCACGATGCGCCTGCAGTATGGATGCGAACACCCTCGGGAGCCACTATGTTACCCCCAGTTCGTTTGCCACCTTCCTTGTCCTGTCCTGACACTTAAACCCACACAATGGTGTATCTCCATCACCGTATGATCACATCTGCGCCGGAGGACACTTCTTTGACCTGCCCGGCCTTTACGCTCCTGGACTGTTGTCAACCTGATGTCCGACTGCACGGCTCCAACGCACACCGTATAACACTATCCTCTGTCGACTGTTCACTGGCAGGATCCGTCTCACACCCAGTGCCCCTCTCATCCTCCAGTTCGATAGCCTCGCAATGAATTCCACCGCCGGCGCCGATGTCGCCGCGTTTATCAACGAAGAAAATTTCTTGTATGTTCAAGCTCTCCTCCTTGCTCTGCGGTATGCGCCTCACCGTTGTTGCCTCAGCGCCATACAGGACTACTACGCTACCGCCATAGCTAGTGCGTCCTTTCCTGTTGATCAGGACTAAATTGCTAACCCGTCAGCCTCAATGGTAGTGATCATGATGTGGCACTACTTGCTCACGCTGGATCAGGAGGTTGCCTACTTCTGGAGACACAGGCCGACGGGCGCATGTGCGCTCTTCCTCGCGAACCGGTACCTCACCCTCATCGTCTCTATATACAACACACCCTGGTGGTCTGTCAGCACTACATATACAGTGAGTTATTTCACATCCATTCACGCTTATCGGTGCTGAATGGGTCTCTGAAGGGGTGAGGCCTCGCTCCACGCCTACGAACAATACTAATTTAGATGATGTACGAAGATAGATGCGTATCAGCTGTGGTGTTCCAGTTCGTGCTTCAGTTCTCACCGTATGTCGTAAGGGCAGGTATGTGTATGCCTCCCTCTGCATGCCTCACACATATGCGCCACCGCTGAGATCTTGTATGTTCAAGTGTTCGCCGGCCTGCGGGTGTATGCACTTCAGAGGCGATGGCAGTGGGCGACCCTCGTCTTCCTCCTCTCCATCGTTTCGGTTGCTGTGAACGCAGTAAGCCCTTTTTTGTGTAGAGACGCCGCTGAGACACTGAGTGCACTATCATGAACAGGTGTCGTTCCGGTTTATAAATATCGAGTTCGACCCAGAGACGGGCTGCAATGCACTGAAGAACATCCCGGAATCATTAAATCAGAGGTACATCCCGTTCATATTGCTGGAGAGCCTGAGTGGACGTACTGACGAGCTGTGGTAGCCGTCAGTATCCTTCCTGCCGAAGATGTACAGTGCTCTGATCAATGTCCTGCTAGTGAACGCTGCGTCCCGCGTGTCACTCTTCGTCGCGGACTTTATCGTCGTCGTCGTGACACGGTCAGTCACGCACGTGCACCGCCGCGAGACCTTCCTCTGCACACGAATGTCGATTGCGAGCGTACTGTACAAATACGGTGCGAACACACGTCTTAGAATTTACTTACATATTCAAGAGCTGATTGCACTGTCAGGCGGGATCCACTTCCTGTGCGAGCGATATTTTTAGCTATATAGTTGGTTACTAATACTTTGCTACAGCCTGCTCACCATCTACAACACGCTCCGTCTCGTAATAACGTTGCTCTCGGTACGTATAACTCTCCTGTGCTCAACCTGCGGACGCGCGGTGCTCATCCTACGGTCCTATAGATCACAAGAGGCACTGCCGCCACGATGTTTGTGAGTACGTTCGCGAATTTCAGCGATCCGTACGTCCCTCTCCCCTCTCCCCTCTCCCCTCCTCCCTATCTTCCTCCTACTGACTGCTATCCACCTGCAGACTCATTGGAATCCTGATGACGCACTTCCTTGTTGCGCTGCAGGAAGCAACCTCCAGCGCACCTGCGGAGGGGTACGACTCCGGGTCCGCCTTGTCGGTCGGGACGCTGCGCTTTGTGCGCGCGGATGTGGACAACTGGGTGCGGGCCGAGTGCACCTCCCTTCCGACAATGGGAGACGGTCCAGGTGAGGAGAGTGGGCGGTGGGGCGAAGAGTGCATTGATGCGCTGGAATGCGTGCGGCGGAAGTTTAGTACGCCCGGAGACTTCATGACGGAGGATCCCGGCGAAGGATAAGTCTGAAGTATAGAAGATATCACAATCCCATTGCTTGCGCACAATTGTGTTGTGCAGACGGCGTCGTGCGACGATGTGGCACCTGTTTCCCTACTCGTTTTCATAGCGCAGCCGTATTTTGCATCTTCTGTCTCTGACATTTGTGTCCTGCAGCTTGTCGTCGCAAAGATGATAGACGAATACTCCAGTCAGATTTGAGAGCCGTAAGTACCTCCTACATTCCCGTCCCTCATTGAAAGACACTGAACGCTCCCCCCTCCCCTAGACTCATCGGCCACTTGTTAGATCTCTCCCTCATCTAGCTCCAACAATCCGTAATTTCAAGCGTCCGCTTTACCGTAAACGGGCAGCCCCACGCGCTCGAATCCTGGCCCGTTGACCCCTCCGAGTCGGTCGGGCTCCTGCACTTCGTCCGCGCGGACGTCGACAGCTATTCTCAGTCCGAGAACGACCCGGAGGAGCACGAAGCTACTCTCGGAAGCGTCGCACATACCGTCACGGATGTGAGAGCTCTTATAGAGCTTTCGAGGTAGCCATCCCAAGATGCAACAGTCCATTTCGAAGACGACTGGATTACTATTCAATCAGGAGAACAATTGGAAATATCAGACAGGAAGAAATAGACGTACGCGATGGCGGAGTTCTGGGTGATGACAGGGTGGGTATGATCCCTGTGGATATGATGGCGGCGTGGAATACCCTGTCAGGAGGCAGAAGATGTTCTTCTCGAACACCGGAGCGCCGTTTGGTAGACGTTGGCAGGGGTGACGAACGAGATTGCGATGCATGGTAGTCGACACCCTAGTGATATCACAAATGAAAGCCCGTACATTTTACGACAGCGCCAGAGCGCGATGGTAGAGGTCAGGGTTGCAATTAGAGCGTGTCTGAACAACTTGAAGAATGAGCGCTGTAGGGGCGGTGAAGATGAGGGGGTAACCATGCGCACCAGAGGCAAGGAATCCCGAGTACCGTGTTCACGGAGAGGCGAGTACGCTGAGTAGCACCTGGTTGATATGCTGGTACAGTGGACCCTTAGCCTCCAGTACACGTGGATGGCGGTGCTGACGAGAAGGATCGCGTGCGGTGTGACGCATATCCACGGCCGCCGCCCAGGCAGTGTCTTCAGCCTCACTCGGGCCTCAGAAGACGCTCATGAGCGTCCATCACAGGAACGCTGCGTCCGTGTGTCCCGTCGTCACCAAGGACCGTGTGTGTTAGGCGGAAAATACTTCGGATGCGCTCATGGTCTGCTTATTATTATACTTTATGGGCATTGTCTGGGCGACGACATGCACGCACATACATCATATGAACGCGATGTCACCGAGGTTCGCGTCTCAGAACGATCACGCGGAGGTCTCGCGATCATGACCCACGTATCCCGCGAGCGTGGAAAGAATTGGGATGTCGGGACTTTTGTAAAGGTTGAGAACCGTGTACAAGGGTACCCCTGATGCAACTGAACCCGGGGTGGAGCATTTTCTGAGTTCTGCGTGTCGCTAGTAGGCTTTGCACAGCTCGGGACATACATCCAGAGCGCGGTCCAGTGTCGCAAAATCGGCTTTGCTTGCACCCGGACGAGGTTCTTCATAACCTCGCACATTGCTACGCTACCCAAATGGCTTCAACTACCTCCGCTGCCGCAATTGCCGCGTTCGATAAGTCACAGTATCTCACGTGCGTATACATTTAAACGTCAAATCGCATGATCTCTTCCTGAACTTTTACCTGCTCTTTCAGTTTGGTAGGACAATATTTCAAGATGTCCACCACAGGTAGACCCGTCTCTTTCAATCGGTCGTGATATTGAGTGCTTTCCACTTACTAAACTTCATGGTGTAGCTCTACTCCTGTGGCAATATTTCTTGACTCTGGAAAAGGAGTTTGCTTTCTTTTGGCGACGACGATTCTCCGGCGTATGTGCTCTTTTCCTCGCAAATCGCTACATCGTCCTTGTCGTCATCATATACCAATCGCCCTGGTGGGACTTACACTACCAATCTCGGGTGAGCCTATCTGCTTATTTCCTTTGAAAACCTTTACTCAACTCAATCGGACGTGCAGTGGCAGTAAGTACCCTTCTTTGTGTTTCTATCTTTATGTGGTATTAAATATTACGTCTGGGCGCGGAAAGATGTCAGGCGGCCATATTTGTACAGTACACGTTCCAATATTCGCAATACGTCATCTGGGCAGGTAAGCAGGTACTCGCTTTGTGCTCTTGCGACGATGCGCTGACTCCTAGAGCGTAGTATTCTCCTTTCTGCGCGTGTACGCACTGCAGATGCGGCGGGGATGGGCGGTCTTTGTCCTCGTCCTCTCGCTTGGCCACGTTGCCTATGGTACAGTCAGTGGCTTTGACGGCGGCTCCTGCGGTATCATCTAACATTACTATCGGTAGTGGGTCACGGTAACGGAAGATATCATCTTCAATTCGAAGGATGGATGTCATTCGCAGAGCACTATGCCAGAGATGTTGAATGTCAGGTACGTGACGCCTACGACTCTGCTCACTGTCATCAATGACCAGCACTGACTATTGATATAGATGTGAGCCTTAATCAGTATTCACTTACCAGCACCGAGTCTGACTGGGCGTGGTCTCCGCCGCAGTGGCGATCACTGCTCGTGTAGCTCTTATCGTGGCGGAGATCATCGTCATGGCTATCACCTGGACGCAAATGAGATATCCTAATCAAAGTGGTGGCATTGTGCGTGCGCCCCGGAGGCCGCTGACACTGTCATCTGTGTTTTACGAGAACGGTGAGTTAACTCGCGATCTGAGATCACTCATAGGCTGACATCAACGATGAACGCGTGTCGGACAGGCAGAGTCTTCTTCTTGTACAGTTCAACTCGCAAGCGTCCAGATTATCTTCACTGACTGCCGGATGTTCAGACTGATGTTGATCATGCATGCGCTCTACCTAATGGACCGGACGCTTCCGGTGCGTGCACACATCGATCCTTTTCCTTTCGAAAAATAACACCCAGTCTGATCTTCACCCCGTAGGCGGGGCCCGAGCCGACTCTGATGTTACTGTACTTCTTGCACTTTTTCCCCCTCCTAATCGAGCCGTAAGCACCCTGCCTTCCCTCAAGCTCTGGAGACCGAGTCCTCTAACGCATCCCCTCACCAACGCTGTTTGCAGAACTATCGGGATCCTCGTTAGCCACTTCCTCATCTCGCTCCAAGAAGCCGTGAATAGGCGCGTACATCACCTGGACGACACGCACTCGAGCGTAGTGGCATCAGACTCGCAGGACTCGGCCGGGACGGGATCAGTCAGCCTGGTGCAGTTTGCCCGCGCGGACGTCGACGAGTGGCTTGATTCCGAAGCCCCCGGCGCGCCGCCTGGCCCCGTTGATGATGGCCCGCGTGCGCAGTGGGAAGAGGAGTGTATCGAAGCTCTGAAGACGGTGCAGGAGAGGGTCAGTAGCTCGGACTGCCACGAATCGGTGTAGGGTCGCATGCACTTGGGCGGGCCTCGACGGCAGCGTCCAGACGTCGAATCGAATTCGCAGCGCGGACATATCTGCTCAATATACACTTCTTACTTATGTACACACAGCACCACGAGGCGACACGAAGACACAGCTGATAAGACATTGCAGCCTGCCAATTCGCGCCGCTTGCCAGCGCCCGTCAGACCGGATAAGCTCCATCGCACGTACGCTCCATCGCACGTGCTCTCCACTCCCGGTTGTCCTCTGTCCACCGTCCGGAGGAAGGGCCGCGTTGCACTCTGTGTGCTACCGCACGCTTCAATCACTGCATACAGGCGTGTGTATAGAAGTCCTACGAGAAGCTACAGTAAGCGTCCGCGCTCGCGAAGGCCCGTATCGGAACACATTATACTCAGGCTAGGGTGGGCCGCGGATAGATGGAAAGAGCCTGCCGCTGAGGGACCGTGCATTACGCACCCGCTCCAGATATTGTGTTGGCATCGTGTATAACGTTTATGCAACATGCTGGATGAGAGAAGGTTTGATCTTGCCGAAAACATCTTGTTCACGCACTGGCATCGTCGCTGTGCATCATCCGAGTTCTGCGCCTCCGCGCGCCCGCCTGCTTTCGGGTCTCGAGGCCTGCAGGATATAGGGTGCGCTCGTGCTCCACCGCTTCTGTCCAAGACCTCCTGGTGTCCATCCTTGTCGCTCCGCGTGAACGCAAAGGCAGAGGTGGAAAACCTGCTGAATAGCCCGAGCAGGGGAGTTGTATTACAGACGTAACAGCGTGCACAAGTCGTATGGCAAAACGTCTTCGCACCGTTAAGCATCACGGTTAAGCCCGCGTCCCACTTCAGTCTGACGCTTGCGCACGCTCGATGGAACGAACGGACCACCTCCGCGCCCCGGAGCTCGTACTCGACTCTGAACGACCCCTTGACCTGTCAGATACATGCGTCGCAAACTGCAAGTCGGTCTGCATCCCGGTCGAGAGTTGATCGGGCGAGGGCGAGGGGCTTGTCCAATCAGGGTGAGCGACATGGGCGTTGGCAACCCAGAGAGGAGGGTCGGCGGTCTCCTGGAGGTCGAAGTAGAACTGCGTGAGCAGGATCGAGACGAGTCTGCGGGTCACGGAAGACAGTGTGAGCTCGAGTATTCCGGCCCCCGCGCTCGACTGAAGGTGAGACGAGGATCACACGAAACGTACGGGGTGATGAAGCTCAAGAGCGAGTTCGAGTAGTCGGACACCTCGCCGCCCGGTCGTACGATCTGAGGTATCGTCCTGGTCAGTATCCCATATGTGCATGCAGATGACTGCGCGGAGAAGCGGTGCTCACCTCCAAGAGGTCCACGACGAGCGGTGCAATGTTGAGTAGCGCAATCGCTCTGCGCGAGGGAGCGATGGAGCGATGGAGCGATGCGTAAGAAAAGGTGATGTTTGGATCCAACGAGGATCGGGTAAGAGAAGGGTCTCGCCGGGATTGTGAAGGACGTACCCAAAGTAGATGATCCCTATGGGCATATAGCGGAGCGAGAGATAGGGATCGCCGTTAGTATTTGTCCACAATCATACGGTACTGTATAGCCCAGTGTCCACACGGCGTGAACGTGAGAGAAAAGACGCACCGTCGCGAAACAAGACCTCCGAAAGCGATAGTTGCCCGACACCCAGCGCACCCTCGAGGCCCTTACGATGGCTCGTTGCGAAGAGGGTGACACCGACCACCAACAGTTCAGAGAGCACCCACGCAGAATAAAAAATAACGAGATCTGTTTATATCGAGCGCACATGCGTGAGTGACGCTTTCGTTCGGGTAGGATGCTATGCAGCCGGAAAAGACGGGAGACTCACAGCTGGACAAGAAGAGGTTGCGTGATTACATGAGCCTCAAGTAGCGATATCGATGGATGAGACTCACATTTGGTATAGCCCGAATGGGAGGCGCCTGTCGTCGAGGAAGCAGCCCGAGTCGACAGGTCTTATTTCAAGGTGCAGGTACGTCAGCAGTGCCTGTTTATGATGGGATACGCGTTTAGATGAGCGGCGTGTGCAGCTCGTGAGGAGTGACAGGACGCACAATATTGCATGCAAATGGAGCGAGAGCGAACAGAAGGACAAGCAGCGTAAGTAACCGGTTATGCATGAGTGCGTGTACCCGGAGGCATGCTATTGCTGCATATGGGCGGCGAAGAGTGGTTAGTGACTAAACACGCTATGCAAGGGACTGCTATGCGTACATCCCCACAGGGCGTACTGCGAGTACTCTAGGACGAACTCTGTTGCGAAGGTCGCCGTGCATCTGTCCGAGTCACGAGATAAACGGGGTCAGGAAGCTCGCTCGCGGACTGCGCGAGGTGCAGACACATACCTCTATGCTCGCGCACTGTTTAGCAGAGTGTTCTTTTGAAGGGCAGGAAAAGATATCCACCACTCACCGCTGGATCCCGATTGTACGCCCACCACGGGGCCTCGATCATGTACGTCACAAGTGGCAGATAGCGGTTTGCGAGAAAGAGAGACCACCCGAGCCCGAACTTCCTGCGTTTTCCCCAAAAATGCGTGCATTCTGCGTCGAATGTCGTCACGTAGTGGTAGACTAGCAGGGCTAGGTGCACGAGCGCAGGATCAGCAGTCAGTACTCTGCCGGGCGGGGAAGGGAGGGCCAGGAGCTTACTGATACTGCTCATCTTGTTGTAGGCCAGCGTTGCACTGCGACACGATGCGGAAGGGCCTTTTGGCTAAAGGATTCTGAGAGCTGACAGGGGTGGATGGAAGACGTTCGGCGAGCACCCGGGATTTGACTTGTCCCACTCGACCGGACATCTCTTTTCTTACGCCAATGTCAAGCCACAGCCCGACAGCTACGGCATCGACTTCCCACCATCTCGCCGCAAATCCGCTCTGTAAGGATTGCCACTGTCAGCCTCAGACTTAGCTCGCTGATGATCGATGACTGTGTGGTGGTCTCGGGAGTACCTTACCTCATCTGATGTACCGACCCTCAAACAAATCAGGACATACGGGTTCCGAATGCAACCGTTCAGAACTGAGTGAAAAATAGACAATTTGAGGCACGTATACCGCGTGAGAGCTGTTGTGGACGCTGGATACGTCAGCCGACACCGATATTCACGCTGTGAATGAACGACGCAATGCCCACATATTGCGGAATAGACGATTTGCGCATTGCGATCGACAAGCGGGGCCTCGGAGAGCGCTGGAGGCCATGGCGGCTCTCATGCTGATGCATGCTCCATGTTCCGCGAGGAGCGTGTGAACATACGGAGCGCACAGCTGCTGCATACTTGCGGCGTAGATACAGCACGGCCGTAGGCAGCCCAAGAGGGTTCTAGTAGATGCGAGATAAGTTCATGACTAGTATGACAACGTTGACGGAAGAGGGTACGTACCTAGGCCTAGCCAACGTCAATCATGAGTCGTTTAGAGTGTCCGTTCATAGCTTCGTCGGGTGAGCTCGAGTGGTCGAGAGTGGAATCTCTTTGGTGCCCTGCGTGTCAATCTGCCGGAATGTACTAGTGATGTTCATGGGTCCTGGGGCGAGCTATACTTCAAACCGACATCGTAGTCGAATACAGAGAGCGTCGTCGTCGCGGGACAAAACGTGTGTAGACGCCCAAACTCGGCGGTGGCCGGGGTGCTGCTCCCGTCCAATCGAAGAACAACTCCCACGCTCTGGACGACCACGTCGGACGTCGACTCTTGCTCGTCCAGCTTCTTCGTACTCTGTCTGCCTGCTCAGTCCATCACTTTCTTCGCTTATACTCCTCGCACTGCGCCTCTACACATTTTCCCTCTATGTGAGTTCTCTTCTCCTCTCACAACTTTTCCAGGTAGACTGGATATCAGTCATGTTGTAGCGCCTCAACCTCGTCCCGGATGCGTTCAGGTGGGAGCTTTAGAAGACGAGTTGCTCCCTCGCATTTCCATCAGAAAAGGGGGAGCGACTCGCAGCAGACGTGCGACTATTTGGCGCCTCTCCCTGTGCAGCTGAAGCAAGCAATATGAGCCCAGATAACGTCTAAATACTGCACTGCTGATATTTGGCACGATCTGATTGATGGGCTACTTGTTGAAAGGTAGGCTCGGTCTGATCATGTCGACGACTCTCCTCAGTTCTCGGGCTGCGAGCTGCCACATACTGCCTTGCTATGCTTACTATTACCCAAGTTCACATAGCAGGGATGTCTGACGGTCGTCATACTACTGTGGCGCCCACCAGCTGCCAGGAAGACGTTGATGCTCGCGCTATGCAGGATGCGATCGCGCTCGTTCGCTACCATCCTGCTCTCGGTTCGTTCGTCGTCCTGTCCCTAAGGTCTGCCATGTCCGCCATCTGTTCCGGCACCTCTAAACGTAGATAATTATGCAATAGGGTGTCCTCGTCGCCTCGCAATCATGTTCGCGCTCGGGCCAGCACAAGGATCCGAACACGACTCCCGCCCACGTTCCTCGCTCTCCTTGCCAGCTGTCGCTAGTCTGCTCTCCGGATCTCCGGCTCTTTGTGCAACTTATAAGTCCAGTTTACCCTCCACGACTCGAGTCTCCCTTGACGCTTAGCGCACTTCTCGCTTTGCTGCTTCAGCGAAGCATATACTTTCGTCCCTCCTTCTATGCTTCCGTGAAGCCTGGCCAAACACGTTCACCATGAATTCTACCGTCGACGTCGACGTCGCCGCGTTCATCGAGGAGCAAACCATCTTGTGCGTACTCGCTTCACTAAACTCGTTTTGTCCACATCTAACACCATGTTCGCAGCGCTGCACAAGATTATTGCACCACCGCCACAGCTGGTACGTCGCTCACGGTCTACGTATACCTCTTCGCTCACGATGCACAAGTGCAGCTCTTTTGATGTGGCACTACCTGCTTACTTTTGACAAGGAGGTTGCGTATTTCTGGCGGCGCAGGCCGAATGGCGCGTGCATGCTCTTCCTAGCGAACCGGTACCTCACCATTATCGTCTCCATATACGACACGCCTTGGTGGTCGCTCAGTACCGCATATACGGTGAGTTCCTTCGTGCTATTCTACGCAACTGAGTGCTTACTGGGTATACGGTTTCAGGGGTAAGTTCTTCCGAGTGTGCTATGTACAGCGCTGACTGCATGCCGTACACGCGCAGATGCGCCGCAGCCGTCTTCTCCCAGTTCATACTCGAGTTCTCACAATACATCGTATGGGCCGGTACGCCTGCCCCCCTCCCTCGCTCTCGTGTGTGCCCACTAATCCCTGATGCCCTCCGATTAGCGTTTGCGTGTCTCCGGGTATATGCGCTCCACAGGCAATGGCCGTGGGCGGCCCTCGTGCTCATCCTCTCTCTCGCTCCGGTCGTTGCGAACGTGGTGAGTCAGATCTCGTGGCGCACGCAGCCGCACCCCCAACTGACATCATCACTATGTACAGGTCCCGCTGCGGTTCATACAGATCGACCTTGACCCAGTCACGGGCTGTAATACATTAGAAAATATCCCTGTTTCCCTGTCTCAAAGGTGCGTCGTGTCACGCTTCTTAGTTTACATCAGCGCATGCATTGACAAAGTTGTGATAGCTGTGAGTCTCGCTCGCGTCGGATGTAATCTGGACGTTAATTGAAGTTCGACTGCCAGTGGACATCACGTCCCGGGTCTCTCTGATCGTCGCGGACCTCATCGTCATGGGCGTCACTTGGTCCGTAACGCATTTCCACCGCCACCAAGGCAGTGTCCTTCGGGTTTACGGTGCTAGGACGACGCTCACGAGCGTCTTGTACAAAAACGGTGCGCTTCGGTGGATTCCTAGATGCGTGTTCTGGAGCTGACACGATCGTCTCCGCGGTTATCAGGCGGGATCTACTTCGTGTACGGGCAGAACTTGCGACTGTATACGCGAACACTGACGGTCCTCTTCGTAGGCTGCTGACCACCCTGAACTCGCTCCATCTCCTGTTCTCCATGCTCTCGGTAAGCACAGCCCACATTCTCCTCCCTCGTGCACGCGGCGCCCGCTGATTTCACACCTCACAATCTCCAGATCGCACTCGCTAACGTAGCCACAGACCGCGCCAGCTTCGTCGTGCGCTTTATCGAACCGTGCGCTTCTTCTCTCGGTCCTCCATTTCATCCACACTCACCACCCGTTTCAGGCTCACCGCGATACTCATCACACGCTTCCTCATCGAGCTGCAAGAGGCAAGCTCTGGGGCATGCACGTCCGAAGGCGAGGACGCCGCGTCAGTCGGCACGCTCTGCTTCGTGCGCGCGGACGTAGACAGCTGGGTGCGCTCCGAGTGCGCCTCGCTCCCGACTGTCGCCGCAAGTTCCGGAGCTGGAGAAGGGAACGAGAAGGAGAGCGGGGGCGCGCGGTGGGGCGAGGAGTGCATGGAGGCGCTTGAGGGCGTGAGGCGGAAGCTGAGTAGGGTTGACGATGACGAGTCGGAGGACTATGTACTGGTGTGAAGCGTGCGAGAGAATAGATGTAGTTTTAGGGGTAATGCACTCGTGGGCCCAAAATTCGTAGTCTGTTTCCGTTCTGTAGGCAATTGCTGTCTCGCATGAGCGTAGGGCCGGCGGCGGTGAGTCGGTGACGCGTTCTGGCCATCACTCATACCGTCGAGTACTGGCAGTCAAGCCAGCAATCTCATGTGGTATACATATGCCATCTGCCGTCTGGAAAGCAACGTGCTCGCACATGCACCGGAGGATGTATGTTCACCATGTTCCCTGGATTCGCACCCCAGAACGATCGCGCGGGGGTCTCGGCATCATCCACCTACACGTACGCTTGGGGTGTCCGCGCGTCCTGACTCTTCTGCCGCTTCGCGTGAAGCGGAACGTCGAGACGTTTTGCGGAGGATAGAAACCAGGCGAAAGGGCGCACCCGATGCAATTGAATCACTGCTAGAGGAATTCCAAGATCTAGTTGGCCACGGGCAGCTCGGGCCTTGTACATAACGCGCGGTCCAGCGCCGCAAAATCGTCTGTGCTCGCATCCGTCACAGTCTGCGCGACGCTCTCTGGTTTCTCCGTGCCCGCTCCTTCCTCGTCGGGCTCGGACTGTGCCCAGCTATCGACGTCCGCGCGGACGAACTGCAGGAGCCCGACCGACTCGGAGGGGTCAGCGGTCGAGGATTCGAGCGCGAGTGGACGTCCGTCTCCGTCGAAGCGGACGCTCGAGGTTGCAGCTTGTTGTAACTGAATGAGGAAGAGATCGACTAGGAGGCCGATGAGTCTGGGAGAAGAGACGTCAATGTTTGTTATAAGGAATGAGATTCCGGAATGTGCGGTACTCACGGCTCAAAATTAGGAACGAGCAGGAAGAGGTACTGCAGCGGGGTTGTGTAAGCGAAGCTGCCCTGTGGTTACACTTCAGGCTCAGAACAGATATGGGGAGAACGGGAGGAGCTTAAAGGCGTACTGGGGTGAGCGTCTCAACGACGAGCCGGAACGTGTACATAAAGGTTGTTAATCTGGTGAACAGAACAAGTGGAATTTTAGCTTTGATATTGCACGGTGCGAGTCGCGAGTCGTACACAAAGTATATCCTTCCTATCAAGCCCGCGGGCGTTTCGATCAGCCTAAGAGCGAGCATGATCAAGCATGGATATAGGTAGGCTCACCGTTGTCGTAGAACACGTTCGACAGAGTCAGCACCCTGCCGAAGTCCCGAAAGCCGTGTCGGCTGCGACATTGCTCGCGCATGGTGAGCCAGGTAACAGCCACTACGATAGTCTCTGACATGATGAGGCATGCTCGAGCCACAACATTCACTGGTGGAAGGTGCGCGGATCTGCGTCAACAGGGCTGCGTCTGGTGTATGCTAGCGTCACTGACAACTAGAATATTTCAGTAAGGTGTTAGAGAGCGGGACATAATATACGTACGGTTGGACCAGCGGCGGCGATGCAAATTCATACGCCACGTAGCACCAGCGGGTTTCCGGAGAAATCCAAGTGGCGATATACGGGAGCCTGATCACCTATTGAGCGCCATGCGGGTTAAAGGGCGCACGGTGTGCATAAGCAAGAAGTTGTGTCACCAAGTTGATCACCACGATAGCGAGGGAAAGTATAAGAACGAATGTTGACCACCACCATTGTCTCAGAAGTGCGTGCACGCGCAGACAAGAAAAGACTAGGCCGGTGCAGTGAGCGACTCGCAACGAGCGTGGACGGTTTGTATGGAACATGTACGGACCTGCCCATACAACGTACTGCACCAACGGAAAGCATTCCGCGAATACTACTGCGGCGCATCTTCCAGCCCCATGCGCGTACGGTCAGCCGCATGAAGTTATGTTGAGATACCGGGATACCGGAATACTTACCCAACCTGATATAGGCGTCAAGTTAGTAAGACACACCATGGAGTAGGAGAGGTGGAGTTTGCATACACGGTTTGCGATGCTTGTAGGCCACCATGCGGTATTATAAATGCCGATGGCGAGAGTGAGGTAGCGGTTCGCGAAGAATAGCGCGGACGCGCCCGAGGGCCTCCGTTTCCAAAAGAACGCAACCCCCTGGTCGAACGTGATAAAGCAGTGCCAGATGAAAGAGACTGAAATCGTTGGGCAGGCATGTCAGTTGTTCGCGATCATGCCTAAAGGAAAACTAGAACTCCGGCGATCGTACCGGCGATGGCGGTGAGGACGTAGTTGTCCACAGTGTCAAGGCTGAAGAAACGGACGTTCAGTGGTACGGAGAGGTGGTAGAATCTGGAAGAAGACACGCACAGGTCCGGATCGTGAGTCCCGTCGATGGTCTGAACGATATCAGCGTCAATGACGGGCTTCATGTCCAGATCGTGAGTTACTGGAACGCGAGAGGGCACGCGTCGTCGCGGTGAGGAACGCCGTATGTAGGCTATCTGGGAATGACAAGAGTGTACATACCCATCGTTAGCAACTTTTAGTAAGATAAGGAAACTTGAAGGCGGTCTCGACCAGGTCCGCAGCTGACAGCGGACTCTGTCTGCATCGAGAGCCGCTGTCAGGTACACCAGCATCTCTGGTAGAGAAGGCTGTGTGGTGGGAGCGAATCGTGTGGAAGCCGCGCAGATCAGATGGCCGCGTGTAGCCGCCAATATCAAAGCAGATACTTCCGACGAGCACACCCGCAAGTGTCGGGCATATCATCGTGAGTCTACTGAATGCTGTCAATGGGTGACGGAGTCACAGTCTTCGTCTATCATCCTTGCGACCACGAATTGTAGAACACGAATATTACACGCGCGACGCCGTCTGCACAACACGGCTGTGCACATGCGATAGCATTGTGTTCCTTTCTATGATTCAGATGTGTCCGTCTTCGACATCCTCCGGCATGTATTCTTCGAACGCACCGAGCTTCCGCCGCACGCATTCGAGCGCATCAATGCACTCTTCGCCCCACTGCATGTCCCCTTGCCCTGTACCCTCTCCCATCCCCGGAAGGGACCCACACTCGTCCCGTACCCACTTGTCCACATCTGCGCGCACAAAGCGCAGAGTGCTGATTGACGCGGTGGACCCAGAATCGTAGCCCTCCGCAGCCGCGCCGAAGGCTGCCTCCTGCAGCTGGATGAGGAAGCGCGTCATCAGGATCCCAATGAGTCTGAAGTTGGCCACTAATCAGCGATGAACGAGGGTAGGCGGAAGGATAAAAGAGCAGCTTACGGCTCAACTAATTTCGTGAGGGTACTCGCGTAATTCGTGGTGTTGTTGTTTAGTGTGATCTATAGGACGCATGGGGTGAGCACTGAGCGTCGCGCGTGAAGGACCGATGGGTTATACGTACCGAGAGCAAGAAAAATAGGAGGCGGAGCGAGTTGTAGACGGTGAGCAGGCTCTAGCAGAGGTTTAGTAATCGAATATATAGCTGCAAACATCGCTCGCACAGGAAGTGGATTCCGCCTGACACACCCGAGTCAGATGTAAATAATGCTGGTGAAACGAGGCTCGCACCGTATTTGTAAAAAACGCTCGCAATCCCCGTCTGTGTGCTGAAGCTTCAGGGGGGCTGAAGACCCGAGAGAGGCTCTCGCGGCGGTGAGAGTGCGTTACAAACCGGGTAACAACGATGATGATACAGTCAGCGACGATGAGCGATACACGAGATGCAGTTTCCACTAGCATGACTTCGATCAGCGCACTGTAGATCTGATCATTTCCGACAAGGACACTGACGGCTGCCGCAACTGGTCAGTACGTGCTCTCGAACCGTCAAAGTCAACGAGCGAGATGTACCTCTGAGAAAAAGACTGTGAAATGTTCTCCTGTGTATGGCAGGTTGTCACCGAGCTGACCTTGATCTGCAAAAATCGAAAAGGGACCTTGATACGATCGCGGTGCCCTCATCATTTCAAAGGGTGTCGCCGCACGGCAAAGAGAGCTTACCACGTCTACGATAACTGGGGCTAAGGAGAGGAGGAAAACCAGGGCCGCCCACGGCCACTGCCTTTGGAGCGCATACACTCGTAGACCGGCGAACACTGATACATGAAGAATCAGAGGCAGCGCACACGCACGAGGCGCGAAGAGGCGGGAATACACATACCCGACCATATGAGGTACTGCAAGAACATGAGCACGTACGCGAAGACCACATATAACATGCATCTGTCCTCGCGGGCCGTCTAATTCAGCAGTGATCGTAGGCTTGGAGCGAGGACCTCACCCCTGAACAGACCCACTCAGTACAAATAAGCGAAAATGTATTCCCATGCACTCGCCGTATATGCGGTGCTGTGAGTCCACCAGGACGTGTTGTATATAGCGAAGATGAGGGCGAAATACTGGTTCGCGAGGAAGAGCGCACATGCGCCGGTCGGCTTGCGTCTCCAGAAGTAGGCAATTTCCTTATCCAGTGTGAGCACGTAGTGCCATATTATAGTCACTACCATCAAGGCTAAGGAATTAGCGATGAACGAGGGTCTCTAAGGAATGAAGGACTCACTAGCTACGGCAGTGACGCAGTAGTCCTGTACAGCGCTGAGGAAACAACGGTGAGACATACACCACAGAGCAACGAAGGCAGGACAGTACATACTAGAAGGCCTCTTGCTCGATGAACCCGGAAACATCGAACCCCACAGTAGTATTCATTCCAAGGCTAGCTAGACTCCACAAGTGTATAGAAGACGAGGAGACGGAAATGAAGGCCTCGCAGAGGCGGCAGGATAAGGGGCACACTAGGCGCGTAAGATGGATCCTGAACAGTCGACGTAGGACAATGTTATATATCATGCGTTGGAGCCATGCAGACGGATACCCGAGTGAGAGCAACCTAGGGGGACGGAGAGCGGAAGCTTCGAACTTGACGCGTCGTTATGAGAGAATATGGTTGCACAGCGACTGTAGCACATCAATGGGTGATTATCCACATTTTGAAGGATCGAAACGAACGAAGTTGACAACGAGCTGAAGGAGGACAAAGACCTGCGTAAGGGGGAGATGGTAGCCAACGAGCACGTTCGCATCCCACATAGTCTGTGCACAGAAATCCAAAAGCACGAAGGGTGACCAATAGCCAGCATAGCACAGTCAACCGTGTCAGACGGAACCTTGGCAAATATAGCACATCAGTAAGCGGCAATTCAGGGTTCCGCAGAGAGAGACGCAGTAAGCTTCAACGCGATCTAAATCGGTGTATGGCTGATCTTTCAACTGATAGTCGTAGCAATACCTGAAGCTGTTCGCCCCTGCCGGATACGAACAGACCTGATTATATCCCTCACTGCTGTGTCGACGGAATTACGAAAGAGGAGGATCATCTTCCATGCAAACATGAGCGACGAACCGCTGTGTATTCTCCTCCGCCGTGCCGTCCCAGCTCAGGCCCTCCTGCTGACACGCGCGACACGACTACATCGCGCACGTCGCCGCCACGATTTCTGCTAGCGTATCCCCGGCTGGAAATGGCAACTTCTTCATGGGCCGGCCCCTCGTCGTCCGTGTGCCTGTCGATCGAGGCGGGGGAAAATCGCGGTTGAAGAGTTCCTCCCCTTCGCCCGACCGCAGGGCGCCATATTCGGCGAGCCAGTCCTGCCAGGGGATGTTGTCCGGTATGTCCAACGCGGCAGCATTGACAGGGTTGTACTCGCGCACACGCATCTCGTGGAGGAGGAAGAGCGCCGGGAACGGCGCGTGTGGATGTGCGTGGTCGAGCGCGAGCGCCTTGCCGTGGTAAAGTACCAGGTCGGGGTTGTCCGCGTTGTCCGTTGTTCTTGCTCTGCACGTGTGACTCAGTCTGCTGCATAGGGAGGAACAAAAGAGAAGGAACTCACGTTGGGGATAAACCGAATGAAAAAGCGGTTGACGTCGAACATAATGGAATGGTTTGAACACAGCACGAGGCCGTTGCGCGGGTCGTGTGCGAGATTCTGCTTGGCATTCGAAGGGATCCAGTTGCGACGTTTGAGTTCAGACCACTAGTGGACATGTACATGAGGTGGAAGTGCCATTTCGCGGATAGGGGATACCATCATATGCGACTTACGAAGTCTTCCTGAGACTCCTTAACGATTAGAATAGCCGAAGATTGCTCTCCACAGATAACACAGCGTGGGCATCCCAGAAATTTGTCTCTGTCATGGATGGCGTCGCCACACTCGGAGGGGGGAGACGAGACTGAGAGGACGCGCTCAGAAGACTGGTAGCTAGTAGGCAGCGCTGTAGGAGGAAGCGAGTATTCAGAGAGGGGATGCATGTATCGGAAAAGCTAGACCAGCAGAGAGCAGCAGCAAAAACAGCAGGAGGAGGAGAAGAGGGAAGAGAAGAAGGAGAAGAAGAAGGAGAAGGATGCTCGAGGACGAGAAAGTCGGAAGGAGACAGTGACTTCCGGTCCGCTCCTGTCCGCCCGGACCGGGAGCAGCCCATTGGGCGTTTGTCTCTTCTCCCGCGGCCATGATGACGCGGACAACTGTCTCTGCACTGCGACGTTGCTGCGACGTCGACTGTCTGAACTGGTTTCCTTGCTCTGCCGTATAGCGCATATGTGGCGATAAGGTGCTCTCCCAAAAACATAGCATCGTCGCCATTACTGGCCGGCAGGTTGATGCATGAGCGCTGAGCGCTGAGCGTTTGAACTGCCGTCAACGGCTGTCGATCGTCGACTCGGATACGACGGTGCATGACTGTGCCCACTCACCCGATCGCTGTCGTATGTGAGGGCCACTACCGGAATAAATCTAATGGTATTATCAAATCTCAAGCCTCTTCATCGTAGAGCATGTCTAACACAATCTATTGGTACAGAGTCCAGCCGCTACTTCATTTCTGGTCTTCCTCGTGGACTGTCACACTATAGATGACGCTCTCGATCACCGCTCACTCATGGAACCAGAGGAGGCTATCAACGAGTACTCCGAATCGCTCATTGTAGGAGTATCCTCTTCATCTGTTGCTCGGCGAACACTCTTCTCACATCGGCTAAAGCCGCGCTTGTGCCATACGTGCCTGCACAGCAACGACGCCGCAAGTATGCAGCAGCCGTGCGCCGCCGTGTCCTTGCACGCTCCTCGCGGGAGATGGAGCCCTCACGGGAGCCGTCACCTGTCTCCAAAGCCACGTCTGTTGATCGGGCGGCGTTCTCGGCGCACGGCAAAAACAGTTCACTCGGCACGCTCCGATACGTGGGCGTCGCGTTGTCTGCGCCCAACGTCAAGAGTATCGGCATCGGGCGACGTCTCGAGCTATCCGCCGAAGCCTTTGCGTCGCACGTGGAAGAAGGCACGTTAGTACGCGCTCTATCGACAACCCTCGCTGACCTTCAACAATGAAGGACATGCCGCCGAGCACTCTCGCACTGAAAATACTGCATCGCCCGGGGAGGCCGCCATTCAAGAGAGAATCACTCACATATGACCGCTGTGCATCAGCTAGGGGTGTTTGGTCCTGACGGGCGGAGTATGTTTAAGGCGAGTCTGCGGCGGGGCGGTGGGAATTCATTTCAGTTCCCGGGTTGTGGCCAAGTAAACGGGCACAAACACGCTGTCGATCGGAGCAATCTCCAACCTGCGTCTACCAGTCACCTCCACTTCCTAGGCTCTGCGTGTATCCTCTCTCGCACGCACTGTCAACGACCGAGCTTTGCGATGCGCGATGAACAGGATATATCACGACCAGATCCACTGGCAGGTGAGACCGCAACTTTGTGCACCCTTTCTCGGCGTTCTGAACAACAGCTACAGGTCTGAGTGTGCCGGTGTGCCCTGGACCAGAACGTGTCTATTCCGCGCATCCACGCCGCTGCCACCCCCTTTACTTGGACGTCTGCATATGCGGCACTCTGCGCCACCTTCGTCGTCGGTATTCTCCTCCGTACAGCGTTCGGAGTGGAATCTTGAGCGGCCATCTGCAGGCTCGCTGACCAGATTAGTCCCGATGTCCTTCCTGTCCCTCTGCGATAGAGCGGTATAAATTTCGGCGGTGCCACTGCGGTCATGCATTCTTACCACCTCGCTATTTCACTTCTTTCTACCGGTTTCTACATCAGCACCACCAAGGTATACCGAGAGTACGTCTCGTGTTCTTTGCTTCATTTCCATAGCGACTTGCAGCTCACTCACATCCTAGAATCACTCTAACGCGTATCGCAAGTGTCAGCGGTGTACGATGAGCAGCCTCGGTATGTTCCATACACCTTCCCCGTCCCAAGTCATCTAAATATACGATCTTCACCCCATGCAGCAATGGTTGTTTACCACCACCTCTTGACGTTCGACGCGGAATACAAGCACTTCTGGGCAAATCGCAAGTTCGGCTTCGGGTGGACATTGTTCCTTGTCAATCGCTACCTACCGCTGGCCACGTCCTTGAGCGAGGCACTGTGGTGGCCGGTGAGCCATAATCATACAGTGAGTCTCCCTGTAAGGCTTCAGTTTGGCGTTGTAGGGAGTACTGAACGGTGCACGAGCATAGGGGTACGTTCTACACCATATGTGTGACTCGGCACGAACGCATATACTAATTACCAGTTTCCGAAATTCGGTCAGCTGCGTGGTGCTCTTCACATCCCAGTACACCTTTGAGTACCTGCAGTACGCCATGTGGGGAGGTCAAAATTCCCTTTCATCTCTCGTGCACGTCGCCAGTCGCTGAATCTCAATCACAGCAATATCTTCCCTCAGAGTGCACGCCCTCACACATAGCTGGCCGCTTGTTCTATTCGTTTTGCTGCTCGCGCTCGTGGCGCCCATTACCACCGCTGTACGTCTTATCCTCCTCCGAGATTCCAGTGCGGTTCATCTTTGAACTCATCTAATGGCCGACAGGTACAGTTGACATATACGCGACGTGCAATCGACCCTATGACTGCAGGCTGCTTCCTCGACTCGAGTAGGCTGCCGTTCAAACTGTACAAGATGTGCGTCTTATTCGTTTTAGCCTGCGTACCCCTTCATACCTTCTGCTCACCTAATTGTCTCTAGTTGTACGTCTGCACGCTCGCGGAGTCGAAAGTGGCGCCCGGCGCTCACCCGCTTCCCTCTTTCAGTTCTTATCCTGTCATACGCCACCTACGTGCTCTCGGAGATCATCGTGGTCGGCGTCACCTTTCGCGCGACGCGCCATAGCAAGGACCTCGCGGGTGCGCTGTGGCGCGGGCGAATGTCGCTGTCGGATGTTATGTTCCGCGATGGTGCGTTCTTTCTCCCCTTCCCCCCGGTCCCTCGAGTAGTCCTGTCCGTGCTAGGATCGTAGACGCTCACATACTGATACTAACACATCGTCTACAGGGCTCATCTACTTCGTGTAAGCTTCGCATTTGTATAGCAGCGCCCTTCTCCTAATCAGCATCCTACGCATGCCCTAACGACTACATAATACAGGGCAATCGCGCTGCTCAACGCTGCTCCGTTTATTGTGAAGTTCACACAGGTGAGCATTTCGAGTCATGCCGTCTGTCGCACTTGTCTCCGTCATGTCATGTGTTAACCGTGATGCCACAGATCGCGGAGCCGGGCAGCAAGCCATCCGGCCTCGTGAACGCTCTGCTGAACTTTATCTCCCCGTGAGTCGCGCCCGAAGATCGACCACCTCCCTTTTTTCTCTCGTTGAGTATATGGTCGCTCTGCGCATGCTGACACTCCCGCAGGTTCACGTCGATCCTGCTCACGCAGTTCTACTTCGATCTGCAGGAGACCGCAGGCGCGGACGTGTCCCTGTCGGGTTACGCAGATGGCACTGACACATTCGAGCTGCAATATATGTCGACTAGGACGACCGGCGATTTGCAGTTTGCAGTACTTGATGAATTCGACGTGTCGGGTACGAGCAACAGGCCCGCCAGTACGACCACGATTAGTTCGCGAGCGTCCTGAGGTGAGCTGTGCTTGGAGTAGACTTTCACTTGCGCTACTGACTATGGATCCGAATTCCCACGCTCTATTCTGGAAGTGGTGTGTATGCGGAGATGGACCTACGAGGGCGGTATGATTGGTATGCAAATGTCCTCGTCATGATACTGGTTACCATTCACTCACTCGTCAATGATGGTCAGTGCACTTGTATACCTGGATCGTTGACCTTGTCGGCGAAAGAGAGTCGGACAGCGAGCGGTCGCACCCGGGGTAACCAAGACGAGCGCCTGGACATCGCGCATGTTCTCATCTCTCGCGACTGTATCGCCTCGATAGTTAGCCTCTTCCCTAAGGGCACGACGTCAATGCTACCAGTACGTGTCAGTCGTCGTTCGCATCTCCTACGCACCTAATCATGCGATCAGTTGCGGCTTCCCTTCATGTTCGTGTCTAGGGATCTGCACAGTAAATCGTGAGACCGGCTCGGACATCGTCCGTGACCTGTGTCAACCGTCACCGCCCACGCACATGCACTGCTATCATGCATGCTTCTCTATGTCACACAGCACGCGGTACGTTTGACGGGCCGACATACAGAACACTTGCGGTTGAGATGATTGCGAGCAGCGGGCACGTACATTTCAAGCGCTGAAGCAATCAACTGCGAGGTTTCCGAAGACCATCGGAGCAAGCTCACATCCCTCCTGGATTCTACTCTCTGTATCGAACGTGTGCGTGGTGTTTAACGTTAGCGTTCGCGTTGCCAGCATTTGTACTCGCTAATGTTGCCGGCAGGGGTTCTTCCAGGGATCTGCTCGGAGGCTGTCCCCACTGAGATCCCAGCTCCATAAGTGACAGCGATCTAATTCGGCATTAACTGTCCCCTCGCTAATCTTGAGATGGATGGACTATTTCCTGCGTGCAGAGCACAGTAACTTTGAACGTGCTGAGCGGCACGCAAACACCACATGCGACGATTGACTAACTCCTGAAGCATGTGTCTTCAGACATGGCCGTGCGTGCGCAGGAACTGACGGTCAGGCCTCTACTGTTCATCGCGCCATATTTGGCACGGCGCGTTACCACGCCATGCACCCCCGCCTGCTTCCGCAGGACGCAGCGCCGCATGCTGCTGTCTGCCGACGGTCTAGAGAAGTACGAAGGCGGCTACGAACGGCAGCGCTCGCTACCATCGCTTCCTGTGCTTTGAGTTTGGCATGTTCGGTGTGTTCTGCATGCTCATGGCCGACGCTTCGTTGATGATGTCAATGTTCGCGCCAGAGTAGGTGCTCTGTCATCCTATGCACCGAGCGGTATAAGACATGTCTTCGAATCTGCCCCCTCTTTCGCTAACTCTGAGCTTCGTCTCTTCCTCAAACCTTCAGTCTTTAGGTACCAAAGGCTATTAACCCACATTTATCACTTTCGTCACCGTGACGGCCTTCTTTGCGAGAAGACATCGCTAACATGAACTCTTCTACTACATCTGATCAAGCCGCGGCTGCCGCAGAGATCGCTGCATATATCGCCGAACTAAACTTCGAGTATGTCCCGCGCCTCTCCTCCAGCCTGGACCGTCTTACATGTTCTATAGTGTGATGCAAAGTTATTGCACAACAAGCGCCATCGGTCCGTCCATTTTTCGCTAAGCTTCTTCGACTCGATATCGCTGACTGTCGCTGCGCATCACACAGTCCTGCTTGCTTACCACTACATCACAACACTTGACGATGAGGCTACGCACTTCTGGAGCAAAGCTGTCGCACAAAAGGGAAGGGTCACGCTCGCGTGGATGCTATTTTTCGGGAATCGCTACTTGCCGATAATTGTCTACGCGTACCAGGCGCCGTGGTGGCCAGTAAGCACAGATATAACTGTGAGTGTTCAGACTCTCTCTTTCCCTATGGGCTCGTCTTAGTGGTCGACTCGCGCTGATCATAACGTTCTTCTATATAGGGGTACGCTCTATTTGCTTCGCTTTCTCCAGCTCGGACTGTGCTAATCATGCACCTCGAAACGTCGCCTAGCTGTGCAGCGACAGTCATATCGCAGTACATTCTCGAGTACTCGCAATACGCTCTCTGGGCCGGTATGTATTGAAACCATTACCTGCATGCTTTCCCTCTGTGTACTGATGTCCAAAATTACGTTTGGGATAACAGCGATATCATGCTTCCGGGTACATGCCCTCCGAAAAAACAAGGTGCTAGCGCTGCTCGTCCTTCTGCTGGCGCTTGTACCAGTGTTCTCTGACGCCGTGAGTTCTTCCTCGCTCCTTCCTCGTTACACCAGATTAGATCACTCACAACTCCGGGCCGGCGTACGTGCATAGGTCCTCGCAACATACTTAACGCCAACGATAGACCCCGTCGACGGCTGTGTACTGGACGCAAGCCGCCTCTCTATGAAAGTATACGACATGTACGTCTGTCTCTCGAATTCTCGACATGAAAGATCGCTCACTTCTGTCTGATCTTCTTCCTACGCCTTGTAGTTGTGAGTCTTGCCATAAACATTCACTCGCACGAGCTTCTCTGAACACTAGTGTGCGAGCAGTGGACGTGTTTGCATACACGGGCTGGATCCTCTCTGAAGTCTTTGTCGTTGGTATCACGCTGGCCGCGACCCACCACCACAAAGCGCTCGCCGGTGCGATAGGGCGCGGGAGGCGCACACTATCTGCCGTTCTGTTCCAGGACGGTGCGTGTGTAATGGAACGAGTGAGAGTGAAAGCTGACTTCGGATCGACTCGTTTTCAATCCTGGTCATCATCCGGACACAGGCCTCGTATTTTTCGTGTACGTCCCTTCGCCTCTCATACCAGTCCTCGCGCTCTGGTCTGAATTCTCAAGTCGCGCATTGCAGGACAATCATGCTGCTTAACATTGTGCAGCTCATCGTAAATCTCCTCTGTGTAGGTCCCCCATCTACCATCTTACCACCTCCCGTAACTAAGCAAGCCCATCCAGCTCCTACGCCCCACTGTCGGGTCCAACTCTGCAAGCACAGTACTGACGCTGGTCGACCCGTACGTGCTGCTCTATCACCTCTTTCTCGACACCCACTGACATGCTGTACATGAACCAATAGCTTGATCTCGATCCTGCTCACTCGCCTCTATTTCGACCTACAACAGACCAGCACATCACAGGAGCTCGACGCCGGAACATCATTGACGGGCGCCGAGTTCTCGTTCGGGACTCTCGACCTGGACGCACGGTTTGCGGAGTGCGGCCCTACGGACCAGTGTTAGGAGGCACCCTACTGTCCAATGCAAGCTCGCGCATTCGGGAGGCACAATGTATGTGTATTTGTAACTAGAATCAGTACCGTGGAGAGGAGGCGCCTCTGACTGAGCTCCTCGACTCGGAATTCTGAGCGGTGTACCTGGCACCCGCAGAGACATTGCGAGAGCTGTGGGCGAGGGACCATCGCACCGCCCCTGGGAAGCTATCTTGATATTGCCATTGTCAGTCTGTGCGGCCGCAGGCGGCGCGTACGATGCCACGTTGCCCCTGTGCTGCGACACGCCTGCTCAACCTCCCGCGCTCAACGATCCACCTCCTCGCTCACCCGCGCCCACTGCAACGTCGCCGTCCCCGAGTCCCCAACCGCACCACTCATATCCGTCCAAACCCCGCTCCCAAACGAAATCGCGCTGCCCATCGCGGGCCGCGCAGCTTTCCGGAGGTGCGCTAGAAAGCGCGTGACGAGGATCGTCGTGAAGCTATCGTACGTCGTCTTCACGAACACGGCGAGGAGGTTCATGCGCCCGCCTGCCCCGGATCCGAGCGACTCCTGCCCGTGCCGCCGCAATATGCCCCCAGTCGTCAGTTGAAATGTAGGCAGATAATGGAATGCGGAATTGGGCGCACGTACCTCGAGGAGTATGACGGCGAGATACAGCGCGTTCAGGGTCGTGAGTACGCTGGGCGAGTGCGGCTCATTCAGGTGTGTCCCAGATCGAGGCGCAGACGCCACTGTACGTGCGGCCTGAGTACTCACACGAAGTAGATTGCGCCTGCCCCCGGGGTCGCATTCGACGGTCAGAATCGGTTGCTGGAACACGCGAAGACGAGAGTCGAACGCCGCACCGTTCGTATAGAGGACGCTCGAGAGTGTTGTAGTCCGGCCGAATCTTCGAAGTAGGTCCTGGCTGCGGTAGGTTTCGCGCGTGGCCGCCCAGGTGACGCCGAGCACGATAACGTCGGCCACAATGAGCGCCATGCGCGACACTATTATCACTGGATTGGGGACGAAGGACGGTTAATCAGCGTCATCGCATCCCCATAGGCTGTGCTGTACTGACCACTATGCTGATGACTGCATATTCGTGGTAAGAACATATCATACATGATAAGGAGGAGGGATACTGACCTTAAAAACAGCTGGTCCGACATGTTGACCTGAGTCGGGCAGTCTGCATACGGTAGAGCACCCGCGAAGACGTCTGCGAACGGGAGCCGTACCTAGTCACCGAACAGTGAGCCCTGTCAGTTCTCATATGCCTCTCGTAGATGCGAGTGTGCTTACCCCACTCGAGACGGGCGGGACTACTGAGAGCAGGAGCACAAGTGCCGCCCACGCCCAGCGTTTCCACAGCGCATACACTCGGAGCGACGAGAATGCTAGCGCGGGGGCAGAAAATCGAGTTATGCGGTGTCCCTGAGCAAGTCTGCATCGGGGCGCGTAGTGTACTCACCTGCCCAGGAGACGTACTGCGCGGCTTCGAGGAAATACAAAGCATACATAGTGGCGGTGCATCTATGGTGCGCTCGGGTGTGCCACGACGTCAATTGGACGAAAGTGAATAACGACTCCGAGGAGCTTACCCCTGCAAAAGAACACCGAATGAGCGTCGATCGAGACCTTTGAGCAGGGAAGAATTTTTTTACTTTAGACGTAGAAATTCCGTAGAACCATGGTGTGCCGTATATGGCCCATGAGAGCGTGAGGTAACGGATCGTGAGGAACAGGGCCGAGGGGGCAGTGATCTTGCGACTCCAGAAAAACTGGATCTCTGTATCGACGGTGAGGAGATGATTCCATATTACAAGGACTTTGTTTGACGCATTATAGTCATATAAGCCGCCGATTGGTATGCCAATGGCGGAGGACCTACTGGCATTAGCGGTAGCGTAGTATTCTGATTTAACGCTGAAGAGAGAGGATGAACTTAGCGAGGGAGTACTGCGGAAAGGGAATACTACGTACCTGAGCATCTCTAAATGGATGAGATGATCGAATTGAAAATTATAAGCAGCTGTAGAGTTCATGTTCTCGTTGCGAGTGCAAATAAGATAAAAAACGAGAGGGAAGATTCACATGTCGACGTTTTAAACGGGGTCCAGGAGGGAAGCGCAGGTCCAACGCCACTGCTTATACATCGGCTTCGAGCGTTTGAGGCTGACTGTAGCAAGACGTCAATGACTACTTACGCTGTGGCGGGATGGTGGGAGGTGCTCGGTGACTCCGGTGACTGTCCGCGTAGGCGGATAGCCTGATAGCATTGAGCAAGCGGCACCGAAGGCTAGTGATAGTCGCTCATGACACTAGTTAAACGATCCCGTTGGTCACGTAGCACCAGAAACGACTAGTAGGGAAATATATCGCAGACACATACTCGGCCCCTTCCCAGGCTCTAAGAGGACGGTCATGAAGGCAAGTTCCAAGCTACGCAACGCGTGAGACTCGGACACAACGGAGATGTCATGACATGAGCGCTTATTCCATCTCCGTTTAGATCCGATGCAGATCTTCCAAAGATCTGATTTCGGCGTCTACGCCGACGTTGTCCATCTCTCTCTCCGACTCGGAGTCCGACTCGGACTCGACTGTTCTCATGACTCTCTCGCTATCAGCACGGACGGTCGGCGGCGTAGGCTGTGGCTCTCTCAGAATGGCCGCTTAAGTCTCTCAGACTCTATTATCATCGACAGGAACCGGCCGATTCGGCTCGACGAGGGCGGGGGTTTGCGACTTCGTCACTTGCTCATGATGTCTTGACGCGTAAGTGAGCTCAGGCCTCCGACCGGTGCGCCGCTTCTACCGATATTGACAACTGTAAAAGCATGATAAGCTGCTCGTAAGGGAAATGCGACACACTTCAGCACCCCTGCCAAGCTAGAAGCCATCTCAACTGCCAGAACGTCGACCGTCTCGATCATGCGCGTGTACATCGGTTGCACAGTGCTGCACTCTGCGATGGGTCTTTCGAGGCCTTCTTCGAGTCAAAAACATCGGCTCCGAATACCTGTTGGCAGTTTGAGATGAAACCGCTCACCGGTCGAACGTCCGCTGGGAGTCGATGCCAAAACGGATGTCCAGGTACTGTCTATGATGCATCCCATCTTCTCGTCACCGAACTCCTGTGCTTACAACTCTGCCCGGTAATCTCATCTCCAGCCGTCCGTACAGCCACTTCTCCGTCGAGATTTACGTACGACAAACAGCGGATCTGACAATGAAACGTGCCGATGGCTGTGCGTTGCATGGCCACGCAAGCTTCGTGCCTCGCCCACTAAACCACGTTCCCCACCTCCACTCGGCGTCCAGGATTCTCCCGACGCGAGCCACTGCGCGTTGACCCGCCCTCGATCGATTTCCACGCGGTATCCAGGATCGCGCAACGTAAAGATCGACCCTCGACTGTGCAAAGTCGCCTGCACCGCATGGTTCGCTGCGCACTGCCACATCTACGTTAGCTGCTCTCAGCAAGCCGCCCATCATCGGTCTTCTATAGGAATTCTGGACACCCAATGGAGCACGAGGAGCGGACGCGCCCGCGATCGTACCGTGCTACCACTAGTCGTCCGCGTTTTTTGGGTACTTAGTGGCGACGGTGTCATGTCCTGCTCGTCAGTGTACTCGGGCCGTATAAGACGGCTCCTTCGTCGTTCTCTTCCGCTATCTCAGTGGCTTGATTCACCTCACATCCTGACGACGATCACCGCACCAATATATAGCCCACTCCTCCCTCGGCCGTTGGTTTTGAGCTCGCTCTGACTCACAAATATCGCGAGTAAACGCTGTCAAAATGAGCTCGACTTCAACGGACGAAGCCGCAGAGATCGCCGCATACATCGCCGCCTTGGAATTCAAGTACGTCCATCTCCTCGTGGAATTTACCCTCTGTGCATCTGTAGCTCACCTGCGCCGTCTCCAGCTCAGTGCAGCTTTACTGCGTCGCCAGCGCCATCGGTAAATCCGCCTCCCCCTTTGCGCTCCGTCAGACGTCGCTGACCTCTCCCGCGTCCGCGTCCGCAGCCCTGCTCGTCTACCACTACATAACAACGCTCGACCTCGAGTACACGCACTTCTGGGCGAAGCGCAGGTTCGGCGTCGCCTGGGCCCTCTTCCTCGCCAACCGCTACCTCCCGCTCGTCGCATACATCTACCAGGCACCGTGGTGGCCGGTCACCTTTGATCCTACGGTGAGTCGTGTTTTTATTAGATATGCTTCGCCATGCAAATGATTGACCAAACTCCATGTGAACGCAGCGGTACGTTCCGCACACAATTCACAGACGGCTATCGACCGCCGTGCTGACTCTCATTTCTCGATCAGGTGTTCAGCAATAGTCATCTCGCAATACATCCTCGAATTCTCACAGTACGCCCTCTGGGGAGGTCCGTATCATTTCACCTTCTCTCACCCCACCGTCCGCTCATCTCGCACTGTAGCCATAGCGTACCTGCGAGTACACGCGCTCGGGAAGAGCCGGGCGCTCTCCATTCTCGTCCTAGTCCTCGCGCTCGTCCCCGTCGTATTCGACATCGTGCGTCTCCCACACGAGCTCAGCCCTTTTTAGCCGTACTGATGATACGCACGACAGGTGCTGCTGACGTACATGCACCCCGCGATCGACCCCGCCGCGGGCTGTCTCCTCGACTCAAGCCGCGTCCCATTCGAGTTATACGAAATGTGTGTCCCGGGTATCCTCGCCTCTTACTACCGTATCTAACGCTGCTCCACACCTGCAGTAGTGAGACGCTCTTTCCACCGCCTCGCAACCCTTCCTTTGTGTTTATATGCGCCCGCACGCACAGTTGACGTCCTGTCCTACACTGCCTGGGTGCTCTCCGAGGCTATCGTCGTCGGGGTCACGCTCGCCGCGACGCGGCACCACAAAAGCCTCGCAGGCGCGCTGGGCCGCGGGCAGAGGTCGCTCTCCGCCGTTCTCTTCCGTAATGGTACGTTAGTTCGGTGGCAGCGTAGGGCGGACGAGCGGTCGCTGACAAACATTCTCTTCCGTGTCACCGCGAGCAGGCCTCATTTACTTCGTGTAAGTTCGTGGTGGAGGGGCTTTCTTGCCAGCGGACGTTCATACAGACTACACGCAGGACGCTCACGGTGCTCAACATCACCCAACTCATCGTCAACGTCATCTCGGTACGCACATCTCCTGCCTGCCTCCGTTTCCCTGTGGTTATGATGTTAAGTGCTTATTTCTAGATTGTACGGCCGAGTACTGGAATCAACCTAGTCAGCTCCATGTTAAGCTTCATCGCACCGTACGTCTCTCTCCTCCCAACCATGTACAAGACCAATCTCCAAACCCGTACGCTGACTCGTCTCCACTCGCATCCACAGACTCACCTCCATCCTCCTCACGCGATTCTATTTCGACCTGCAAGAGACCGCCTCCCCGCCCTCACGTTCAGCCGGCGCCGCATTGCCCGGCTGGTCACGCACCACGGGCGACCTCGACTTCTCGCTCGGGGCGCACACTCTTGTGTTCGCAGGGGAGTCTGCATCCCACTCAGGCGGCCAGACGGAATCGAACACCAGCAGCAGCCCCAGTGGGAACGTCTCGCGGGACTTGCCAGGCGTGCATGCAATCGAGCTCGAGATGCGTATGACTGGACACAGTTTGGAGACGGGGGAACGCAGGGGCGCTATTCTGTGAGGTGAAGTTCCAAGATAACAATGTTGTACATCATAGTGTACTCTTATACCAAGATCGCTTGCGACAAACACCCAACCCCTTCGCAAACCACTACCCGGCTTCGCGTCCCCGGACTCTCCGTTGCGTCGCGGTCGCATCACCGAAAGTTGATGCTCCGGGTCCCCTGCGGCATCGCGTCCAGTTCCACCTCTTCGGCGTCCGCGGTCTGTCCCCCGCTCTGCCCTGCGACCCACGCTGCGCCATCGCCGGTCCCTTCAAGCCCAGTCGCGGCCCCAGCCACGCAGTCGAAGTCCGCGCATGCAAACTGCAGCGTCCCCGTGCCAGTCGCGAAGCACACGCTCCCGGCCGTGGGGCGCGCTGCCTCTTGGAGGCGCACCATGAAGTGGACCACGAGGATCGTCGTGAAGCTGTCGTACGTGATCGTGACGAAGTCAGAGAAGAGGCCCATGCGCTCGCGCGCGCCGACGCCCAGCGTGTCCTGCCACACCCGCACCTATCAGCGACGTGCACGGTCGGCGAGAGATGAAGCGGTGCGGATGCCAGAATGGGATGCGTACCTCGATCAGGATGACGGCGAGGTAGATGATGTTCAACGTCGTCAGCACCCTGGTAGACCAAATCAATGGACACAATGAGATTTGGCCATCAGAAAAGACGGAGGAGGTGTCTCGTCCGAACTCACACAAAGTATATAGCACCTACAGACGTAGTACGTCAGTCCCAAGACGCGCGTGAGATCATACTAGACGCCCGCGAGCAAGCAAACGCACCGTTCTTGTACAGGACGCCCGCGAGCGTCGTCGTCCGTCCGAATCTACGCAGGATACTTCGGCTGCGGTAGGTGCGCGTAACAGACCAGGTGACGCCGAGCACGACGACGTCGCTGACGATGAGTGCCACGCGCGACGCGATGATCACTGGTAGCGTGCATGCAAAAAAAGACAATGTCAGTCGCGCACGACGCTCCGAGACTTCTCTGAAACAACTTTACAGCGACTGACTTTGAGGACACAAGTATCATTAATGACTATGTAGCACCATGTACATCTGCACCACGAGAACAGAAGCCGCTAGGGAAAGTGATTTATGGAAAGAAATGTTCGTAACTCTCCTCAGACATCATAGCTCGCGCTACAGCCCCTGATCTGCCCGACACCAACTGGCTCGGGAATATCCAGCACCACTACATCGCTTCCTCCATCCTGCTCTTTCTGATTATCGCCTTCATCTTCACGGGAACATTGAAGTTCTATGGCCCAGTTGTCGACATCTGCCCTAGCGAATTGCAGGATGCTGTGAGTATCCTGCCAGGTGGCCGCCTGAAAATCGCTGGACGCAGCGCGAACTGCCGCGGCGTCTTGGATCTGGAAGAGGAAGTTTGTGATGAGGATGGCCGTGGAGCTCTCATATAGGATATCGAGGATGGCCAGGAATACGCTTATGCGCTCGCTTTCTATGTAATCCGTCAAAGTGTCCTTGTTACGCAAATGACGATCAGGCAGGCACTCGGAAAGGGTCGAAGTGGACAAACTTCGAGAATGTAAGCGACAAGATAGACAGTGTTGAGGGTGGTGAGCACACTGGTGGTAAATTGTATCAGCACTCGCACGACACTAAATGAAGCCGTCAACGCACAGGAAGTATATTGCACCTGCCGTCGAGAAGATCAGGGACCGTACCAATTATTTCAGCACAATCAATAATGAGGGGGGGAAACCTGTATGCTCACCGTTCTTGTACAAGACGCTAGATAACGTCATCTTCTTTCCAAAGCCTTTGAGGATATCCTGATTCCGGTAGCCATGGGTGACCGTCCAAGTGACGACGAGCACAATGGCGTTGTTGAGGATCATACATATGCGGGATCCGAGAGTTACTGGCGCAAGCGGCGGTCAGCATACAGGTTCCATGACTCAAGGTCTAGAACTAACAGCTGCAGGCTGTGGTTAATCGACAGCGCTTGCGTGAACCATCTAGCAACATACGTACCTGAGGAGGATAGAATCTGAGATATTAGTTTCCGTTGTATGGCAGCTCACAAACGGGTATGCCGCTCCGAAGATGTCCTCGTATCTGAGTTCCACCTGACAACGTTCGCCTGAATTAATTTTGGTTGAAACTTCACATGGAAAATACCTACTATCTTGATGGCCACCGGGCCCAGCGAAAGAAGGAGAACGAGGGCTGCCCAAGTCCATTGCCTCCGAAGCGCATACACTCGCAGACAGGAGAACGCTTCCATTACGGAAATTGAGAATGTCAGCGAACGTTCGGCGCAATGTGTATCATGGACATACCTGCCCAAGCCACATACTGCAGATATTCAAGGACAAATGATAAGTATATCGTCACAGTGCACCTGAGACAGACGGCGAGGGCGCTGCAAGTAAGCAGGACGAAAATGGGATGTACGCGATACATAACTCACCCCTTCAAGTTGAGTAATAGCGGACGTCGATAAGCATGGGTTTAGGCCTATACAGAATTGCATGAGATCTCACCGTCTGTGATGTGTAATGGGGAATAAAAGGCAAGTGGTATACGGTCCATACGAGAATCAAGTAGCGGTTCGCGAAGAAGAGCGCGCACGGGCCTGAGAGGCTGCGACCCCAAAAGAATTCCGCTTCTCTATCCAAGGTGACAATATGATTCCAGAAAACGAGGGCTAAGTCAGAACATGTCAGTTAGGTATATTCCAGGGAGTCCAGAGATCGGTACACTCACCCGCATTGGCCGCATTGTAGTACAGTTCTGCAGCACTGAGTGCGCGCTGTTAGTCGTCTAGAATCGTTTAGTTATAGTGCACACATACCTAGCAGCCTCGAAGAGTATGATAAAAGCGACTTCTGCAGGGTCAGTGGAGTTCATACTGCAAAGCTGGCCTAGCCGTAATGAGGCGACGAGAATAAGACTAGAATGATGTAGAAACCGGAGCGTTTGAGACTGAGCAAGAGTGGGGGTTTGGACTCTGTTGGGTTCCTGTTCAAATACCATGAATATGTGGCGTAGTGATTCGTTATGACAGATTAAAATGCCCCACAAAATAAATTGCGGCGTCGCTGTGAGAAGCCCCGCATCGGACGGCTCCGGTGAGATCGGTCATTGGATGCGTCGCAGCCAAATTACCGGTGTCAGATAATAGATAGTTGGAGAGCGAATGCTAAGACCTAGGCGACAATGATTGGACGTTGGACGGGGATCGGATCGAGGCAGCCGTAGGATTGAGCGGCGTTTAGGCAGCAGCATAGTCAACATTCAGAGAATGCGGGCAGCGAGAACTATAGACAGGTACTCGTGCAGTTGAGGTTGTGAGCGTATTTGTATCGAATCAGTTCGGCGGCACAAGGGAGGACGACGACACCCACCTAGTAGCTGCGGTACACTGAATTTTTGCCACAAATATCCGCGCGCACCTGATCACATAACTGGTAATAATTTCAAACCGCAAAAACACGGATCTGATTCCGGTCCTGCTTGTCTCCACTCAGGATCGCGGCCCCATCGCGTGCACTGCCCACGCCCCTGGCCCGCCTGCGTTGGCGGCCCCGCGTTTGCATCGATCTCAATCGGCTCCGCCGCTGTGCCTCCGACGTCTGCGGCGCGCGGGATGCTCTCTGGGATCGTGATCGACAGAAAATCCCAGGCCGCCTGCGAGAGCACACGCTGTGGCGGGCACCGTGTCCCTTTCGCCTGCCGCTCAATCTCCGAGCCCATGCACGCGTGCCAGAGCTTCTCCGTCCCGCTGTTCGTCGACGAGTGCATGTTTGGTGCCGGAAATCTATACACATATCATCATCAAGACTACGTGCCATTAATAGGAGTATAAAACAGACAGACCGAGCGCTGATGTGATGCAGCACGAGACGCTCCGCGCCGATCCGCTTTGCGAACGCGCCCGCCATGGCTGCGGTACTGTATCCCCGATCGCGCGTCTTCGCGTCGACAATAGCGTCAGTGCTGTTCCAGCCCATGCGCTCGTACTGGTCCACGTTTGGCGGTAGGTACGTGTCCGTCGCCTCGTGGATCAGCAGGGACACCGGCACTCGCACTTCCCCAACTTCGGCAGGTTTGAGACGAAGTTCGCCGGTTAGATCTGGAAGCCCATCTGCGAAGGGCGGGTCAGAGAGGATAAGCTGAAGAACAGAAAGCGAGCGTAGAAGTGAGCACAAGCTAAAAACGATCATCATAGGCTAGGCAGGAAGTACAGATGAGCTAGTAGCGCGATAGGCGTACTATGCATAGTCGCGCCCCCGGAGCTCGTTCCGAGGACGACTTAGATAACCTTAAATTGGAATTGATACCGTGAGGCGTATAGTATGTAATTCGGGCATCGGGTAGCGGACATCGTAGTAGCACTCACGAGTTCGATTATAGCGGGGGCCAGGCAGAGCAACAGAACGAGGGCTGCGACCGCGCATGGGTTCCTCAGTGCAAAGACTCGCATGGAGCAACACTGCGCTGTCCGTGAGTAATAGTAGCGCGGTATCGTATGGGCTACTTACCGGCCCATACAACGTACCGCGAGATGTTAGGGAACGCCCCCGAGTACGCCTTCATCATACATCTTCGCGCGAGTGGATCAGCATCCGCAAGCGATGGTGACTTATGCTGCAGGATTGTGCAGTGGCCGGAAGCTACTCCGAGACCCCTGAGCCGGTGAAACTTACTCCGTGCGAGACAAGCGATCTCCACCATGGCGCAGAATGCATAGCACCGGCAAGGCCGAGGTAGAGATTCGTCAAGAACAGCACGCACGACCCCGAAAGTCTTCTTCTCCAGAAGAACAATACCTCCTTGTCAAATGTCAGGACATATTGCCATGCTAGAAGCGCTGTGAGTGGAAGTCAGTTCTCCGTGGCAGATGATGCATAGCTTATGCACACACCAGCGTTTGCGCTCGCAAAATAATCTGGTGCGAGACTGAGTTGAAGTCATGTTTAGGCGACCTACGAGGTCAGCGAAAGATTGTACTTACTGAGCGCTACGTTCATGAATCAAGGTGTCCGAAATCATGATACTTGCAGCCTGGGGTTTCGTTGGTCGAGTCTGTGGGCGACGCAGGGTGCGAGAGTGGAACTCCAGGGTGGGATAAAAAAAAGCGAAGCCTCCAACCGAACAGCGCACCCGGGCCAATAAATTGACCCCTTATATCGGAAGTGCCCACCATGTCCCTTTATGCGACAGGACTCCGTGTTAGAGTGCAACACTTGCAGACTGTCCAGCAAATTGCGACACCCCGGTGCGAAGGGCTTTGACAGGACATTTGACAGGCCCGGGATGTCCGTTCGGGGGCGAATCGCGCTCAGGTCGATCACGAGACTTATGTGGCCAGCGATGCGGGTCGAGGTGTTCGTGGGGTATAGCTAGACTTCGCTACTCGAGGATGAGATCTGAGCGGGGCGACCACTGGCCATTTACCGGGTGACTGCCCGACCTCGAGATTAGCTTCGCCTGCTAAACGTGCAGGAAGCGAAGTCCAGCTCAAGTGCAGAGCAGGAGTACTAGCACCCGGTGTCGAGGGAAGACACTCACAATCGGAGTGCCGATCAAGAGCGGGTCCGGAACGGGCCCGTAGTGACGGACGTTGGCAATAAATGTATGGAGTTTCGCACGGGCGCGTTTCGTATTCGGGCACGTTCAGCTCGTCTCCCAAAGTACTGGACACGATCCAGTTACATGAGATCGCGAGGACACCGGGAAAGCTAAAGTGCTTACCATACATGAGCTCCGAGAGAGGGCCCAAAAGGCGCAGATACTGCGACAACTTGAGCATCCTTTCATCACACATCCTCCCTCTCCGCCCCATCTACATCCCCGACGCTGTCCGTCGTCTCAGCGTACTCGTTATCGTGAGATAGCTGACGTGTTCCCTCGCCATCGACCGTCGAAAGCCGCTGAAGCTCGTCGTTGATCCAGTTGTCGACGTCTGCGCGTACGAACCGGAGTACGCTAATCGAGGCCGACGCATCGGAGGACCCTGACTGCAAATGAGTGCCGAAATGCATGGAGACGGATGCGGCCTCTTGCAGGTCGACGAGGAAGTGTGTCATGAGGATGGCCGTGAAGCTGCTGAAAGCGCCGTACATGAGGTCTTCAAAGAAGACCGCGGTTGTCGTTCCGCCCGGCGCCCACCGCTGAAAGGAGACAATGTAAGACTAGCGAGGGTAATTTGAAAGTCGAGCGTACGCACCGAAAGCGCATCAGAGACTAGATAAAAACAGTTTATGACCGTTAGTACCCTGAAGCACGAGCAATCAGTATTATCATAGATCCTTGCTGAAGCCGCTGCGCATACACAAAATAGATCGTGCCTACGACATGCAGAACAGTCGTCGTAAGCCCACTTTATTGGGCATCTTATTATACAAGCGCACTGACCGTGCTTTTGCAAGACGCTGGACAGGAGCGTGACCCTCCCGAAAAAACGACGGGGCTCGGGTTCCAGGCGATCGCCATATCGACGTGTGGATGCCCAGGTGACGGCTACTGCAATGAGATCGGCAATGACGAGGGCGAGGCGAGTCAGGAAGAATACTGATGCACGAGCGGTGGTGAGTACCGTATCCATTTCCGAGATGAGAGTAGAGTACTACTGACAGCTATGATCCAAGTCAACGTAGATCGTCCGCCGCATATTGTGATAGACGCACTTTTGATATACGGGCAGTGATGACGAATCCACATGTCCTAAACAGCCGAAGGACGGTATCATTACGAAGGTCTCTAACCTGAGTGTTGCCTTCAGAGTCCTGCGTGAGTATGAGATCACGAATACAAAGGACTGGGGAGCGCACCGTGTAGGTAACCACTGGTGTGAACGAGAAGAGAAGAACAAGGATCGCCCACGCCCGGTTTCGCCCTAGCGCGTACACCCGAAGGGAGGAGAATGCTTTTCTCGCAATTCGAATAAGTCGTAGTCCTCTTCATCGTGTATACTACATGCGTACCTGCCCAGATGATGTACTGCAAGCTGTAGATGCACCATTGGATGATCGAACCTGCGCATCTGCGAAGCGTGCGAGTATACAGACCCACTGTGAACATCTCGGCCGTGTACGAGGGCATACTTGTGTTCTCTCGCGAGATTAAAGACTTACACGCTATCATTCTGTGAACGAGAGCGGTGAGAAATGACGAGCGTATTGCATGAGTAGAATCCACAAGGACGTACTATACCGGAATATGAAGCACTAATGGGATCCCAAAGTAGATTGTACACGGAATAGACGAGGCAGAGGTACCGATTTGCCAAAAATATGGCGCATGCGGTGGAAGGCCTGCGTCTCCAGAACAAAGAAACTTCTTTGTCCATAGTGAGAAGGTGGTGCCATACTAGAAGGGCTACATCGAGTCAGTACGGTATGCGGACACGGAGTTGAAGTCGACCTATAAATTATGGACGCACCGGAAGCAGCAACAGTGCAGTATTTGGTCATGATGCTGAGACAGAGGACGTCAGTATATTCAAAGTCGAGAAAGCAATGCTAACGCACTCGAGAGCAAGAGCGTGTGCATCCGCATCTGCACTACTGGCAGAGTTCTTCATGACGGCGGCGAGTACAATGGCGGCGAGTGTGCTGGAGTCGATAAGTCACCATGAGAAGGAGAACGGGATGAGCTACATGGCATGTATAAGGTACCAGGGAAATGAATGGCAGTGTTTCTCGGAACCACAGAACCTCCCGACAATCCCGTTGAGATAGGAGAAAAGCGATAGCTTCGACATGAAGGCTGATGGAATGATGGTGGTTCCCGAGAGGAATGGAGCAGAACGGCGGAGGGCGAGTCCTGAGAAAAGCGCTGTACAAACGATTGCAATATGTGGCCCGAGGTCATTCTTCCTGACGACATTCATGGGCGCCTCACCTATCTCTTGATAGCCCGACACAGCGTCTGAGTGAGATTAACGTAGCGGTTGAAAGAGGCCTGAAACGAACAATGCAATCAGTACTTAAACGGACTGCGAAAGAGAGAAATGCGGTCACAAGCTGTTCGCAGGAGATACGAATCCGCACACCGACGTGTGAAAGCCGGACCGCTTTTGTGAGAGGAATGGAGTAATATCAGAGTTAGAACGCATGCTCTGATTCGTGTATACCGCGAAAGCGTAGGTCGCGCAGCGCTGCTTTGAGTACTACTTTCGCGACGGCCTACTAACGACCGAGCACATAGGATACCGCGCCTCCGCCAGAGCGGCGCTTGAGCCAGAGCTACTTCGATCGATGTACCTGGGAAAGAGGTTTGTCAGTCTCGCAGCGGGACAGACCGTAAGGGGATGACCGTACGTAAAGATGACCCGCATTGCCTTCCTGCCGAACGATATTGAGTGCCAATTATGTTCTGTCATAGGGCCTTCTTGATGAACCCGGTATGAGTTCATCAGAAGGTAGACGGGTGATCAGAGCTAATGAGGGGTAGACGAAATAGCGATGCATTTGACGAAGATTGAACGGGGGCTATAACTAGCTGTGGGCACGGAACTAGAGGCCGAATATATTCGCCTACGGAACGCAGACGTGCCCACACGCTACTCGGATTGTAACGTGAGGTGGCCCACGGCACTAACCAATGTCTGCACGGAGTCGGTCTGGGAGGAGCCGCACACGCCGCACGTCTGAGGTCCGCTAGAAGACACCGCGGCGCCACCATCGGAAGAGCTTGATTCGTCCACATCCAGACACATGGCGCTCGACTCCTGAGCCCGGGGTATTGAATAGAAGCTATGTGGGCTATATGAGCAGCAAAATAAACCACATTTGAACGATACGTACTCGTTGGCAAGACGCACAACACGTTCTTCCAGCTAGTTGAAGTCGTAATCACGACGCCACCTCATCTCGCGATATAAACTCTCAACGCAGCAAAGCTTGTGAGCGCGAGCGCAGTCGGCGATCCTCTCGAGTCGCTGATTGGTCATAACCACCACCGGGCCCATAATCTTCAGCAACCCGAGACCATACTTTTCTCGCGTGCGCTCGCGTCTGAGTTGGTGGAGGGCTTGTACGAACTGGAGGTCCACATCTGACAAGGCATCGAACCAGCTTGTCTGCGGTGTGTCTGATGCATCTGAGCTGCCGTGAGATTCGTCCATCAAGAAAGAGGTCCGCCGAGGGCGTGGCGGGGAAGAAAAAGGAGAGGATGACGGGCGAAGGTAAGTTGGCGTTCTTCGGCGTCTCCCCTTCATGCGAGCTAGATTTCATCTTATCTTATCTCCTCCACCCTTCGTCGTGGGCGCAAACAGCGAAGTCCGCCTTTCTGCGAGCAGTATACGGGTACTTCTGTATCGCACAAGTCAAACCAGCAGAACAAATCCCGTGCCGTAATCAGCAGATCCTGTTATCCTCCTGAGACCCAGAGGCTCGTACTACCATCTCCGATCTGGCCGACGTGTTGCTCGGGCGGGACTTCAATATTTCAATGGCATGGAGCATCGCTACACCTCTATCACGTCCTGTCACTCTCTCAAAACATTCACCTCCTCCAAATGAGCATCCTGAGAAGCAATGCGCCCTTCAGTCCAACTATCGATATCCGCCCGCGCAAACCGCATGGTACTACGCGCGCCTTGTGAGGTCCCTGCCAGGAAGTCGCTGGGCGTCGCGTGGACTTTCGCAGCCTCTTGGAGTTGAAATAGAAAGTTCGTGATGAGGATTGACGTGGCGCTGACATAAGAGATGTCGAGGATGTCGAGGAACACGCTGATGCGTTCGCTCGTGGCCGTTTCCAACGTGTCCTGAACGGCTTCCAGTCAGAGACGCGCACGATAAAGCCTGACTGAAGGGAGTGCACCTACCTCCAGTACAATTGCGGCCAGGTAGACCGCGTTCATGGTCGTGAGCGTGCTGATGAGAGGGTGTTTCAGCGTACGTCTACGATATTGCTGCTGTGACCGCTAGTCTTACATGAAGTAGATCGCTCCTGCGAGCATCACAGACCGGGTCAGCCCTTCGGACGACCACGTCTTACAAAGTGCGACCTCACCATTCTTGTACAGAACACTGGACAGCGTCATCTTCCTTCCAAAGCCTCGAAGGATGTCTTGCTGGTGATAGTCTCGAGTGACCATCCAAGTGACGACGACCACAATGGCGTCGCTGAGGATCATTGTAATGCGGGACACGAGGACCACTGGCGCAAGCGTGGGTCACTCTACGTCCAGCACTCCAGCAGCCAACACTCACGGCTGTAGGGGAAAGTGAGTAGACGTACGCAACTTCAAGAATGGGGTAACCTGCGGACTTTAGGAGGATCGGGTCCGGGATGTTGGACATATATGCACAGCTTGACGCGCCCTCGAATGTGTCCTCGTACCGAAGATCCGCCTGTCCACGTTCGCGTCGGTCATCTTAGGCTAAGACAGAAGTCTGCTAGTACATACCGCCTTGATGGCCACCGAGACGAGCGCAAGCAGGAGCACGAGAGCGGCGCATGCCCATTGCTTCCGAAGTGCGTAAACCCGCAAAGATGCGAACCCTATTGTGATACCAGAGATCAGGAAGGCACGGGACATGGTGTGTTGTACGGACATACCTGCCCACGCAATGTATTGCGAATATTCGAGACCGTACGAGAGGAACACTCTGACGGTGCACCTGGAGCGGCTCAAAGTCAGTCGCTACAAAGTGCATGGCATACCATGCCATCGGATGGCTCACCCCTGCGCAAGAGGTAGCAACAAGAGCAGGTGATCAGCGGAGTGTGTCGTGACGGATAGACAGAATGACGCACTGTCTGCGAGGTGAAAGTGGACAACCAGGGCGAGCGGCACACAGCCCAGAACAGGGAAAGGTAGCGATTCGCAAGCAACAAGGCGCGTGGACCGGGGAGACTACGTCCCCAGAGGTACTCCGCTTCTTTGTTCAGGGTGAGGAGATGGTTCCACACCATAAACGCTGTGCACGAAGGGTTAGTCGGCACGCAACATAACCGCCTCCATGGTCAATGGACTCACGCGCATTAGCCGTAGAAAAGTAGACCAGCGCAAGATCACTAAACTCAGGTGTCAGTTACTCGAATGACACGGTGACGGGGGAATGGGCGTACGTACCTGTTGGCCTCGTAGCGTACCAAAAGGGCCTCTTGTGGAATGAGAGTGAAGTTCATGGGTGCGAATTCGAGCTGACGCGCGCAGCGACGAAAAGTAACACGAGTGACAGTGGTACTCAGAGCCGTCTGAGACGTACCGGGACGTAGGGACCAGGTGAATTCGCATTTATATGCCGCAAAACGGTGTGTTCCAGGGTGACAGTTGTCGGACGATGCCGAGGAGAAAATCCTTGTGGCGTCGCAGTGACAAGTGCCGCAATGAACCACCAGCAGACCGCGTGAGAGGTTGGAGAGGCTGGCTCTCATGTAAGTCAGATACGTTGATCGGTGTGAGAAATTTTGAGGCCGTGGAGCGAGTAGTCGCGACAGACATGACCCGGAGAGAAGGCGGTCCGCAGCCACTCGCAGAAACGAACCAACATCTGGAGCTGGAATAGGGCAGCCAGGCCTCAGCTGCGTTCAAGTAGCACGATGATCTTTCAAAGCGGTCGGAGAAAGATGATCATAGCGAGGTATCTGAGCACTTGAGGCGGTGAGCGTGTTTACCAGTTGAGCGAAGATTTCACTCACTCAACATATGTACATTTAGGGCTTGAGCACAACTTAACCACCCGTACAACCACATTGCATACCGAGGGTGCATTCAATTGTACAACTCCAAACTTACAAGAACTCGAGCCAACTAGCTCGAAATCGCGAACCTGATAGAGACGTGATACATGAGGGTATGAAAACGCTGATGTTCCAACGACCGCACCTCAAGAAAACCCGCGGAACGACTTCCAATGGAGCCTCCTAGCTCCCTCCACCCCGCCCTCTTGCTCTCTTGTAGTCGTTTCCGTCTCTTCCACCGCCTCTGCCGCCGCCATATCCACCCCTATGTCCACCGCCACCGCCACCGCCCCTACCGCTCGATGAACCATACCTCTCTCTCGAATCATACCCTCCACGTCCGCCATCGCCGCCGCCCCTACTTCCACTCGGACCCTCGCCCCGCCCCGAGCTCCACTCACGATCGCGTTTCCGGTCCTGCTGTCCCCGCTCGGGATCGCGGTCCCATCGCGCGCGCTGACCATGCCTCTGGTCCGCCTGCGTCGACGGCCCCGCGTCTGCGTCGATCTCAATCGGCTCCGCCGCCGTGCCTCCGACGTCTGCGGCGGCGCGCGGGAAGTTGGTGGGGATCGTGAGCTGGAGGAAGTCCCAGGCTGCCTGCGCGAACACGCGCTGTGGCGGGCACCATGTCCCTTTCGCCTGCCGCTCGATCTCGCGCATGCACGAGTGCCGGAACTTCTCCGTCCCGCTGTTCGTCGCGGAGTGCATGTTTGGTGCCGGGAACCTGTACACATATCATCATTAAGACTATACGCCATTGCTAGGAGTATCAAACAGACGCACCGAGCGCCGATGTGGTTCAGTACGAGACGCTCCGCGCCGATCCGCTTCGCGAACGCGCCTGCCATGGCAGGGGTGCTGTGCCCGCGATCGCGCGTCTTCGCCTCCACGATCGCCTCCGTTCTGTTGCGGCCCGTACGCTCGTATTGGTCCACGTTCGGCGGCAGGTACGCGTCCGTCGCCTCGTGGATGAGCAGCGACACCGGCACGCGCACCTCTCCAACTTCAGCGGGGTCGAGACGTAGTTCAGCAGCAAGATCTGGGAGCCCGTCTGCGAAGGGCGGGTCGGAGTGGATGAGCGGGATAAGTGGGGAGGGGTCGTATGTGTCCCCGAGAATGACGAGCTTGCGCGGGAGTGGTGAGTTCGGGGACAGCGCGAATTGCGAGAGCTCGCGAAAAATGTAGCCGATACATGGGTCTACCACGCGCGCGTCAGTAGGGCCACGACACCTATGAGAAGACGCTTACCTCGATGCTCAATAGGGCCCGCGTCGACGAGCACGCCCTGTCTGTGGCGTGTGGCGGGCACCTCGATTATCCCGCGCCAAAAGCCCTGCGCGTCGCACCAAAAATCCCGGCCAACGCACTCGCTTTCACGCCGCACGTTCGCTTCGTCGACGTCCGCTCCCTGGGACACGTCTGCCGCTACAGATGGCGTTTCCCCGACGAAAAGCAGTTCGTGCACTACAAACGCGTGCTCGCTGTGCGTGTGCGTAAGATGCCAAAGCGTGCGGAGCATTCGGCGCAGGCCGCGAGGTCCAAATATCTCCACGCGGGGCGCGAAGGTGTTCGGGAGTGGCGCGTCTGGAGACATGGCACTGGGAGGCTTGGGGATACCGAGCGCGTTGCGGAGCACGGTGAGGACACCCATACAGTGGTCGGCTGTGCATTGCGTTAGCTCACAGGACGTAAAGACGTGTCAAAAGCGCGATATGCGCATATAGCCTGCCGGACCCGTACGAAGTGGCGCGAGTCGCAAGCCTGATGTTACAGATGGAAACGCTACCCAAGTCACGAGCGGGATGCGGTTCACGATGTAAGACGATCGAACAACTTGTGCGATGCATAGGGCACCTACATCCCTGACAAAAGGGAGCGGAACTCACCGTGCATATGCGTGATGAAAATCTTGGAGACCTGGCTTATCCGAAGCTTGCGGTAGTCTCCCCTCTGCGGCTGCTGTGCGAACTGGCGCACGGTTCCCTCCGCACAGTCAACCACTGTGGGTAGCTTGTATCAGCGCCCCTGCTTCGACGCGCGTGAGGACGGCCGCGCGTGATTGAACATCGTGGTGCACGGTACGTACTCCACAGTGAACCATCTCCGAGAGGGTCGACAACGAGGCTGGAGCAGTTCCTCGATTCTGATGGGCCTCCTCCGCTGGTTGTACCGAGAAAAGTGAGGTTGATGTTCAAGGACATGTTGTGGCGAGAGCTTGACGAGTTCGGTCGGGTGAACAGGACGCGTGCTGAGAACCGAGCTTTTGATCTTCTGAGCAGTGGTAGGGATACAAATCGAGGACTAGAGAAAAGACCTAGGAGCATCGCGAAGAGCTCATGACGGCGAGAATAAAGCGAGAACAAACTGAAGATCAGAGAGCGAGCGCAGATGGTGCGAAGGCAAGTCAAGCGGACATCCGAGTCAACTCAGAACGGGCGCTAAATGACTGTAAAGTTAAGCTTGTAGAACACAAGTATTACTGATGCCGTTAGAATGCAAGATAGTCTCTGTAAGTACCGGTCAGTTCTGTGTCTATGATCCTCCAAGAACGTGTGTAGCCGATTGGTCCGCGGCTCTCTCTCACCTCCCCACTCGCATATAACGCGCAGCACTACTCAGGCTGCAATTCTCGCTCATAGCATCGACTCAGTTAACTCTTCTGACTGCTTCCGACTGCCAGCGTTACGCTCGTCCAACTTTTTATGGGCGCGAATGAGAGCCCGATGACGCTCATAGTATTCCACCCGACATGGCCGCTGCATCTAGTACAGCTTACATCCTTTCTCTGAACCGCAACAGCGCTTTTAGGCCGAACAGGACTACTTGTCATGGGCATACGCTCTGCATGGTGTCGTGCTGGATCAACGATTCGAAATCCCTCGTACTGGACTTCTAAAGTCTTCAACTTTGTGCCGTCATCTCTGAACTAAGAAGCTCCGGTGTTACATCCCAGCGCGATAGGTTATAATCTCGCCGATGGTATCGGCATGCAATTAGTTCGGATGATCATCGATACCCTCGAACCCAGAAAGCTCATGGCGCTCTTGCCCCTTTCTACCCAATGGAAGGTCGTCTGGTAGCTCCGAGAAGACGGACGCTTCCCCCCACGATATCGCGTATGCATCGCATATCTAGTCGGCCAATCGTAGGTTCTGCAGGCGTCCAATCCTTGCCGGGGGTACTCATAACGCTGCCCTAGTGCTTATGAATCTTCTCGCAGCTCTCTCGGGCCTCTTCCCTTCCCTACCGCATTCCGCCGCTCTCGCAGTTGCCATAGACGATAACAACACAGCGGACAGCATCTCCGCATCCTATCAGCATGGATGCTGAGAGTGCCTACTACCAGTGCGTATATCGTAATACAGCTCTCACATAAACGCATTTACCGGCATTCACAGCGTCGCAGCAAACTACTACACGTTCGCTACAAGCGGTGAGTCGATGCTTCCTGCTCGCGGCCACCCGTTCCAATAACTCCGCCCCCACACGTCTCAGGGCTGCTCGTATGGCACTATCTTCTTACCCTCGACAAAGAGGTAGAGTTCTTCTGGGGCCGCGGGTATTCCGGTGCTCGTGTCATGTTCTTTGCGAACCGCTATCTCTCCATCATCTGGGCCATCTACAGTGTATCACCGTCCTGGAAGAAGACTACTTCGAGTGAGGTATCGCTTCTCCTGAGCTTCCCTGAGAATCTATCTAACGCATATATTCTTCGAAGGGGCAAGTTTGATTATCTTGCGACAATGACGTACAGGCGCGGCTGACTTCAAGCTTGCTTGTGCCTACAGGCAGTACTGCGCTGCAAAGGCTTCCGCTTTCCTGGTGCTCGAGTTCCTCCAGTATGCTGTTTGGGCAGGTAAGCCATCAAATGTGCTGTCACACGTGGTGTAGATAAGTTTACCGGGAGGATAGCATTCTCCGGTCTTCGAGTGTACGCTCTCCGAAAACAGTGGGCATGGGGCGTGCTTGTATCTCTACTCTCTATCGCGCCTATCTTCGCTAGTGCAACAGTGAGCTTGTCGATGATCTACGAACGGGACTATCGGTGAAAATGTGCTTACTTAGTCTTATGCAGATTATGATGCGGTGGTTAAATGTGACAGTCGATCCGACCAGCAGGTGTACCGTAACGCTGCAAAGTACACCGTTTCGTCCAGAGTGGATGTGAGTATTGCATCCGTCTTCCCGTCTCCGACGATGCTCATACAGACTTGTTACCCGCTATAGATGTCAGTATCTCGCAGTCCTTTCGCGATCAAAGTTGTTGAGCATTGAAGACCCCTTCGATTTTAGCCGTGATCATCACCCGTGTTACGCTCTTCGTCGCCGACGTCATCGTGATCGCCATCACTTGGATGGCCACTACCGCTCAACGCGCCGAGGATATCCTCATGTCCATCCGTAGGGCCAATACGCTGTCGAGAGTTATGTTCAAAAACGGTCAGTACAACGTTCGATTTCATCGAGACATGATCCTACGACTAACACTGACTTTGCGGTGCCTTCCAGGCGCTCTCTACTTCGTGTACGCAACTTCCACGATGACACCGTCTTCGCCGCTAACGGAGAACACCTTCAGGGCGCTCACGACGCTCAACGTGCTATTCCTCGCATTCTACGCAGCTACGGTGCGCTCGTTCATGCTCTCAGCGCGACCGTCTCTCAGTCTCAGCCCGGCTTCAACAGTACACATCCACGGGCGCATCGAACATCACCATCACCTTCTTGTCCAACTTCGTCGAAACCATCTACGACGCGCTGACCACTATCCTCACTACGAACTTCCTTTTAAAGCTCCAGGAAGCCTCGTATGCGTCTGCGCGGGTCTCGAGCTACTGGCAAACGCGGCAATGCCCGGACGAACAACTCAGCGTGGTCCAGTTCGCGCGCGCGGACGTCGACCATTGGTCCTACGAGCTTGGCTCGCTTCCCGAATCCGTGGAGGACGGTGAGGAGCTGGAACGGTGGGATGTAGACGAGACGTTTCCTCGGTCCTGAAGCGGTTGCGGCGGAGGAGGCGGGGGACTAGCGGTACACGTGGACTCGGAGGTACGCCGTCTGTATGAATCGGTGCATTAGAGTTTGCAGCTGACGTGTTCACCCAATTAGCGACAGCTTTGTCCGCCGCGATCAAGCACATTCAGGGTGCCGTCGTCTGCATATATACATCCAAGTTCGACAGAATACGGGGTCGTAGCTGGTGTACGATTCAGCCGTCGTCGACATGTATTGCTCAGAAAGATGTCTAGATAAACTTAAGTCTCAGATATCGTATGAAACTCGGCCGTCGAATCTGTCGGATTGAATCGGCTACTGCGGACCTGGCGGAAGCCAGCGGAAGCCATCGTGCGGCCCCCATATCTAACGGATGAAGACATAGCATACCTATTTCCGCGCACCGCCATGCGGGCTATGGCGGATGTGGCACTTCGTGAGTCTTCGCTGTGTCTACCTATCACGTTTCTGATCCTGGAACAGTAGTTCACTTTCACCGACATCCGCTGCATTGTTTTAGGAAGAGGCCGGGGACTGTTAACACTAGAAGGCGTAAGGAGTATAATAAGCTGATGAGGAGTTGAAAGGTGAACTGTACAGTGACTTACAAAACTATTTCCAGAAACGGTCACTCGGCGCCTTTTGCTGAATATCTCGGTAACGGCTGCGCGTAATGCTACGATTCAAATTGCATTAGGTAGACATATGTCTTGGCTTTCTATAGGTACTTGTTTCATAAAAATCGGGCGCGAACTTTCAAAGATATGATATGTTCTTTACCCACATCTTCTGGAAATAGTTTTGTAACGCGCGTTTTGGAAAGGCAAGATACATGATTCTAGTACTTGGTATAGCCCCCCTTGGCCTTCAAACGGCTGCAACCCTGTTAGGCATAGTCTCCACCAATTTCTGACACTCCTCTGCTGAAATTGCCTCCCACTCCTTCTGAACCCTTGTCCACAGCTCTTCCATCAATGTAGGCGGGGTTTTGTAGGTGGCGAGCTTGCGTTTGAGGACACCCCAGAGATGCTCGATGGGGTTGAGGTCTGGGGACTGTGCAGGCCACTCCAGGACTTGAATCTTGTTCTCCTTGAAGCATCATTTGGCCTTTTTGCTGGTGTGCTTGGGGTCGTTGTCTTGCTGGAAAATGACGTTTTCGACGTTGTAGTCCCAATGGTAGAGGGAATTGCGTAGCTCGTCCTCAATGATCTCCACGTATAGATCGGCATCCATCTTCCCAATGATCTTGCATGAGTGTCCTGTCCCATCCCATCCAAAACAGCCCCAGAACATCAAACTCCCTCCACCGTGCTTGAGTGTTCCCTCCACCAGGCGGTCACTGAGCCCCTCCCCACGCTTCTTCCACACCCATTTCCTCCCATCCGACCCTACTCTGTTGATCTTGGTCTTATCTGACCAGACAACCCTCTTCCAGTCCTCCACCGTCCAGTATTTGTGAGCTAAAGCAAAGGCGTACTGCTTTGCCCGATGTCTTTTGGTAAGCTGCGGCCGTTTCTTCTTCGTCATGGCCAGCATCCCAGCCCGCTTCAGTGCCCGACGGATGGTTTGGACAGAGACACATCTCAGGAAGGTGTCCTTGAGGGTATCATGGACCTGAGTGGCAGTATCGGCCTGGCCGGTCTCAACCAAGCGGGTAGCGTGGCGGATGTCGATGGGAGAAAGGAGTGATGGACGGCCGCCCTTGGACTTGTGGACTCCAGGGCAGTTGGCAGAGCGAATCTTGCTGATCTGGCTCTTACTAACACCAGTTTTAGTGTGTATCATGGAGATGGGAAGCTTCTGGTTACAAAGCTGGATGATGGTGTTGCGAGTGGCTTCAGAGAGTGCTGGGGGCATGGTGGTGGCAGAGGTGGAGGAGTATTCCAGCAGCGCTGATGTGGCATCACCTCAGTAAACATTATATAATATATTCCCACAGTATCATGTGACATTCACAACACGCTTGGCCAAAAACGACCCAGTTGTTCCCTGCCAAAATGTGTGTTACAAAACTATTTCCAGAAGATGTGGGTAAAGAACATATCATATCTTTGAAAGTTAGCGCCCGATTTTTATGAAACAAGTACCTATAGAAAGCCAAGACATATGTCTACCTAATGCAATTTGAATCGTAGCATTACGCGCAGCCGTTACCGAGATATTCAGCAAAAGGCGCCGAGTGACCGTTTCTGGAAATAGTTTTGTAAGTCACTGTATCGTGGTGCGAGTAAGCCTTCTTATAGAGATCTGATTCAGGTCAGCTGCCGCGCTGTGCGGGAGTTTAGACCTACTTCGGATGACGCCTACGGACTTAAAGCATATCACACGAAGATTAGATTCACCTGTAGGAGACCCCGGATATTATTATCTGGGCTCTTCTATGTTTGTGAACGCGCTATGTGGTGAGCACCTTGAACCTTCCCGATCTCAAAGACTGCGTCATCTCAATTCCCTCTGCAGGTGCCTATACAATTCTCGCCACATTCTCGGTCTACGTGCTGTACGTTTCATCCTTTTACCAGTCCCCTGCGTACTCTGATACGATACGGCTGATGGTCAAGATATCGCGGCATCGCACAGCGATCCTCTCAAATTCTCCTCTCAGTCGTCTTTGCGCTCTTCATCTCTACTGCAATATTCTGGACGTCAACGGTCTACTCTGTCATGAATCTCTTCGGTCAGCCCATGGTCGGCGCGGACCCATCTTTCGCGTATACGCTCGCGAAGTGTGCTCCAACAGCCTCGCTACTCGTTAATGTGCGACAAGTCCGCTCTCTTCACGCGATAGGACTTTGTCTCAATATATAACCTCCTGCAGACGGTACTCAGCGACGGCATTGTCTGGTGGCGTGCCTGGGTAATCTCTGGAGGCAACCGCCTGCTCAGCTTCGCCGCCGCCGCATGTCTAGTGGCAACATGCGGTGCGTCTCATTGGCACAGATGTCACCCAGAGCAGGGGATGCTGACTAGCAGGGCGTTAAAGTGCTAGCTTCCGTGGCAGGGCATCACGCGTGTACGTGGGTAGGGCCGGACGGCTTGCCAGGCGAGGGAGAGTTCTTCACCGGCGACCCGTACGGGCTAGCCGCCGCCACGCTTTCCGTGCTGGCAAACATTATTGCGACCGCTGTGATCGGGCTGACAGCGTGGTGCGTAGTCCAGACCTTACCATCTCGACAACTGCAACAGAACTTACTGAGGGCTATCGGCGGTCTAGGCGACATCGGCAGCTCATCAAGGCACATCTTCAGTGCCAGCGTGGACGTACGTTGGTCGGAGAAGTCCTGCTCCTACTCGTCGAATCCTCCGTGTTGTACTGTCTGTTGTGGGTAAGTACGCCATTTACAGAGGCCCGCAGTCGTAACGCCTTATACACTACGCATATACTCGACAGATGTTGGTTTTTGTGGGACAAGTCGCCTCGGTCGCCAAGCGCGGTTCCCTCACAATCGAGTACAGCTACGACAACGTTGATCATCTCGTTCGCATCGACAACGCCTATGCTGTGTGGTTCAGATACGTCTTGCAAGGGATCATACCCTTGATTGTGAGTTCTTGCATTCGCACCGCATGGGAACTGTGCCAGATTGACGCCTCATTTTCCAGGGAATATATCCGACGATGGTCATCCTTCTCGTGGCGCTAAAGAAGTCCCGATTCGAGTCCCACTTCTCCAGTCCGGAACTTGTGCCCCCCACGCTGCCGGTTGTCTTCGCACCTTTCAGCCCCGCCACAAGTGCCATGGGCGAATTGTCTGTTGATATCATTAACCACCCAGGCCAAGTCCATGTACGACATCAAAACGACGTCCTCTCCAGCGACCTACAGTGTCGCTCCGGCGACTCGATCGTATACATAACGCATTCGGTGGTTTACGGGAGCCCGGATAAAGCGCCAAGCGCGACGCCTCGAGCCTCTCTCCACCTGCTCCGACCGGAGGACGAGGAGTCGACCGGGCATTGATGCGCGAGAAGTACCGTAGGTAGCGGAGCGGTACGTCGCCTGCCCGCGATGGGATCCGTATTTTTGCTCAATCGTGCACGACATTCAGGGAAAGATGCAAGAGCCCCAAGCGTCTGGTGTTCAGAGTACCGGTGTCATATAACGGTATCGGTACGAGTCATATATTTCATGTTCTGTCTATGGATAGTGCGATGCACGTACATCGGTACTGAAATGTGTCGACTCGTCACTCTGAACTCTCACAGCTCCTCCGAGAGTCAGACAGTCAAGAAGAGGATCATGAGCGGCTTACTGTCCGCAATTGACACGCTTCTTGCTGGCTTCGGTGCTCGGAGCCTCCCAACCGTCCAGTCCGTGCTACGCTGACTGCGAGTGCGTCAGTCTTGTCCATGCCGCATCTCCGACGCCGCCGGTACCTCAGTCATTCATAGGAGTTCCCTCTCACCATCCCGCCACAAAGTCAGCATGTAGGAGCAGCTTGCCATCGCTAATCTTAAACCGTACCTCGCATATATGGGCAGTCGCTCGTAAGTGCGCTACCTTCGAATAAGCCCCGTCCCCTGGCTGCGCACAACCGTTTGAACTCTGACACTCTTCTAGCTGGTCCCTGGAGTCTCTTTCACTACCTCATTTTTTGTACTCAAGCCGCACGCCGACATGAATTCCACTAATGGCGGAGATGTCAGCCTGCCTCTACCTTTTCAAAGCCTGAAGTGCGTATTGGACACCGCTGCCCGTACTACTATTTGACCAACCACGATCATCTCGCGTTCTGAGTGTGACATTCCAATATTATGTCACTGCGAATGCCGGTGCGTTCGTGCATTAGTTCAAGTCTCATCGTGTCGTGCGTACAGCACCCACTTATCTGATATTACAGTTCTCGTCATCTGGCATCATCTCCTGACTATCGACAAGGAGGTCGAATTTATCTGGCGCCGAAAACTCAGTGGACCCTCTGCCCTCTTCCTTGCCACTCGTTACACCACCCTCGCTTGGTCTATATATGACACGCCCTGGTTCCATCTTGATATCGCTTCGTCCAAAGTAAGCAATCATTCTTATATTTCACTCTCGCCCCGATATTTACTCACTATGTCCTCCTCCAAAGCGGTGAGTGCCCCGTCGCACCTATCGGCGATCTCCAAGATTGACGCTACCGTGCACTTTCCGACGCGCTGCTAGATGTGTACCCACAATAGCTGTTGGGCACTTCCTGGAGTACTCACAATATGTTGCATGGGCAGGTATACACATCACAAACGACGATACGCGATACACCACTAACACTGCGCATGCCTTCGCGTCTTAACAGCATTCTCGGCTCTACGGGTATATGCACTGTGTAAGCAATGGTTGTGGGCAGCCCTTGTTCTCTTTCTTTCCATAGTCCCGGTGGCTGTGAAAGCGGTGAGTAGTACTGTAGCACGGAACAAGGGGTCACCGGTCATCTCCAACTGATACGTGACAATCGTCAGGCGCACCTACGGCTCGAGGGGGTACTCGGGACTGTTAATATGCACATGCGACTAGTCTGCATGATAAAGGTCGATAACGTACTCCTGAGGTCCGCATCACATTCATTGTGAGCGTCGCTACACTCATTGGCTGACCGAAATGCTGCAGCTGTCAGTATATCTTACCTTGGGTCGCCGTGCACTGGGACTCACGCTTCCCTGGTGCCCACTTCCAGTGATCATTGCATCGCGCGTGGCGCTCATCCTCAGCGACGTTATCGTGCTGTGTTTTACCTGGACGGCCACACACGCGTACCGCAACCGTGACATTCTGCGTGGATTTGGGAGGACGACGACGCTTGCAGAGGTCCTGTACAAAAACGGTGCGTTCGCACCCCTAAGAGTACATTGAAGACTTATCCGTACTGGGCAGGCGCAATCTACTTCCTGTCAGTCAGAGCGAGGATTCGTACTCATGCTTTTATAATTGCTCCGGTGTTAGGCTCACTGACAGAGCTTTTTAGAGTGCTCACGACGCTAAACATACTCTACCTAGTGGTCATCCTACTCGAGGTGCGCATCCCTTAAATTTAAATGTTTCGTCTTCACGTACACATCCTCATTCCGTTGGGACTGACGCCTCGCTGCAGGATGCGCTGGGTAGCGGCGCACGCGAGAGTATGGGCATTTTTGCGGACTTCATCACGATCACATACGACAGCTTCACGACGATCCTCATCGTCCACTTCCTCGTGCGCCTACAGGAGGCCGCGTGCCCAGAGTCAGACAGCGCGTTCTTGGAAAGTGAGGATTGGGAGGACATAGGGACGCTGCAATTCGCGCGGGTAGATGTGGACTCATGGGCGAGAGAAGCGGAGTTGGGGACGCCTTCGAGCGCGGAGGTCGCAGTGGAAGAGGGGACATAGGGCTCATCTCTGTCACATTATGTACTCGACGCTACTCAAAACAGACTCGAGGAGGGTCCCCAACGGCGTCTTAGTCTAAGCCCCTGCTACTGTGTGCAATATCCGACTATTTGATGAGAGTTCTATAGCTATGTATGTGGTATCAGTTGCAAGCTATGGAAGAAGATGAGAGTAAACGCGTACGCCGATCGCCTGGTACACTGAACATTCGTACCCTTCACACAGCATGCCAAAACGTCTGTCACGGCCAAGGTTGCGGATACCCAACGGGGTGGTTCGGACTCCCTATGTTGCGCAACGTCTGCATGGAGATGGGGGGCTCCCAGTAGATGAGCGCGCCGGCGGTGTACCCGGTGTCCTAAGGACTTTCCTCGCCATCCCCGATGTCAGGGTGGTCGAACACGATGAACAAATGCACGCATGCGCTCTGTGGTTTGATCTAGCAGGCTGCTTGTTGCGCGCTGCACAGCTTGTCGCAGCAAACCCACCCGCCTTCATGCTTGACAACCTCGCATGAGATTGTGTCCTCTAGGCTCTCCCCTCTCCTCACGCCCTAAGCACAATATCCTGCTCCACCGTCCAGTCGCCAATCGTCGCTATGAATCATTCCGCTGGAACGCCCGCGCCGCGCCCATCTCCAGAGGCCATATACGAGCGGCTCAATGATTACTTCCCCACACACGATCTCGACAACGCTGGCGTCGGGACACTCGCTAACAGCGCGGACTTCACGTCCGCTGCGGCGCCAGTATCCGGTGTAAGACGTGAGTATGGCAGTGTACCGGATACCCGCTTGTCTACTAACGCGTCCGAGTAGCCGTCTTCCGGTGGGTCCGAGGTGAGCTTATCGGGAAAGGCACCAGCGGCAGGGTATACCTCGCTCTCAACTCTACCACCGGGGAGATGATTGCGGCCAAGCAGATTGAGATCGCGCGCACGGGGGCCTCACGCGGGGGTGACGCCCGGCCGACGGGGGCGAGCATAGACTTGTACCACCCCAACTTGGTGCAGTATCTCGGATTCGAAGAGACCCCTACGCTGCTGAGCATGTGAGTTCTCTCACTCACGCTTCTAAAGACCTATCTGCCAGTGTTGATGCTGCTTGATAGCTTCATGGAGTACGTTCCCGGTGGCTCTATCGCGACCTGTCTGCGCAAGTACGGCCCGTTTAACGAAGACGTCACGAGGTCGTTCACTAGCCAGATTCTGAGCGGGCTGGAATACCTCCACTCGCAGGGGTTCTTGCATCGAGTACGCTTCCCCTTGGTCCAGCGGATTCAGTGCTCACCTGCCTACAGTATCTCAAAGGCGACAACGTCCTCGTCGAAACCGACGGCACGTGTAAACTCTCCGACTTCGACCTCCACAAACGCGCCGACAACGTCCCTTCGGCCGACCCAGCCACGACGATGCATGGTGCCCTGTTCTGGATGGCCCCAGAGGTCGTGAACGCGACAGCCAAATACTCCTCGAACATCGACATCTGGAGCGCCGGCTGCGTCGCGCACGAGATGTGGACAGCCCAGTGGCCATGGTTCGGTCAAGAAGCACTGCAAGTCCTGATACACGTACGTCCGCCTCCCGAACTCCCGTTACTGCACTACAAGGCTGACTATGTTGTGCAGCTTCAGACGAAGCAGGCCCCGCCGCTGCCGGAGGGCGTCGAGCTCTCGATGCTCGCGGATGATTTTCGGAAACACTGCTTCACTCCGTGAGCTGATATCGGTCACAGTGCTGTGCCGCTCGGGCGTGCTGACGCTGCTCGTAGTGACCCGGACGACCGCCCGTCGGCCGCTGAGCTGCGGGAACATCCCTATCTCCAACTTCCGGTGGGTTGGACGTTCACTAGCTTCAAGTGACTGGCCAAGCCTGTGCTTGCAGTACCTACCCTCGCTAGTATTGCGTTTTCTTGAGTTGACTCTGCCTTGGGAGCGACGATACCAATAAACCTGGGTTGAGCACAATATACGACGAAACTACAATGGTGAGGAGAACGTGGTGATACAAAGACTATCTTCTACCGAGAACGAGTTATACAAGCGATGGCCATTGAGCAACAGACGAAGAACGCGGTGACGCAGCACGTGGGAGAACGAGATGCTAGAACGTGAAGTTGGCCAAGTGCCGGTTGATCTCTGTGAGCTGAGCCAGCCTGTCCTGGAGCCTCTTCCGCTCGCGCGCGACCAGCGGGTCCTCGGTCAGCAGCGCCTCCATGCGCTGCCCCGCATCTTGAGAGCCAAGCCCGAGTGAGCCGATGAGATGTGCTTGCAGGCTGTCTACGAAGCGGAACAATAGGTTGAGCTTGATAGCCTCCGGGATCACGTCGGCGACGCGCTAGTGCAATGCGGAGGTAAGAAAAACAGCCAACAAAGAGACGGTGGCTCTGCGCACCTTGTAAGTGACCTGGAAGTAGCTGCGCACGTCCGCCATGACGGTGATCTCGTCACTAATGTCTTCCAAGGGCTGCAAGCGGTACAGATCGCTCGCTATCACCCTGGATATACCGAGAGACGCCAGGGCACGCAAGGCCTCGTTTTCGTAACCTGTTATTGTTTGTTTGTGATCAGCGGTCTTGTTCCTCGGACCCAGGAGACGCGAGCAGCATACGTACCGTGACGATCGAGATATGAGAGATGCGTCTTGTGCGCCGCGGCGTTCTTGTACTGAACACGCCAAAGATCGCGCATCAGGTTCAGATCACGGAGATTCTGCGTTCCGTAGGGGTCGCTCTCCGACTTCAACGTGTTTTGGACGATAGGACCGGCCGTGGATACGTAGGCATCCAGCTGGGTGTCCAGCTTCGACCTGTCATGGACACACAGCGCGATCGGTCAAGGCCTCATGAGTCGCGACCCATCACGCACGAAAAGTGAGACGGACCTCATGAACTTCTTGAGAGCGGGAAACCTCCCAAAGTGTTCCTCCGCTTCGTCCTGTACCTCTGAGCGCAGGGCTGAGGCGACGCTATCGAAGCACTCGCATTCCGCATCTGGCCAGTTCTTAAAGAAGCGGTTAATCAGACGTTTCTTCGCTTCGTAGGGGATGTTGTGCGGAAGCTCCCAGCCCGTCGCGCTGCGACGCGTTCAGTACCGCATACGCAGCTTCAGAGCACAACCAGACTCACTCCCTGATGACCTGCGTCACATCCGCAAGCGTGATAGGCCCAGTGGGATACGATCTGAAGTCTTTCGGCGGTTCCCCGAACTGGTCGCGGTCCGCCACAGGGCGGTATACCGCGAACTCGGCCGGGTCCGGAACCGGGTCCTCGTTCCGCCCCGGCCTGAAGTCGGGCGCAGTGGACCGGAGCGTGCGCTCGAACATGCGGAAGCGGCGCCGGCACTCGTGCACGAACGACTTGTCCTTGCCCTCGCCGTGGATGGCAGCGCGCATGGTCTCGCAGAACTCGACCACGCATCGGATGACCTCGGCGGTGGCGTCCGACGTGAGCATCTGCGGCAGCGCGTCTAGGTCCGCGCGACACGCCGCGAGCTGTTCCGCGGCGGCGATGCGCATGGCGGGGAGCCTGTGGCGGGCCCGTGAGTATACGCATGCGTGTAAGGAAACAAAGACCGCTCACGCTTCTTGGATCACACCCATGAGCAGCTCGCTGATGTCGTGCACCAGGTTGGGAACGCCGAGGCGCTGCTTGCCGATGCTCTTCAGATCCTTCCAAGGCGCGTTCTGGTTGAAAAATTCCCGCTCAATTCGCTCTGCCTTCTCGCGAGACCCGCTGCCTCGGCGCTCCTGGTCAGTCGGGAGACGGACGCAATAGTATCCCTTTGCGAGTCTATGCTTCGACTCCTTGCCATCGAAGAGTTCCTTCCACGTCTCGCGCTTTCCGATGTCCCCCGATGTGAGACCGTCGGGTTTGGTGACGACACCTATCAAGAGAAAGAGGGTCAGTACCAGGTCAGAAGTGGACGGAATCATTAACGCTGCGATTCACCTATGGTGCGATTCTTCTCCGAGTCGGCATTCCTCGCGAGCATAAGAGCCTTCGGGTTGTCAAGATCGTCTGTAAGGAATCAGACACGCGTAGAATGACACGGGTCTCACAGAGACGCACCTGCTGCGGGGACGGTGACCAAGATGATCGTCGACATAGGCTCTATGTACGTCTTCGTCATGTCCTCGACCAACGGCACAAGTGAGGCATCGGGCGCGTTCTCAATCAGGCCTTAGATACCAGTGAGAAAAAGTGTGATTCCATCAAAAATGCGTAGCACAAACGTACCGGGGAGGTCTACGAACGAGAGGTCCGCGCCGCGCGGGTCGCAAATATCGATGATGACCACATTCTTGGTGAACGCCAGCACCTTCGGATCGTGGTCGGGGTTGGTGAGGATCCTTAGCTCCTCCCGGCTCTTCCCCTTGAAAGTCTCGCGCGGAAGATGCGGGCACAGGACGGCTGCCTGAGCCGCCCTGATCCACACCTCAACTTGATTCCGGTCGGTGATGATCGGGCTGAAAGCCACTATCGAAGGGGCTCCATTATGCGTGTCTCCGATGATGCGTAGGGAAATGGAACAGGACCATGTCGAGCTGGACGCCAAGATAGTGCATTCCATAGGACACCTGAACCGAGTGATTAGTATGCGTGGAGTGTACTTATTTAACAGCTGCGCTGACCTGGTACACGTGCCGCTGTCTCTGGGGACGTTGATCTAGTCGGCGTCAGAAGTATGCGAGATATTTTTTACAAAATCACTTACCCCCGTGACAGCTTCCACCAGAGAGCTTTTGCCGGCTGTAAGGGTTCTCATGAGTCTCAAACTACATGATGTTGCAGGAGGGCATACGTACTGGACTGGGCGCCGATGACCACGATGCGTGGAACTTGGATCAGGTCGGTGGCTCTATGCGACGAATGTCGTGACATGAAACCTATCAACGCGCTAGAATTCGCAAGCAGCTCACCCAAGGTTTGCCAGCGCGCGCGCGAGGCGGAGTAATTCACGGCGTTTACGCGCGTATTCGGCCAAGCCATCCCTCCCGTTCCGGTCGTCATTTTTTAAGGCATTCGGGGATGGGCTCCGGGAGTTTGGGCCGCTCGAAGTCGTCTCATTCCCGTCGTCGCCGTTGGTTTGGGTAGATTTCTGAGTGATGATAAGTAAACATGTAGTTCCAGGCGCGCCGCCCAGAGTAAGACTGTACCTTAGAAGTCCGACTGTTCTTCCTGTGATGAGCGTCAGCCCAAAGTGCGAAGGGAACAGATCTGGGGCAGCGCACCTGAACCACGACATGGCTGTAAAGTCAATGGACGTGCTGTGGGGGTTGGACGATACGCTGTAGAGCTCGAGGAGCCGCCTTTATTTATACCGCGCACACAGAACTGCAATCCAGCCTTCTCTGGCACGCTGCAGGGTTCCAGAAACGAGGACGCATTCTACGCAAGCCATATGAGGATGGCGTCTACGATGTGCGCTTCGCGGTCAAGATTCTCAGCCGTCTTCACCTACGAAACTTCCCTCCCTGGAACACTGTACGACCGTTTCCGGCGTCGACGAGCAATGCGCTGTTGAACGATCGCTGCGGTGGCAAGGCGTGTAAGTTTCGGTGGCATCTTTGATTTCGAAGCTTGTGCTGCGGTAAGACACGTCGGAGCGTAGTCCCTATTGCACCCTCACGTTGACCAGTTGACCAGATGTGGCACGACAAAACCAGAATAAGTGTGGAATTGCCAGACCGTCGTGTGCTGCAGCACCTGGCCGCCGCGCGCGTGGCGGGTCCCTAGCCACAATGCCGTATCCGACTACGACCACGGCGTGTGTAACATTTCGGAAGATACGCCCATTTTTGCTTTAATCTTCCTTCTGTGAAGGGGTTTCCACATGGAGCGCAGCACAACGCAAGATGGGTAGTACTTCTGTCAAGGCAAAAAGATAGAACGAGATCTGTAGAATTCTCCGGGATTACTTACAGAAGCCTGTACCTCGTTTCCCTAGTAGAGTCATGCCAAATTTCATGAAACATCGTGGCTTGTAGGAGATCTCAAGGGGGATACAAGACATCCAGAGGCGCGAGCGGGAAGACCGATGGGTTGAGGCGACTCAGTCGTGGTCGAGTCCACCGACGTGCGCCGCACGAAGGGAGTGTCAAATAAGCGCCGTGAGCGAACCGCTCCACGTGGAGGCCCGGAAGTTTCCGACTCGCCAAAGTGCATGGCAGGGGAAGCTCATCTCGGGACACGTACTGCGCATAGCTTTCCACCACGCATGAAACGGGTCAATTCCTATCACATTAATGCGTAAGCCCTTCATGCCTGGAGCGACATGCTGCAAATCGTTGATTATCGAACTGTCGAACAACTACGCTGCTGATTTCCATTCACTCCTCCTTCAAACACTCCCGAAGGCATTTCGGTGAGCATCCTCGACTCCTCCTGAGCCCTCAGGCCTCGCTTAATATTAAGACATAGGGTCCCTGTGGACCAGTTTGCATCTGCGAATGTCCATAAGGGGCCCCCGATTCAAAGACGATAGCCCGGGGCACCGGTGACCACTCGTTTGGATGCATTTTAGTGCGAGGAGTAGGTGTCTCTGGACTTTCCATGCGAGCGCTGATTGAGTAAGTCTCTCGGAGCTTTTATCTATTTCTTTGCTTACCAATAAATCTCAAGTACGCGTCGGTGCAGCCACAAGCTTCCCGGCAGGGTCACGGGCTCTGCGCCCCTCCCACACTTATCGCCACACTTTGTGCGCATATATATGCCCCGAGAGCGAGTCTCAGTATCATTTTCCCAATCTGCCGTGCACGACCATCATGCCAACTCTCTCACCACCTGCCACAATTCTCGTCACAGGCGCCAACGGGTACGTAGGCTGCTGGGTCCTCCGTGCCCTGCTCGAGAAAGAGTACACCGTCCTTGGTGCAGTCCGTACGAAGGAGAAAGCGGACGCGCTTTTTAGTCTAATAAGCTCAAAGCATCCTTCGCGCGCACGCGCGTTCGACTGTTTATTGATCCCCGACATCGCTGCGGTAAGCACCACGCACACCACCTATTGTGGGAGCACACGCTTAAAAAAAGCTTCCCCTTCGACGCAGGAAGATGCTATAGACCCGTTTCTTGAGGGCGTGCACGGCGTTGTCCACACTGCAACTCCAGTCACCTTCGCCCTCGAAGATCCAGAGGCGTACATACGGCCCGCCGTAGATGGTACCCTGGGAATACTGAGAGCCGCCGCGAAGCACAAGTACGCAGGGTGAATCTCTACTATCCGAATTCTTGCTAATCTGCGTACCGCCCGGTAGAGACATCAAACGTGTCGTAGTCACATCGTCCATAGGCGCCATCGCGGAAACCGTGCAGGAAGAAACTCGCGTATACACTGAGGAAGACTGGAACGAATTCGCCGTCAAGCAAGTCCGTGAGCTGGGAAAGGCGGCTACGGGGTGGTGGAAGTACGATGCGAGCAAAGTTCTGGCTGAACAGGGTACGAATCCGCAGCCTGATCGCGTCCAGTCCAACACGAGCAACTTACATGTCCGCAGCTGCATGGAAGTTCTACGAGGACAACAAGGACACCATCTCCTACGAGCTAAGTACTATCGTGCCCGGCTGGATCCTCGGAGTACGTCTCGCTCTATGGTGACTCGCGCACTGCTCAGAGCGATGCTAACCATCTCTACGAATGTACAGCCCATTCCGGATGACCCATCTTCTCCCGCCGCTTTCACCACGCCGAGCCCCATACTGGAATGGACCCAGTTATTCGCAATCCCTGCCCCAGAGAAACCGACCCCCACTATTTTCAACTACGTCGACATTCGGGACGTCACAGAGATGCACGTTCGAGCGCTCGAGCTCCCAGAGGCAGCAGGGCAGCGGTTCACCGCGGTGTCTCGTACGTCGCCACTCAAAGGCCTGATAGCGATCATTGAGATTCTGACTCACAGTGTATCTGTAGACGTCTGCACCTGGCAAGACTGGTGTAAGCATCTGTCATAGCTTTTAAGCTTCGGGTTTCCGACCTCTAATCTCTGTACTGCAAACCACAGTCAACGCTGCGCAGGAGCAGAACTTCCTGCCCTCCCTCGCGAAGATTCACCCCGTGGTTGCGGAGGACAAGGATGCGCTTCCGGCACACCCTATTTTCTCCAACGAGAAGGCCCAAAGGCTCCTTGGGATGATGTTCAAGACAGTTCCGGAGACGCTTCAGGATCTCGTCGCAGACTTTGGTGGAAGGGGCTGGCTGAAGCACCTCGAGGCGTAGTAGTGCGTAAGAACTCACCTCACCGTTTTAAGTTCTATCAGCTCCGACAATCAAGTAGGATAGAATATGCTGTGTATATAGGAAAGCAGAGTCGTTAACGTCAAGGAGGAAGAGCGATCCCACCATAGTGTAGCATTCGTCGTAAGGCACCCCCTAAGGTTACACTTGGGTTGCACTGGCCGTGGACGATCGATTTGGAATCTGCGTTGGTACGGAAGCTCTGGACGAGCCAGCATCGACTCCGAGCGCCCTATTGTGGAACATAGTAAGAAATGAGCACCGTTGTACCTCGATCCGGTGAGTCACAAACGTCACTCCGTCGACGCGAAGACTTAACTCTGATTCAGACGTGGGCATCGTCCAGGCCCCTTCGTGTCTAAACCCACATGGTAGATGGGCTCCTTAGCACGACCAGACTCAGTGCTCGAGGTTGCCACGTACACCCCGCCAAGTCAGCCTGGTGCATCCGCTCATTCGCATCCCGGAGAAGGTCCGCCTAAGACTCGGGCGAAGACACGGTTATACGGGTCGTTTCCCTCCATCCTCTCCACCGGCACGCACACAACTGCCAAGCTCGCGATCTTGTGCAACAGCCGACGGCTGGAATTCCCCGATGGCGGTGCACAGAGTATGGTCCACACCGCTGACAAGCGAAAACGTTTGATGATGGGTATACCCTACCCCCCAGCTATGCAAAGGAATACAAGCCTGCCCGCTGCCGCAAGCGACCTGAAGCACGGGGCTCGCCGGTGCTGTTTCCGGCACCATTCACCGACGATCGTCTGCCGGTAAGGATAGTGAAGGGTGATGCGGACAAAGCTGCGACGACGCTGCATGGCGGGCCACGACGCGGGCAGGTATATAAACCCCCCGGCAGAGGGCAATGGCTCTCCAGTCCCACCAACAGCAGCCCAACATCCAGAACACTTCTGTCCACCCCTAACACCAGTCCTTCACGATGTTCGCTCGCGTCCTTGTCGCCTCTGTCCTCGCCCTCCCGCTCTTCGCGGCGGCCCAGCAGAACTGCCCCACCGGCACTCTCCAGTGCTGCGACAACCTCGAGCCGGTCAGTCAACCCTCCATTGATGGTCTAACGTGCGGGAGGCTTACCATTGTTTTGTGCTAGGCCAACTCTCCTGCGGGAACCGTTATCCTGGAGCTCATGAACGTCACCCTCGACAACACCAACGTCGACCTCGGCCTTGGCTGCACCGACCTCACCACCGGTGGCCTCGCCACGGGTGCATGCAAGACCCACGCCGAGTGCTGCGAGAACAGCAATGTGGTGCGTGTATTTTTCTGGCGCGTGTTTCCCGCAGTAAATCATTCTGACCCGCTCTGGCTATAGCACGGTTTGGTTGCGGTCAGCTGCATTCCTGCTTAAGTCTGCGGACGAGTTTAATTTGGGGTCTCTCGGCTGGAGGCGAGGGATAACGTACTTCATGGTTAATGTGCTGGGATGATTCTAATGCACCATCGTTTATCTGCTACGCACTTGTCCCTTTCGAGCGTGAAGAAATGCGTCGATTGAGTGCTACTTAGGAAAAGTAGCAAGCTTGTCCCGGCGTTCTTGGGAAGATCAGCATGCCGTCGGAATCTGGAGGGGACAGCAAGGAGTGAGATGGGCGTTCCAAAATCATAAGAACACCCAAATTGAAGTTCACACACCATGTGCAGCTGTAGGTCCAAACAACTCACACTAACCCTGCTTTCGCCCCAATGCCTGATACAACACAGAACTACTAGCATCCATATAGAGTAAAGCCAGTCTCGCCAAAATTACATATAATACGGTTGTACGAGCTCTAGTGAATAAACAAGATGAACAAGCAAGATCATTACACATAAGCGTACACACAGTTCCCGTTTACCTAGCTCCTGATCAGCGCGCAGGCACCGCACCATGACCGCTATAGACAGAACCAGGGGATAGCGCACGCTTGCGGCGATAGTGCATAACGAGCTCTGCAGATTGTCGCCACACGAACTGGCGCACCGCGGCGAGGGTCATGTCGAGCGGGAGCACGACGTCGTTGCACAGGATCTCGTACTGGTCCTCCGGGCGCACCCGCGCTTCCGCGTGCTCTGACCGTGCGCGCCCAGAGGACAGCGAGCGCGCGTCGAAGGAGGAGCGTGGCGTCGCTGCGGCAGAGGCCGAGGCAGAGGTGGGAACACCTGGGGAGTGCAATCCTGCGGCGAGTCGCTCGAGTTTATCGTGAACCTGCGTGAGATGAATTGTATTAGGCCCGGCTAAAGGACGTGCGGGGAAGGCTTACATGGTTCGTGAGCTTGCGCACTCGCAGGAACCGACTCGCCGTCAACTTTGATTGAGCCCTGAGCGGACATGCAGGTGTCAGCTCATGAGCCCGGCGGTGACACGATGTACACGTACGTGTTCAACAGCTCAGGCAACTGCTCTCCGTCTGTCTCCTTGAACGGCAACAGCACGAAGCTGATCTTCGTGATCGGGATGGAGGGCACCTTGTTCTGCAGCAAACACTCAAGTAGCCACAGCGGCATAATTTCCTCCAGCTGGCGAGCATCAGCAGCGGTACTCGAGAGCTGTCCCCTATAGAGCGTCACCCAGCCCGAGGGCGCCTCCTCCGAGATGACGATGGACGTATGCGGTGGGAGAGGTAGTGCAGGCGCCTCGCTCGAAGGCGGTGGGGTCACCGGGCCAGAGAGTATGATCTGTGCCGGGGTCTTCGCCACAGGAGTCGTGACAGATTCCTAGAGAACCGTTGAATACGGCAGTCTCGCACATCAAGTCACAAATAATTTGGACTTACCGTAGATGCCATCCCAGCAGGGACGGAAGTGAGCGTCCCACCGGGGGTCGTAGCACCCGACGTCTCGCTCGCCTGCCGCTTAGAGCTCTTCCCGAACGCCTTCAGGCGACCCATGATGCTTCCCATTGTCGGAGTGCTCGGCGTCGGCATCGCCGTCGCGTCCGGCGACGCCGCCGCCGGCGAGACCGGCTTCCCGCCCGGGCCCCACCCAGAAAAGTCGTCTGCCAGTGGGGTCGGCGCTCCAGCAGATGATGTCGAGACAGATCCGCGGCGGGTGCGCAGCGAGAAGTAGTCGTTGTTCCCCGTGGGTGGAAATGACGAGGGTGGTGCTCCAGGTGTAGCTATAGTCTCTGACTTCGTATGCGAGGTGCCGCGCGGCATCGGCGTCGCGTCTGCGGTGCTGGGCGACTGCGGAATTGGGGAGAGGACTGAGTCGCGTATGCTCCCGTGCAACGGTATCATGGGCGTCATGAGCGGAGAAGACCTCGGGGCTGGGGCAATAGACGGAGACACCGCAGGCAGCATGTTCGGGGCCAGAACGATCGTAGCGCTCCTCGGCCCTGCATGACTCGAAGTGGCGCTGCGGGCAGAGACGTCTGAAGAGGACCGACTTCGTATGCTGGTTGTCGGCGCGCCAATGTCAATATGCGTCGGAGCGGTCCCACGCTGCATGCGATGTTGTGAAGAGTCGTGTGAGTTGCGTTCGCGAGCACGACGGGAAGAAAGTCGCTGCTCCTCTCGTACAAAGCCTTGAAAGAGGTTCCGCAGAACCCACTTGCCGATGTTCACTAGTGATCGTCAGAATCGCCGAACAACCAGTATGTGTATGGGACTCACATCGTGCCTCCTCGCTAAACTGTCGCTCGGGCCCATACCCTGCCTCGTCAGCGTAAATCTCAGACTCGAAGCACTTCTCGCTAAGGTGTACTGTTAGCACGCCCGTCTTCGTGTCCAGCGCAGACCACGACGAGACCACCGCCTCGCCCTCTATTCGTTCCCGTACGGTCTCTAGTGCCTCGCGGGGGCTCCGCTGCTTCTCGTTCCCGCTTTCGCTGCCGCCCGCAAAGCTCGCGTCACTCCCGTTGAAACTCGCCGCCGCAACGTCCTCGCTCGAAAACCGACCTAGGCACGCGCCACGGACGACGTTCCACACCGCGACCTCCCCCGCGGTGTCGACAGTGAGGGCGTGCACGCGGTCGTTCAGCATGATACAGCGCACGAGCCCGTGGTCCCCATGGATGATCTCGTCTGGGTCCTGCTCCAATGGTATCGCGTCCGCGGCCACTTCGCGTTCATCGAATGCCGCACGGGGCCGGGGGAACGCTTGCAACGTCTGGCTCTCCTCGTTGAACCGCGTGCGCGAGTGGATAGTGTCGCTGCGCATTGGGCTCGCGCTCCGTAGCGCCGACTGTGTCGAGGTCGCCGCAGGCTGTACCATGCCAGACGGTATTGGAGAGCGCACCATGCGGGGAACACTCAGTACCGATGCCGCCGAGTATAGTGTGGCGATCTCCGGGTCCGGGCCGCGCATAGAGCGGGCACTCAGCGCGAACCCAGTGTCGTTGGGCGATGTCAATCGTACGAGGCTGTCGAAAGGAATGCCGTACCACGTCTCCTCACCTTCCCGCTCTGGATCGATGTCGAGGTCGACATTTGCGGGTATGGTGTTGGTTGAAGGAGTGAGTGAAACCCGGTGGGATTTGGAGAACTGCGGACTGCTGCTCCTCGAATTCTCGTATGTGATGGAGGGCGAGCGCGCAGGCGACTTTGTGCGAGAGCTGGGGAAGTCAAAAGAGTTCCGCTTGGACGAACGGGTCGTGTGATAGTCCCGCGCAGTATCCAGAGGTGGTGGTGAGTACACAGGGCTCTCCACTGCACCTTCCGCGCCCAGGGCCGCAGCCCTCACAGCCCTTCTCGCCGGTAAACGCCACCGTTTCACGCTCGAGCTGCCAGATGCTGTCCAGAGCAGGTTGTCGTCCATGACGACAATCTTGTTGATGCCCTCAGCACCCGGGGAAGAGCCAGTGCGATCCGTGCCTGAGTCTTGACAGACGACGATGCACTCGCCCTCAGAAACGTCTGCACAGCCCTCAACGTCGACTTTGCACACCAAGCCAGAGCGGTCGCCAGAGTAGAAGACCTCGAGCGCAGGATGAGATGACGAGAGCGACCAGACAGACTCAGTGTGATGGGTGAAGGTGTGCAAGCAGCGCTGAGACGAGAGTGACCAGAGCTTGATGGACGCTGAATGAATGTTAGCAGCAAGCCGTATGGATCAGCCAGACACCGCGTACCATCCGCTGACCCAGTAAGCAACTGAAGAAAGGTCAGTGCGGTATCCTATAACGAAGCGTGAGCCACTGACATATTTCGCATCTTCCGAAATGAGAATCGCACGGATGTTATCGGTGTGCCCGACGAGCTTCGCTATTCGCTTGCCTGACCTAGGATCCCACATCCGGATGACACGCTCGGGCGACCCGGAGGCCACCACAGAGCCATACGGATCCGTCGCTAGCGCGTATATGGACGCTTTGGGACCCGCGGCCTCTGGAGGATGCAGTGTGATGAGCGGGTCGGCTTTCGCAGACGCCGTGGCCAGATCCCAGAGCTTGATCGTCCGGTCGAACGACCCGGACGCAACCCACTGTTGTTCACGGCTACACAATGTAAGCCAAACGAGCGTAGGGGGCGTCATGTACTCACCAGTATGTCAAGCAGCGAACGTAGTCAGCATGGGTGCCTACGACGGTGGGTTCCTGTAATGGCGCATTTGAGCCATGCGAATGGGGGGACCATGCCTTGATGGTGCCGTCGGAGGAACCTGATACAACTGTGCGAGGATTAGCGATGTTCGTCAGGCCAGGATGTATACGCCTCCATAGAGATTCTGAGAATAGACCACGACAGCAATGGGTGAAACGGATAACTTACGGGTTTGATTATAATTACATAGTAAGATATCGTTGACCCAGTCCGAGTGCATCTGCACGGATTGGCGGAACTGTGTTGTTGGCGGTTGGGCCTACGCAAGCATGAGGACACCAGACCTATTTCTAGGGATGATATGGCGCACCTTCGAGGCCTGGTAGGCATCCTTGTCTGTCTCCCACTGCTCCTCGTATGGAATCGAAGACTCCGGTGGGATCCGCCTCCGAACCTTGCCGGTGACCTCCCCAAGGACGTCTCCGTCGCTGCGGAACTCCTCGCCCTCTTCCGCCTCCTCCTCAATCACATCGTCCGCCCAGTTCGTCATGACTTCCCAACGACGTAGGCCGCGTCCGCTTGCACCATACCGTTGTGTTCGACGTTGCATGGGCATGCCGAGGTCCCAGGAGATAACGAGACCATCTCGTCCAGCCGTATAGAGAATGCCTTCGGGCGAAGCGCGACCGACGAGTTGTGTTGATGTATCCAAGGCCAGGCACGATACTCCAAGCCTATGCCGTGGATGCTGAGCCCATTTCGGAGTCGGTGGCGGAGGAGGCGAAGTCGTATTGACAGGAATAAGGAGGGGCCCGAGAGTACCGTTCCGAGCGTGATCATTAGAGGGGAGCTGAAGTCGAGGAACGGGGTCTGAGGGGGTTGGTACCACGTAGGAAACCCTACGTCGTTGGGGGGCCATGCAACGTCGAGGAAGAGAGCGTCGACGACGTTCCCGACGGCGTCGAGCGTGCCTAGCCCGGATCTGCGCGGCCCTGATGTCCGGCATATTCAATCGGAACGGTAATATAAAATGATGCCACCAAGAAAATAATCCGATATGGTGTAGTGGCTAACATCATCGCCTCTCACGCGATAGCCCGGGGTTCGATTCCCCGTGTCGGAATCGTTTTTCTCTCTCGTTCACCATGAAGAAGCCTGTCCAGCGCCATTGCAAATACGTACTTGCTTTCAGTCATCACCGACGCAACGATCGCCTGGACTTATCCGTCTGTGCTCTCCTGGACTTGCAGGGTCTGATTGCCAGTGTTTTCAGAGGCATGTATCATCCACATGACATTGACTGCGAGCCGTAACCACTGATCAGTGCAATTTCTCTCGGAAAGAACTACAGAGCTACTATAGCACCGCACTTTCTGTGTCTTTTTCTCCTCCCCTCCATCGGTTTCCCAGCGACCTTCGTACGAGTGCAGCATGCATAACAGAAAGGCGTCGTTTCAATCTCTCCCTGAGGAGCTCCTGGAAGCCATACTCATCGCTTGCGCGGAAAACGGACATGCAGAAACCGTTGCTGCGATTGCCGCAACATCGCGACGGCTGTATTCCACCGTCTACCGGTCCACTGACCATCATCTATGGCGCTCGCTGCTTCTCACACTGTTCGATGACCCAAGGACTCTCCGCTATCATGATAGTGTAAACTTTGGTGAGCATACTCGCTACCCAGATAGTAATGTAACTCGCTAACGGTACTTGCGTCTACCACAACGTTGGTGTTCTCCAGACTGGAGAGAGGTGCTTCAGAACCGCCTTTGGGCCCTTCGATTCATATCGCGGCATGCGCCTTCAACCGTCAGGGTAGACACCATGCGGCAGTTACGTTCTATGAGGCCGGTTATCATTTACTCAATAGATCCCCCTCGCGGCACGCCCGAAGAAACGGCTCTCGTTCGCGCACTACGTACCATCGTTCTTGCGATACATACAGCCGCCCCAGACCCCCGGCGAGGCACCGTCCCCCCCGAGGCGACGGAACATGCTCTCTCAACGTCGCGCAATCTTGTGCAGCTCAACGCACAGACGCCGCGGTGGCCACCTGATATCCCGCCCGGATTCCCTTCCTTGAATGTGGCGTGGCTCAAGGACATCCTCGCAAACGGTCTCCCGGCCGTGTCGACTGCCATGATTTCGCTCGACAACACCGAAGACGACTGGTACGCTGAAACGCTGGCAGGACTCGCGACTGGCCACGTCGTCAGCCACCTGGGGTTCATCCCCATTCCCTCTACAGACCTGGATTCGGATCCGGCCAGCTTCTCTTTTCACGTTCATCCTCTACCTAGTGGGCGCGCAAACAAACACCCGCCTAGCGCTCCCAAGATGGATGAGCGCTCTCAGCGCGACCGCGCTCTCTGGCATGCCCGCCGACACGCCTTCAATTTAGAATGCCTATCGCCGTGGAGGAACTGGGGTCCCTATCTCGCAGTGCTTTCGGAGGGCGGGTCATCGCAGCCTTCTGAAGAGGACGAAGATCCCGGCCGGCGACGGGCCGGTCGCAGGTCGCAGACAGCAGACGTTCCGCGGGCAGAGGCGCTTCTCCCGGATTGGTCGTGGCTCGGCGCCGCGCGGATGGTCGCTGAATGCACGCTGCGCGCACACGAGTCCCCGGATAACATTACTAGACTTGAAGTCTGGGATAATCTTCGTGAGGGTGCTTGGCTGCGACCTGCCCCGGGCGACCCAAGTGAAGAAGCTGAGGGGTCCGAGGAGGAAGATGGCGATGTTGAATACGACTGGGCGGGTGTGGAGGGTGTGTGGAGGTATACCGTTCCCACAAGTTCTTTGCATGCAAAATCATTGACCGATGGCACTTCACAGACGTCTGGTATGCTGGCTAGACTATGGTGATCTCATCCGTACGTCCTACTGATATTATTCTATTTCGCGCTCGCCCGGCTTACCCGTGGGTTGTGCACATTGCAGGTCATAACGTATGACTTCCTTGGTTGCTCAATACTGTGCACATTGACCTGGGCTGACTACTTGCAGCGTTCCCGAAGGTTTGACAACCCTCACTTGGAAGAAGCCTGGATAATCGTCCCACTCTCTCTACGCATCACCGGGTACTCGCCATCACCTAACCCCGTGTACGCCGACAGGCCGACGATCCACGTCGAAGGCGAAATGGGTGGCGCTGGATGGGATGGCAATGTGGACCTCGCGGACGAGGACGTACGTCGCGTGCACGGCTCGGTGAGCATGCTCGTTGATGGCAGCGTGCGCTGGTGTATCGTGAGCTGCTATTTCCAAAATTCGCAATTGCCAACGCCGCTCATTCTGGTGGTAGACATCCCTCAATGAAGACAACGGCGCGGACGAATGGGCCTCCGAGGCTATACAGCTCGGCGGGGTTGGATCCGCAATGGGTATGCTGGGGATGTGGACGGGAGCGCGCCACGAGGAAGAGGACCCGATCGGTCAGTATCTTGGCTATTCTCAGCGTGTTTTGTGCTTATTTTCTTGTTTACTCGGTTGGTATCGGTCCAGGGGTGATATGGCAGTGGCGCGTCAGCTAGCTTGTCGATGCTCGGAAGTATGCCAGAACCTCAGTGGTCCCGAGTGGTGATTATTACTGACCAGATGGTATTCTATACTCGACCTTGCGCGCCGCGATTTTTCTCTTGCGTTCGTGAGTACTTGTTGTCAGCTCGTCGTTGAACTCCGATAAACGCGTACGGTGAATCTCGGACCGGACTCACTGTCCTTTCCCACGTACCGTTTATCAGTGCTGCAGCTGAGTCAAGTCGCTGAGTCTCTTCCTGCTCTCACCTCGACTACAGATTGACTGCAGAAGACGAATCGTCCAGCTACTAGTAGTACAGCACTGGTGCAGGATGACACCGGAGCGGCCGGCATTCTCAACTCTCCCTCACGAACTTGTGGAGGAGATACTGATCGCTTGCGTTGCGAATAACGACGCCCCCAGTGTCGCTGCCATCGCTGCCACATCCCGCCGACTCTACTCGATCGTCTACCACACCTCAGATCATCACTTATGGCGTTCCTTGTTTCTCACTATGTTCGATGACCCTAGAGAGCTTGATCGTCGCCCGGCCTTAGGTGTGCAGTCCTTTTTTTAATCATTAGTCAGGCCCGAAACATTGATGTATGGTATGCGGTGACTACGTTGCAACACACAGAGCCAGACTGGCAGAAGGATTTACAAGACCGTGCATGGGCCAACCGCTTCTTCACGCAGTGTGTTCAGCCGATACGGACGCAGCATGCCCGCTCCTCCCAACCCGCAGTCTGTCACATCCACCCGCCGCCCATTACAAACCAATCTGACCACCTTCGAGCCCTGGAAGCCCTCGTATCGGCCATACAAAGCGCCTGCCCTGATCTGAGTCCACGACCTACGGTCTTCCCTGCACACACGCAGACGCAGCTCGCACCGGGCCAGCTGATCAATTCAGCGCAACTGCAGACCGATCTCTCTGGCTTGTGGCCTCGGAACATCACCCCATCACGGCCATCCCTCAACGTTGCCTGGCTCAGACAAACCCTCTCGAACGGTCTACCGGCATCGCTGACCACACGGATCTCGCTCGACACTATCGAGGACGACGATGACTGGCCTGAGACGCCAGAAGGGCTTGCCGCGGGACAAATCATCAGTCACCTCGGTTTCATCCCTATTCCAACCGTAGAATCCGAAGTAGAGCCTCAGGCTGACCCCGTAGCGCCTCCGGCGGCAGGAAGTGATCTCATCTCTACCGGAAAAGACATCGACCTACGCCTTGCTATCGAGGACATGACCGTGGACATGCAGCGCAAACGGGCCCACTGGCACGCCCGCCAGCGCGTATTCAACTTCGACTACCTCTCCCGACGAAGGCGCTGGGGTCCCTATCTACCTGTCCACTCCCAGAAGACCCGCTTTGGCTTACCTGTTGGTCCCACTGAATATGCGGAGGACAGCGACTCCGATGACCCAGACTGGGTGCCCGGTACGAACAGACCTCGAGCTGCAAGAGTCCCGCCGGCCAAGCTGCTGCGCCCCGACTGGTCCTGGCTAGCGGCCGCGCGCGTGGTCGCAGAATCCACACTCCTCGTGGAGCGTCGGGGAGATGGGTTGGAGATCATAGGTGCATGGGACAACGTCCGCGGGGGAACCTGGTTGCCGTCTAGTGCCGACTGCAGCCCCGTTGAGGGCTCTGATAATAACGCCGGTGCCTCGGCCGTTCGTGGCGTTGAAGGCAGAAACGAGAAACCCTTCGAGCGCGACTGGGCGGGGGTGGAAGGCGTTTGGAGGTACGTCCGACTATGATAGTAAGAGCTCAAACGGCTGACCGTAGGAAAAAAGACGTCTCGTTTGTTGGCTAGGCTACGACGACCTCGTCTGTGCGTACATTTCCTGTTACCTTGAATATGGGCGTTCGCCATTCTGACCGGTAGCCGTTGCTCCGCGCAGATCATCATGTACGTCCCCGTTTCGTCCATCAAGTGGCTTCAGTGACTCTTATCATTGCAATGCGCGCAGCAAAACGGCAAGTATGACGATCCCGAGCTCGAAGAAGTTTATATCATCAGCCCTCTCTCTCTGCGCATCACCGGCTACTCGCCCTCGCCCATCGCAGCATACCCCGACCGTCCGACTCTCCATGTTGAAGGAGAGACAGGTGGTGAGGGATGGGATGGCAACGTCTACCTCGGCGTCCACACCGTCCGACGTGTGCACGGAACCGTAAGCGCGCTCGCTGACGGCGGCGTTCGCTGGTCCTTCGTACGTCCCTCGAATCCATATGAAGTGTGGACATCCAGTTAAGTCTCTGTTACGCTGCACACAGAACTCGATGAATGAAGACAACACGGCCGACCAGTGGGCGTCTGAGCTCGTCCAGCTTGGCGGGGTTGGCTCTGCGATGGGCGCGCTCGGGATGTGGACAGGAGCGGACCACGAGGACGACGATCCCCTCGGTCAGTACCTTTCCATCGATAACCCCTTTGTGCGTGTTTCTTATGCAGTCTGCAGGAGTTATCTGGCAATGGCGCGTTGGTTAAACGAATGAGCCGCATACTCTCGTTCGTTATTCGACGTGCCAATGTTGCTGCGGTCCACTGGCACCTGTACTGTCCCAGACGCCTTTCAAGTATGGTATTCCATTCATGCTTTGCGCTATTCTGCATCGGTGCCGTTCTCGTGCGTCTCACTCACACACCCTCCGCCTGCACGGGGGTCATCTGGCAGTGGCGCATGGCTAAACAAATGAGCCGCCGGCATTCGCAGGACGCGCACCCACGCCCAAGGGGGTCCGACGCGCACTTCCTGCTTTTCTTAGTCAACACCCCTCTTCCAGGAGAGCGTCTCGCGCACCCCCTTCTCCGACTCCGCCCTGCCGTCCTCGCGGAACCGGCGTGAGAGCGCAGCGGGCTCTTCGCAGGTTCTCACCAACGTCTCCGTTCTGGCGTTGAACGATGTGGTTTAGGCTCGCTCTAGACCGTCCTACGCAGGATCGGACACTCCCATGCCTCGACGTGCACATAAGTGGCTGATGATCAGACGACGCACCGTGAATACGTTACCCCATTCGTGAACGCAGACGTGCGTGGGGCAGCGTTGTACGTTATGAGCCCGCTGCGCATGCGTTCCCTCCGGAGCGGTCGGCGCCAGGACATATCCTATCTGCGCTCTTGCCTCATGCATCTCCCGCTGACACAGTGGCGGCACACGAGTGTGCGCGCACGTCCAGAAAGGCTCGCCTGTCGCGCTGCGCAAGGAAAGCATACGTCGTGAAATAATAGATCCGGGCCTCCTAGAGTCCTATAATATACATCCTGATCCGGGGTCAGCCTATCATGCAACTCGTAACTGTCGTGCACCGACTCGTGACCGTCTATCGTCCCCATATATCTCCGCACCGACGCCGACGCCGCACAGCGGGGACACCCGCCTGCCAAAGCACGAAGTCCCCGCGCGAAGCACACCACGCCCTACAGCTTGTGCTCCACCCGCTCGAACGCTGGCCCGACGCTCCGCTCGCCCATCGTGCGCCACCAGCGCTCGACCGCTGCGTCCGCATCGTACGCGAACTGCGCCGTGTTCTTCTTCGGGTCTGCCCACTGGTTCGGGCTGCCCTCGAGCGCGTCTTCCGAGGTGCCGTTCGCGCTGCCTTGCATCTTGCGCAGCTCCGCCTCCATGGCTTGGCGCATGCCCGCGTCGCGCTTCTCCTGCTCGGGCCCGTCCGGGAGGTGGAAGATCTTCTGGTTCAGGCGGGATTGCCGTTGCGTCTCCGCGGTGCGCGGGAGGCGCAGGTCCTCGTAGGCCTGGATGAGCGTCTTCAGCTGCGCGGCGTCGGTTAGGCGCGACAGTAGGTTCCCGAGCACGGCGGCATCTTCGATCGCCATCGCGGCGCCTTGCGCGCGGTAAGGCTGTAAGTTGTGTCAATGTGGTGACTCGCAGGTTGTAGGGTGAATGATACGTACGAGCATAGGGTGGCAGGCGTCGCCCAGCAGGACGACCTTGGACGAGGGGTGAATCCACGTCTTGAGCGGCTGGCGGTCCATGAGCCGCCACTTGAGCGTCGAGTCCACGAAGCTAAGCAACTTCCGGATGCTGCGGAGCGTCAGGGGCATGCGTCAGTGCGCGACGTCAGACAGGATGGCGCGCCCGCACTCACCGCGGCTCAAAGTCGGCAAAGTCGGCACGCATCCTGTCCGCGCTGCCTTCCGCGTTCCAGGACTCGACAGAACCGTTGTCCGGGTGAATGAGAACGAGGTTGTACTCCTTCCTCGCGCGCTGCAGGGGTGTGAGCCCCCGTCCGAAACCAGCAACGGCGGGTGCAGTGACTTACGATACTGTACGCCATAATGTGTCTGCCCGGGCCCATCCATCCCGTCATCTCGGGAATGTCGACGAGCCCCTTCAGATCGGGATCGTTCAGGAGCAGGTGGGAGGGAATGATGGCGCGGTAGGCCGCATCTCCGGTCGGCTCGGCCGGGTTCGTGTGCCCGAGCACGACGCCCTGGATAAGGCTCTTCACGCCGTCTGCGCCGATGATCAGGTCCCCACGCACGACTTCCCCGGACGCGAGGGTAACCGAGGGCGTGTTCGGGTCGACCCCGACCACCGTCGCCTTGAGCCGGAGCGTCATGAATGGAGCCGCGAGGTCGTACAGGATCTTGTGGAGGTCCGCGCGGTGGATGTGGTAGTATGGCGCACCGTACTGTTCCTCCATGTTTGAGAGGCGGGTATACGCTACTCGGTCCCCATCCTCGTACCGACGGAACACCAGCGCCTCCGGACGGACGGTAACGCGCTCGAGGGCTTCTCCAGCGCCCCACCTTCGCAGAAGTCGGGAGACGTTGGGGGTGACTTGAATGCCGGCACCGACCTCGCTTATGGAGGCAGCAGACTCGAAGAGGGTGACCTTGTGCCCGGCTTGGCCGAGGCAGTGGGCGGCGGCCAGCCCGCCCATCCCACAACCTACGACGAGGACATGGAGGCGATGGGAAGCCTTGCGGCCGTCGTAGAGAGTGGTGTGTTTGATGCCTTCAGCCTTGGCGGCGTTGATGGGTTGGTGGCTGGTCATGGTGGAACGGGTGGAAGAGCGGTAGAATAGGGGGATGAGTACGTTAAGTTCGTTGGTGCTGAGCGGGGTAATATAGCGTTCACTAGGATAAAGGATTAGACGAAGGCGTTATGATATAGCCCTGGTAGAGCGTCAGGTCGGGGCGTCATGCAGAAGAGAAGGCAAGACCCACCATCAGACATGCACACGGGTTCTCATGCTGACAACGTCGTCAGACGCTGCCATTGCCAAACTGAGCTCGGGGCACTGAATCTCCCCTTCAATCTTGGCCCGCCAGGCTGCTCCGAGTGCCGTGCCGCCGGTAGCAAGACCCGGCGAGGGGTCAGCCTCACGTGGACATCGGAGGCTGGCGGTGGTGCCGTTTGCGGATAGGTGTCATGGAGTGTTACGTTGTGGTGATCGGCAAGTCGAGAGAAGTCAAGCAGACAGAATCGCAGGCCGGTGAATCAAGCAGGAGACAGGAGGGTCGAGTCGTCGCCGCGCACATCGCAGACCGAGTCCGAACCGTTGCGGGGAAAGGACGCTGACCGCGGGATAGTTTTCCCCTAATTATGGCGGATCAATGATGGGGCTTACCCCGCATTCAGGAGCAGCGCTTGAGCGCCGTTCAAAACGTATCCTGGCATGTACATGAGTGCCAGAGGAAGAGCCAAAATGAGAGGAAAGAGTTGCCACGGAAGGAGTTTTGTGCATCGTGGCAAGAGAAGAGGAGGATGTCACATTCCAGGCGTGTGCGACAGCCTCCCGAATTGCTGAACTTGAGGCCAGCCAATAAGATCAGCACGATTGGACCGTCGTGCCTCTAAATAAGGCAGGTCGCCTTCACTGGGCGTCGAATGACATTTGCTACGAAAAAAACACGGACAAATACCATATATATACAAAGTTTTCTTGACATATGTTGCAGGCGAACGCGTGGAATAACTGTGGAATATATGCAGTATTCCATAGATTTGCCGTATGTTTTCCGCAGGCGTTTGGATCGAATGCGCGGGTTCGCACCTGGGTTGGCAGGCGGGCGCGGGCTCGTAATAGCGGGGACAGTCATCGCGCGAACATAGGATTCCGTCTATCAAATACATAGCGAACCCCCGCGCACGCCGCGCTCATCGTCGAGCATGCCGTTCAACCGGTTCGTGGAGACCCAAGACAGCCCGCGGATCCTCCATGGATTCGTGATGGAAGCGCCGCCGAGTGCGTTCGGCAGGCAAGCGCGCCCCCCACTCGACGTGTGCTGAAAGAGAAGGGTCAACGCGATGAGCGCGCCGGACAGGGGACATGCTACGAACCGTGTTATCGCGCGGTGTAGACGCGGCGCCGCAACTTGTTGAAGGGCTTGGTTGGTGCGCGCGTTGATTGACCATGTGCGGCGTGGCGTAGAACCTGTGCGGGTAGGCCAGTTGATGTCAAATCACCTGTAGCAGGCGCGTCACAGAGAAGCTCAGCGACGTCGGACGCGGAGGCAGACTCACCCGCGCGAGGCGATATAGGTCGTGCACACCCGTCAGGCCATCAGCGAATCTCCCCACTCCCCGGTACTTGTCCCTCTGAGCCGAACGTGTTCCAGGTGTTGCACGACTCAGAAACGAACCCGGCATACGGCTCTGCGGCCTCTCAGACTCTGGAGATGACTAAACGTGAGTTTAATGGACGCTGCTATACTGTCAGAGATGCTTACTTCCGTGGAGGGACTAGGTCCGCGGCTGCAGTCTCACATGGTCTTCGACGACCAGGAAGAGAGTTCCGACGAGGAGGAGGCGCCACTGCCGAAGAAGGCGAAACCTCACGCAGCCGCAGCACGCGACAACGCTGCCGAAAGATCGCGTGTGCGTTCAAGCACACCATCCGGTAAGAAAGGTGCACGTCCTGTCGCTGCTGGTGGAAAAGGGAAGGAGAAGGAAGTACAGCCCGCAAGCGGGCACAACAAAGGTGTTGGAGGGCTTGCGCGGCTTGCTGCTGCCAGTGCTAGTGGTGGCGGAGCTAAGAGCGGCGGGGATAAGGGTGAAGGCGGCTCGCGGGCTCACGGGTATGCAGGTCAGCATTGAGCTAACCCGCAGTCGTCATTGGAGGCTCACTTTCATGTGCAGGGGGCGGGAGTGCTGCACTCTTCTCTGCAAAACACGTCGGAGATCAGATCGCCCAGTGCCGGACGAAGCTGGACTCTATGAACACCGTAGTCCACAGCCACGACGCGAGCCTAGAGGAGATCAAGCATCAGGTAGATGCAGTGATCGGCGACTTTGAGGACCTCGATACAGTCGTCGCCAAGCTGCTCAAGGCCACTCACAAGCATGTTTCGAACGTCCATCGCCTTGAAGAGCGCCTCGAGGTCGTAGAGGAGCGCATGCAGGGCGCAATTGACGGCGCGCTTGCAGGAATGCAGGACGCTAACAAAGCGGCGCAGGCGGTTGTCGACGAGGCGGCGAAACCCGGGGAAAAGCAAAGAGACAATCCACTACAGGTGAGTGATCTGCAGGACGTGTACAGCATGAGGACTTACAGTGTTCGCGGGCATGCAGGATGCGGTTCGCAAGTGCCTGTACTCGATGATGGGGCTCCCGTTCAATGGCGAGTTGCCAAAGCCGTTCTCCGGGACGTACTGGGAGTCCGTGTACGAGGAAGGCGCGACCGAACCGACGAGCTTGCTGCGCCCCGACTGGGAGGCGACGTGGTCAGCCAACCAGAGCTCCTGGAGCTTGAAGGCGGTCTTGCGTATCCAAACGCGCGGGCACGAGTACGCCGCATCCCTCAGCAAACAGCACCTGATGGCGCTTTCGCGAGACACCATTGTGAACGCCATCCGAGTGGTCTTCCTGTCCATGGCCAAGCGGTGGAAGCTGGAGCATGCCCAGGATGGAGAGAAGGTGAAGAAAGAAAGAAACCTGTACGCCAAGAAAAGCGGGCGCAAAAGAAATGTGAGCAATTGCGGATGCCCCGCGCCGTCACACACTGATTGATGGCTTACTACAGAGGGCCGAGGGACGTGTCATCGCGCGTAAGAAAGTCCCCGCTGCACAAGCTCCGGAGTTCGACTTCTGGTTCCATTGGAAGTATCAGTCTACCGACGAGTCAGAGGTGGAGGAGATCGTACCAGTGAAGCATGCAGTAGACCCCGACTCCGACGCCGAGGGCGCGAGCAAGAAGCGTCCGACAGTCCCCGTATTTCGCAAAGTGCTGGTCTCGCATTCGCCTGCATGGCAAACACCGGAGGTAAGTGGCATTGCAAGGTTGGCAACTGCGAGACTTACAGGCTTTTTGTGACCAGGGGAAGGCTGTACTTAATCTCGTCGACGCAGAGGCTGCAAAGAATGCCCGAAAGAAGGGTGGTCGGGGCAGCACTCACACCCATCGCCGGGCCGGCGCACCTCGCTCGTTCAAGAAGACCTCCTTGCCCAGCTTCACGCGCGGTAAGGCGGCGGTTCTCATTCCGCGTGCGATGGTGAATCAAGCGTGGCTAAAGAGTAAGTATGGTGTCCCGTACAATTCGCGGGTGTACATCGCAGGGAATGTGCCTTCAGACGACGACGGTGATGGCGTGGGCTATGGTTCAGGTGGCAGCGGTGGTGACGATGACGACGGCGAGGAGGGCGGTGGCAGCGACGATGATGGTGAGGCAGGCGGTGGCTATGACGAAGGCGGGAGAGCTGGCAGCGGAAACGACGACGCAGGGTTTCGGAGCGATGCTGATGCAGAGTTAGAAGACAAGCAGCAGAATGGGGGGCAGAGAGAGGCGTCGGGAGAGCTGGAGTATGCAGGTTCGCAGTAGCTTCATGGGCGTCGCCGGGCACGGGCGGTGTGGGAAGCTTGCCTCGAAGTCGGCGTTAATAGTCATCCAGGCCCTCGAGCTCATCAACACGATCAGGTTCTTGGGCATCCTGCGTGAACATTCCGTCAGTGGCAGCGTCTGCGAGCACAGCAACATTGCAACACTTGCGTGACAAAGGGACATGGTGATCCATGCACGACCGCGGCTCAGAGTCACGTATGCAAGTGCGAAATGGCCGGTGAACCGGCGAATGTTGATGACTATAGGTGGGCCCAGCATGTGGGGCTGCCAGGTGTCAATGCCGAGGTCTACCGCACTAATTGAAGCGGATGTCAGTTGCAGGTGCATAAGCACGATATGATGGGTACGGACCGTGTTGCCCACGGCATGTCAGGGGCATGAACGCTATGTATAAACGGTCGCACGATTGCGAGCTCAGCCTCTAGTTCTGTGCCATCATTGGTAGTGTGTTGGACGCGGAATAGATGAATGATGTCGACCGGCTGTCGGCCATCTATGTACGCGTAGCGGTACTTTATTCCCCGAGCAGATGTTGAGTTGCCGTATCGTTGACCTGCCACGATAACGTGTGAGTAGAATGGGACAGCCACTGCGATGAACGGTGAGCCGGTGGGATCGTATGATGTGTCGGGGATGAGTGTTGCCGAATCCTGCCAGGCTACGCGCAAGTGGTTGTACACCATGTTGTACAGGCCCTCCGGCCGTAGGTTGAGCTTCCGTCCGTGCTTGGGCCATTTGATCAAGTCTGACCCGGTTTAGCAGACATATATATGGTAGGGAATGCCCACTTACCGCCGCTATCCTTGGCTGTCATGAGAGCAATGGTGTTGAGCAGGGTCCCACGGCTCTGGCTCGGCCGCTTCTCGCCCTGAATGCACTTTTTCAGATCCCGGATACTGTCATCATCCTCTGGGCTCTTCGCATCACCAAGGCCTTCAAGCCGGAGGATCTGTTTGTAAGAAATGATAAGCTATCATGAACGTGAAGTAGGGATAAATCACAGACCAGGTCATGCATTAGATGGAGCTTCGTCCAGCTCCGCATCAATGTCGCCTCTAGTTCACCGCCCTTATGCCCGTTGTGGTTAATCTTCGATAGCCAGCCGTTGAAGCGTTCGTATACGTATGCCCACCATGCATAGACGGGTCCCAGACATAAGACGAACACGAGGAAGTGGATCATGATGTGGAAGTACGGAGTGAGATGGCAAAACATCCGTGCCCAGTCCTGGCATGCGCGGTCATGGCAGTCTTGGGCACGGCGAGCCTCTTCAACACTGATAGACTGCGATGCCCAGATTCGGATCGCGACGGCCCATTCAATCACCGTCGCATAGTGATCACGGTAGTTGCGGTGCATGCTCTCTTGAGCAATATACTCGAGGTCTGCAACCGTTGTGCTTGGATCGTGCGCCGCAGCGGTCTGCCGACGCTCGCGGACCAGCTCGGCGACCCGCTTCGCCTTTATCGCTGTCTTCTGTGATTGACGCAGCGGTGGCGCTTCACGATCGGGGATATCGCCGTTGACCTGCCAAGCCTCATACAGACCCACCGGCAAGACTGAGACCATGTTCCGCCACTGGTCGGCCTTTCCCGTCCCAGCTGTCAAAAGCTGAAGAACCAAAGTGAGCACATCACAGGAGCACATAAGTGATGCGTGCAAACATACGCCTTTGGGCACGCGTCCTGCATCTCCAGGCCACCATACTGCGTCAAGCCATGCCTCAAACTTCTTCAGCGGGTTGTCATTTCGTCGGCGCTGGGCAAACATGCCGCCCACAGTCAGGATCCCCTGTACGACATGTTTGGCCTCTCCTAGTATGATGTAGCAGATGACGTTAGTGAATAGACAAATACTGAGAATGCGCACCTAAGAATGCAGCGTGCATGAACTCGGTCGGCGTACTGGTAACCGGCATCCAACCCGGAAGGATATTGAGCGACGACCAACGGATACCTCGCTCCTCCGCAATCTCCTCCCGCGTGTCTGGATCTGCGTGACGCGCTCGGTAGGCATACTTTAGGAAGCGTTCTTCTTCGCGGTACGAGACCTCTGCACAAATGTACATTCAATTAACCATAGTATCACAGACATTGCGACGCAGATAATTGGCAACTTACTTTCCGAGTTGAAGCAGTCTGGGTCCGTCAACGAATGCATCGGCTCATGGCATACGGGACACATGAACCATGTGGACGTGTGCCCGCGCAGACCCGATGCCTTACGTGCAGCTGGTAGATCCGACGCATTGGCATACAGGAAGCTATGGACCAGCGCTGCCTCATCTCCCGGGATCCTCATAACGACACCTTCAAGGTGGCAGGTGAAGTCAATGTAGTATCTATATAGATTGAACGAGCACGCACCATTATACAGCTCCAACAGCTCTGGCACAAAGACATCAAGGATGTGGTTGAGCTCTTCGAGAGATGGCTCATCCGGACCCGGTATAACAGCGAGCAGGAATGTTTCTTCGCGGAGAAACCGCTTGGAGCGCGGATTGTTACACACCGTAAGATATATCGCGCCCACCGAGTAGTTGCCTCGTTTCATAGCGCGGAACCTAAACAATGCGATCAGTAATGGAAAGCAGAGCAGGCTGATATTAGGTACTTACCAGTCGAGGTTGAAGATGAGCACCAGACCATTGGGCAGTGCAACAAACCGTTGGTTGAGCTCGTTGACGTCCACATCATGGACACCCCACCGACCACCTTTGCGACGCTGCAGGCCTGCGCGAATCGCGTTCCAACCCCACCCATCAGTGATGTCGTACATGCGAAAGCTTGCATCCAGATGACCAGCCCACTCGTCCATGCCGACCGGGGGTTTCTCTCCGGCCTGGTCTTCTGGTTTGGTGCGCCACAGGCTCAGCTCAGCCACCTTCCCCGGGCGTAGCAGCAGCCGTTGAATGACATCCTTCGGGGAGGCCGCTGACAGCACCTTCACCGGCACGCGATGCTTCTTCCCGTTGGCGAAGCACTTGGTCTCGAAGAGGGTCCCAGGACAGTCGAGAGAGACGCACTTTCCATGTCCAGGGAGACCGTTTAGTTCCGTAGGATGGTGGGTCTCCCAGCAGTGGTCGCACAGGAAATAGTACGTTATATGCGCGTCAGGGTCAACACCAAGCCGCCGTTCAGCAGTCCGCAGGGTGATAGCCATTTTCTCGAGCCCAGGAATGTCGTACCCAGTACGCAGAGAGAGCGAGAGAAGCTGTGACCGTGCGCACTCCAGTTGGTACTGAGCCAGGTCGTGTGTAGCACCATGAAAAGCGACCGCAATGAATGCTTGGACATAGGCACGTCGAATGAGTGGGTGTTCCTGGAAAGCCGGCGGCAGAGCGGACGTTTCATGCTGTTCTTCATCAGCGGCATCCGGGTTATCTACATAGAGCGAATCTAGTCGAGCATAGAGCGGGTCGTCATTATCGATTTCAAAGCCAGTCTCGTCGTCAGAGTGGTCGCCGAGGGCAGAGGAGGGAGAAGAGGGACGCTCTGGGCTAGCAAAGTCTGCGTCGTGCAGGGGCTGGTCGGTGTCGAAGTCGGAGGGAGGATCCCAAGAGCTCTTGATGACTTCATCATCGTCGTCGCAGTCTTCGACCGTAGTGGAATACGTGCGACGGACAGGGTCGCCAAGAGAGATCCCAGACTCAGATAGGTCCACTCCAGAGTCATAGTCGCCAGTCGGATCACCAGCAAAATCATCGGCATAGTCGAGCTCAGCAGGTGGCTCCCCATCGTGGTGAGCCCCATCACCACCAGTGGATCCTGGGTGTTCTCCGTGGCCTGTAGCCACAGTAGGCACAAGTAAGAGGCCCGGCTGGCCTGAGATGGACTTGTGCTCGGTAGAGATGCAGCGCGGCGCTGGAATGTGCTTGTATGCGCTTGATTCAAGTGTCCCATTGCGGCGCTGATGTATATTGATCATTTGCCGAGTTTGGTTATGGCGCGGGTCGTTACGACAGACGGTACATGGACAGGGATAGCGGCGCTGACGAGAGTTGTCCATGGCCACGAGAGGAGGGGTGGAATGCGAATGCGCGGTATTCGTGTGGTAGGAGGGGAAGGTATAGGCGCTAGACGCGTCGCGTCGACGCGTCTCGTGCATATGCACGTGAGCGTTCTCAATTCCTCGCGAGCAAATGCGGGAAATATCTCATTCGCAACAAACGCGCAGAAAAGCTACAGCATATTTGGTGTTTGGCCGTCTTTTTTTCGGGGCAAATTTTATTCGACGCCCAGTGCTTCCATATCTAGACAATTTAGATCCCATGCAATCTCCCCGAGCGCTCCCACTGCGAAAGTTGCAATGTCCCTGACCACTTCGTCGCAAAGAAATCATGCAAGAATGTCATTCACTCATCAAGTAATGCGCCATTGACCTCCGCTCTATATGTGCCAGGTAATAAAAATCCCATGCAACCACTTCCGACGAAACTGAAATCGACAGAACTTGTGCCGCGGCCCGCGGGTGCCTCCTCCTGATTCGCCAGCTCAAAAGAAATGCCTGAATTCACTGGACGCAAGAATTGAATCTTGAGGATACGGAGAGTGCTGGTTAGATCTCTCCGCAATCCGTCAAGACATGAGCAGTTCGATACCAATGCCATGTCGCGGGAGCCTCGCACTGAATACTTAACCCCGCTCTCTCGGCGCACATTCATAGATCGGCCGAGAGTGAAAAGTTCGCACAATGCCCTGAAAGGTACCGGGTCGCGGAGATCAAAACTCTACAGAAGCAAACGTCGCAGAAGCTGGATCCGGACCACGACTCGCTTCGAAACAGCAATGCAAACACTGGGGCGCTACTGTATGATAAATTGCAGTAGTCCAGGCATGGAGTGGCGAGCCTCGCGTTGCTGTAGGAGCAGCCTCCAGGAGGGCACTTAAGCTGCTGTTTCACGGAGTCTATCGCACGGACGGCACGATGTCGTCACGAGTACGGCATAGTGAAGTGTTTACAGTTTTGAAGCAAGATACTCGAAGCACCCGGCCTCTTGAACCATTGTAGCGAATGCGACTCGGCATGAAACTCTGAACGTAGTGTTGCTTACATGTTTCCTCGAGAGTTTACGAAGCCTGCGATCGCCGTACTCCACGCACGGAGACGCTGCTACGGCCTATTGCGGCGGTACCTGTGCGTTATTCTCGTCCACCATCGCCTTCACCGTCTTCGCGATCTCGACTGCGCCCTACATACGCACGATTGAGTGTCTCGAGAAGCAAACGGACCGGCCGAGAGATCGCACCGGGGTGTCCGAGTGGCAGCAAATGGAGACCTCGCTCACACCCGCCGCCAGGGGGAGGAAGCCAGCCGTCGTCGTGACTTGCCGCTCCCCGAGTAAACGGTTCACCCTATCGGTGACGGCAGACAGAGGGACGGGGTCGTGCTTCCTGGAGGAGCTAAGTCAGTCACCTGTTGCGTGTGCCACTGTCGAGTCGGGAACTCACTTCGTGATAATGAGTTTACCCTCTGGGCTATATTCGAGGTCGGCGAACCACTCTGTGTGCAGCGGAGATCAGGAATCGGCACCTCCTGCGTTCTGTGACATGCTGAGGACGTACCTGCGATGAATGGAACGCCGAGCTCCTCTGCCGCGGCTTGGTGGCAGGTACCGGCCAGGCCCATGAACGGGACGTCGAACGTCTTCGCGACGCCGACCGCTGCCCGCGCCAACGCCGGCTCGCGTGCAGTCATACCGTACACCGCCCCGTGCGGTTTGATCTGGGTCCGAGTACCAGTGTTATCCCAGAGTGGCCGTTCCGGAGACGCGCGGAGGACTTACGTGGTTGAGCTTCATGCCGTGCGCGAGCAGGAAGCCCGTGAGTGCGCCGACTTGGTAAACGAAGCATGCCGCGAGTTCGTCCTACGAGTCCGTCAGGGACAGGCAGCGGGCCTGGGTACGACTGGGCCACGTACAGGCTCCATCTTCATCTCGCGTCGGCCGAAACCCTGCTTGTCGGGGAGGGACGGGTGCGCTCCGACGAGGACGTTGTTGGCCTTCGCAATCTGTACTGTTTCGTTCATAATAGAGAAGTCTCTGTTATGAAACGAGTATCGAACACACGTGTCAGCGACGAGCAACGCCGTTCAAGACCGAAATTATATTTACGAAGCGTGAAACCCGCAGGCTACATTGGCGAGGTGGATCGTCTTCATGAGTGCTTCGTCGTCGCCCTACGATTCAGTGCGCGTGAATCCCCAAGGTTATGGAAATCTTGAGCTCCGGCTAACCATCTTGTAGAGAGAATATCCCTATGATTTGCCATATCAGCACTGTGTTTACCGAGAGACGTAGGCAGCATTGAGTGGTCGCGGTCGGGTGCAACGCGTCCAGGCGCGCGTCGTAGCCACTGGCGCTTCCATAACTGCTCCAGCGCCTGCAAGCCGCGTTACGTAGTCGTTACGTGCGGTCGCTCTCTTTTCTGCCGTCACCATCTCTTTCTTCTCACCGCGCGACGCAGCGTTAACGAAGGCAGCACACCGAGCATAGGTACGTGGACAAGTCGCAGCTCGCTTACCTCCCCCATATCACAGTTCAAGGTTGCTCGGATGCGAGCCATTTTGCTGGAGGAAGAGGGTAGATCTGGAGCTCGGTGGGAGGTGGACGAGGTCGATGGATCCTTTGGTGAGTGCGACTCTCTTGAAATACCGTAGCTAGATATCTAAATGCTGCTTTCCCAGACAGTGCGTATATATCTGGGGTGATAGATAGGAGTGTATCATGCGATAGCATCTTTAAGACTTCGACCGGAGTCATGGGGTGTCGCGGGCCGAACTTTGAATGCAACCTCGCGTGCAAGCTACGACTTGCATTGACATTCAAGGCTAATGTATCTCAGAGTGTACATGACTTAAGGTGAGCGAAATTTGACAGCGCCAGGCGCAGTGTATGCGATCCGTCACTCTCGCGGTAATCCTCTGGGCCGCGTTTGCTAGGGGCCCATCGGGCTCTTGGCTCATGGTCACAAGGCGCGAACTTTAAGCTAATCCTGTTTGGAAGCAGCGGCGTCATCGTAGCGCGACCGTTCCCTCGTTATCGTATGCGTTATTCGGCCACTGAAAACTATGAAGCGGTCCCCTACCTCCTTTCGATCCCTGACCACAACCATGACGGACCCCACGCCGCCATACGCATCGCAGAAACTGCTAGTTGCGAACCGTGGCGAGATCGCTATACGCGTTCTGCGCACCGCGCGCCGACTCGGTATTTTAACCGTGGCGGTATACACGCGTTCTGACGCGACCGCGCCCCACGTAGTCCTTGCGGACGAAGCGGTCGCGCTCCGCCCGGACGACGACGATCCGGCATCGAACGCGCGCGGATACCTCGATGCGGACGCCATCCTGGCGATATGCAAGGAGCGCGGCGTGACGCTTGTCCATCCGGGTTACGGGTTCTTGTCCGAGAACGAACGGTTCGCGCAGATGGTCGTGGACGCGGGCATCGTGTGGTTAGGGCCGCGACCCGACACGATCGAGGCGATGGGCCTGAAGCACCGCGCGAAGGAGCTCGCGACGGAGGTGAACGTACCCCTAGTACCGGGGTCGAAGAGCCTTCTCCGCGACGTGGAGGAAGCTGTTGGTTCAGCAAGCGCTATCGGGTTTCCGGTGATGCTGAAGTCTACCGCCGGTGGTGGTGGAATGGGACTCGTCGTTTGCTACACCGCAGACGAACTGCGCGCAAAATTCGTGTCTACTCAGGCCCGCGCGCAGGTACATACCGGGGTTATCACTCGATGTTTGGCATAACACTGACGGATGTCGTTCATAGAGTCTCTTCCACAATGACGGAGTATTCATTGAAAGATACTTTGCTGCCGCGCGACACGTCGAAGTGCAGGCAAGTGATAGAAGATGTGGATGTCCACTTCGAATCCAACTCATGCGTCGCAGGTCTTTGGAGATGGTCAAGGTCGGGCCATACACATGGGCGAGCGCGAATGCAGCGTGCAACGGAGGCACCAGAAGGTAGTTGAAGAGGCGCCAAGTCCTTTCATGCTGCGTCATCCGGGTATGTACTACATCAAGTACTGGTCCGTGCACAGTCTGAGCTGTCGCAGAGATCCAACAGAGAATGTGGGATGCAGCTGTACGCCTGGCGGTGCACGTCAAGTATGAGTCTGCGGGTGAGTCGCGGAGGCATCCGGCTCCTCTGATATAGATTGACATGTGTCATAGGTACCATCGAGTTTCTGGTCGACGACGCGACAGGGGATTTCTTCTTCCTGGAGATGAACACGCGCCTGCAGGTGGAGCACCCAGTGACTGAGCAGATTAACCCTGGGCTCGATATCGTCGAGCTCATGATCCTTCAGGGGATCACGAAACATGACAGTCCAGCTGGCAGCGTACTGGCCCACCCGATGTGCGAGCAGAGCTTATACAATGTGGCACCTGAAGAGGGGAAGAGGCACTCGATCGAAGTTCGCGTGTACTGCGAGAATCCCGCTGCGCAGTTTAAGCCATCCCCGGGCGTCTTACAGCAAGTCGAGATTCCGGATCCCGAGTGGTTGAGGGTTGAAAGCTGGGTAGGTACTCAAACATGTTGTCTGCTGCACCTGGTCGCTAATACGAGGTTGTAGGTGGAAAGTGGCACGACGATTACGCCGTACTTCGACCCGCTGGCGTGCAAGCTCATTGTCACAGGCTCAAACCGCTCAGAAGCCATCGCGCGGCTTTCTCAGGTATTGAGCGAGGCAAAAGTCTACGGGCCGCCGAACAACGTTCAGTACCTTCGCGCGATCTGCGAGTCGGAGACATTTCTAGAGGGCGCTGCAACAACGACTTTCTTGGATACGTTCAGCTTTACCCCTAGGTTAGTTCCCATTACGCCATGAGTGATAGCGTACTCAGTCTCTCATCTCTTTTCAGAGCATTCACAGTTTTGACTGGTGGGTTGGAGACGACCGTGCAAGATTATCCCGGCCGCAGGATCGGCCTTGGCATCCCGCGCAGCGGGCCCATGGACTCGCTCGCTTTTCGAATGGCGAACGCCCTCGTCGGAAACGACCCGGGCACAGAAGGTCTCGAGCTCACGTTGACTGGATGTCGGCTCATGTTCCACGTCCCTGCGGTTGTGGCTGTTACTGGCGCATCCGTAAAGGTGACCGTCAGCGGGACCGAGGTCCCCATGTGGGCACGCATCGTCGTCCCTGCCGGCGGCAAGCTCGTCGTCGGCAACGCGATGGGGACTGGAATGCGTGTGTATCTCGCGGTAAAGGGCGGATTCCCGGAGATTTCGAAGTACTTGGGCTCGAAGTCGACGTCGTTGGGGCTAGGCGGGTACCAAGGCCGGGCGCTCGCTGCCGGGGACCAGATCGCACTGGGCGACTGTACACCCTCAGACGCGTCTTCGACTCTCAGCCTTCCGGAATCTCTCGTGCCGTTGTATCCGACTGCCTGGACGATCCACGTCCTCGCGGGACCTCACTGCGATCCGACGTTCATCACTCCCAGCGGCGTCACCGATTTCTTCGCGACAAAATGGACGGTGAGCGCCGCGAGCAACCGGATGGGCGTGCGCCTCGAAGGTCCGCGTATCGAGTGGGCGCGCGAGACGGGTGGGGAGGGCGGCTCGCACCCGAGCAACATCCTGGACAATGGTTATTCGTTCGGGACTGTGAACGTGAACGGTGACACGCCGGTCATTCTGACCAATGAGGGTCCGGACATGGGTGGTTACCTCTGCGCATGCACGGTTGCGAGCGCGGATCTGTAAGTGGCTATCATATATCCCTCGGTATGTTAGACCAACTAAGACATTGTCACTAGGTGGAAGCTGGGGCAGTTGAGAGCAGGCTCGACAGTCCAGTTCAAGCGGATCGCGCATGCACAAGCCGTCGAAATGATACGCGACCAGGACAAGCTAGTGGAAATTCTTGTGGAATATAGTAAGACGTCATCTCTGTCGGGCGTTCCACCCGTTCCAGAGCTGGTTGAGTCGAGGATGGATCCACGTCTGCACGAGTTGCTTGCTGATACGTCAAGCGGAAGACCTAGCGTCGTGTTTCGCCAGGTGAGTAGACGATCAGCTCACCGCCACATATGTGACCAACCTAAGTCATCTAGGCGGGCGACTCTGCGATCTTGGTCGAATTCGGGACGATGACGCTTGACTTCGCAATCCGGGCTCGTATACACGCGTTCGAGACTGAAGTGCGGAAGCGCGCCATATCGGGTGTCTGGTTCCTCGCGCCCTGCATCAGGTCGACGATGGTAGGTGTCAGGCTTACGTTCCCCTTCATTCCGGATTTGTTTTTTCAATACTAGCACGCAGATACACTTCGATCCGCTTGTGATCAGCCAGGCGTCACTACTCTCCGCACTGGTAGAGGCAGAAGCATCTCTCCCTGCCAACGTCGAGTCTCTCGAATTTCCGGGACGCAAGATCACCTTCCCTGTCGTGCTAGACGATAAGTGGAACCGGGAGGCGCTCGAGAAGTACATGCGGAGCATCAGAGATACAGCGATCTACCTTCCCAGCAATATCGAATATCTCGCCAGGAATAACGGACTCATGGGCGCGCAGGAGGCGTTGAAGAAACTTGTTGAAACGGACTGGGTAAGTTCAGGGTACATACAGGCCGTCCGCTCGAGGGGATGCTAACAAGTTTCAGCTCATCCTCGGGGTCGGATTCTATCTCGCTTGTCCGTTCCTCGTGCCAGTGCGTCCTTCCGGGTTACACCCCGATCACAAATTTCTAACAAGGCAGTTTAGATCGACCCGCGTTGCAGGCTAGTCGGGCAGAAGATGAACCCGTCGCGGACTTTTACTCCTCGAGTGCGCATTTGATTCCACGTCTCACGTCCCCCGTCCATTCACATTCTGATCTACATCGCAGGGCGCCATCGGCATAGCCGGCCCAGTCGCAGCGATATACCCAATCGAGTCCCCCGGTGGATATCAGCTTTACGGCCGGACCCTCCCTCCCTGGCAAACTTGGGGCAAAGGCCGGGACTTCAGCGCAGACAGTCCTTGGCTGTTGCGGCCGTTCGACCAGGTACGCTCCGTGCATCTCGCGCACATCTCGCCCGCTCATTTACGCCCAAGGTCGCGTGGGAGACTGTCGGCGAAGAGGAATACGCGCAGGTACAGTGACATAGTCTTGTCTGAGGCTTCGAGACGCAGACGCTGATTGCGCTCAGCTCGAGGCGCGGTTTGATGCGGGCCAGTATGTGTTTAAGGTACGTCTCTCCGAGTGTGGCACTCTCGCTAGCACGCTCAATCACACTCTCAGATAGAGGACACAACGTTCTCCATGGCAGACTACGCCACATTCATCAATAGCATCGCTGAGGAGGTCAAGGAGTTCAAAACACGACAAGCCCAAGGCGCCGCTTCTGAAGAAGCTCAGTGCGTCTCATGGTCAGAGTAATTGGCACGAGTATTTACCGTTTCACCAGGGAACGGGAATTGTTCGCACAATGGGATAGAAAACGGCGTGCTGAGCTGGAAGCGCGACAGTCGGATTCAAACCTCACCGATAGTAAGGCCATCATCTGCTCTCCACTGGTTCTATAGTTCATCGGCTCTCAGCAGCATCCGGAGGCGAAAGCGGGGATCACGTTGCATCCTCGTTGTCAGCACATGTGTGGAAGATCAAGTGTGCTGTCGGAGACGTCATTCAGAGGGCAGAGCATGTCCTTGTTATCCTCGAGGCGATGAAGACCGAAGTCAACATTGAGGCCGGGGAAGAATTCGTCGGGCGCACGGTCAAGGGATTCGGGCGAGGAGCGAAGGAGGGTGGTTCCGTATCAGCAGGAGAGCCTTTAGTGTACTTCGAGTGATCGACGAACGCTGTAGTTTGAAGATACTAGGCAGAGCTGTGGAAGAAATGGTTTCACCCACTACGAGTGTACATTAGATCCCTTGAGCTTTTGGGCTCCTTTCAAGCGGACGTATGCGACTCATCCGCTCAGTCCACCCGCCATTGCCAGATTACCCCTGTACCAATGAAGAGTGTATGAGGATAACCTAGAAGTGGATGAAGAGCTGAAGCCTGCAAACACTGACCGAGCGGGTCGCCGCTTTCATGGTGCACCCCCGTCCACATCCCGAGCGCGCCCATCGCGGAACCAACCCCACCAAGCTGGATAGCCTCGGAAGACCATTGATCGAAGGTATTATCGTCGTTTGCAGATATCTATTCGCAACGCTCAGTTACTTTTTACAGTGCATATAAAGCTCGGGCCACATACGAAGGAGTACCGCACACTTCCGCTGGCGAGCATGCTCACGGTGCCATGCACGCGCCGAGGGTTGTATGCTCCGAGGAAAACATTTCCCTCCCCTCCAGCATCGCCCATTTCGCCCTCGACGTGGATGTCAGGTCTGTCGGAATACTCAGGGATCGATGAGGGCGAGTAGCCGGTTATGCGCAAGGAGAGAGAAAGGATGATGTATACTTCTTGGAGGTCGGGGTCGTCGTATTTACCGTTTTGCTATGCGAGTTAGGATGGTCATAAGGGTGCGTGCATATTTTGATCAAAGAGGACGTACGTAGTAATCTATGGAGATCGAATACTATCTGTCAGTCTCGTGGGCACCATCAAGCTACAAGAGAATGCACTAACAGACGAGGTCAGTGTATCCCAGCCAACAAACAAGACGCCTGATCATTCGGTCAGCCACATTCTTTCAAACTGTGGCGACACGTACCTCCAGACGCCTTCCACGCCCGCCCAGTCATGTCCGTGCAATGCCTTGCAACTAGCTTCAGTATTGGCAGCCGGCGGGGTTGATTGACGTACACGAGTGTTGCTATCCAAGCTCTCCGCAGAGACACCATCGACACTGGAGGTCGGCACCCAGGTTCCCTCGCGGACGTTGTCCCATGCACCTAGAATCTCCAATCCCAATTTCCGGTGCGCCCTGCGGAGTGTAGATTCGGCCACTATGCGAGCGGCAGCAAGCCAGGACCAGTCAGGACGCAGCAGGCTGGCGGGTGGGACTCTTGCAGCTCCAGGCGCGTCGGTGCCAGGGAGCCACTCTGGGTCATCCGAGTCGCTATCCTCCGCACTGGCAGGTTGAGTAGGGTCAGCCGCTGAGTGAGGACGCGCCTTCTTGGGGTGCACGGGGAGGTAGGGGCCCCAGCGCCGTTTTCGAGAGAGATAGTCGAAATTGAACACGCGCTGGCGGGCGTGCCAGTGGGCGCGTTTGCGCTGCATTTCTACTGTCATGTCCTCGGTAGCAAGACGAACGTCAGAGCTTCTGTCTGCAGGGTTGAGGTGTCCTCCCGCTGGGGTGCCAATCGCCGTTCCGGCGACGGGCTCCACATCGGACTCTACAGTTTGAATAGGGAGGAAACCAAGGTGGCTAATAATCTGTCCCGCCGCGAGCCCTTCTTCCGTGTCGTGCCAGTCTTCGGAATCGTCGATATCGTCAAGCGCAACTTGTCTGGTGGAAGACGCCCGAAGACCATTCGAGAGGGTGTTTCGGAGCCAGGTGGTGTTGAGGGACGGCTGTGGCGGAGGGACACTTGGAGGCCAAAGTCCACGAGGCTGGGCGTAGAATGTCTGTATCGTGTCGGTCTCGAAACAAGAGTCCATCACGTCTAGTGCTTGGGAGCGAGGAGGGGTGCCCATAGGTCGTAGATCCGGGTCAAGGCGCGCAGTGTACATAACAGTTAGAGCGATTTTCAAGGCCCGAAGGTGTTCAGAGTCGCTTGTCGGCGCCAGTGGGTGAGTACACCAGAGTGCTGGTTGGGAGGAGCGTATATGCTGGATCCGTGTCGGCTGAGCATGGTGCGTGAGGAAGCGGTTGGCCCATACACGGTCTTGCAGATCCTTCCGCCAGTCCGGCTCTGTAAATCGTGCGTCAATGTCCCGAGCGTCACTAGTCAACTAACGGGGCAGTTCAAAGCGCTCACCCGAAGCCGGACGACGGTCAAGTCCCCTGGGATCATCAAATAGTGTCAGAAAGAGAGAACGCCATAGATGGTGATCCGTAGTGTCGTAGATTATCGAGTAGAGTCGACGGCATGTTGCGGCGGCAGCGGCGATACTGGTGGCGTTGTCGTTTGCCACACAAGCGATGAGTATCTCTTCAACGAGTTCATCGGGGATGTTCGAGAATCCCGGTCGCCCGGAATGCATTCGGTATACGCTCCTCCCTGAGATGTCCTATGAAGATACAAGTCGAAGTAAGAGCAGAAAGAGAACCAGCAACTTGATTCTGATCTGCTCCGGCACTAATCAATGGCGCGTGGGAACGATGCCTGTCCGAAAGCGGCTATAGGCGTTCGTTCGAGGGAGAAACTGGAATTCCACTGGCAGAGAAGAGACAGAAGATTTAGAGCGGAAAAGCGTGACGTGCAAGGTTAACACATATCAAGTACCACCCTGTTGGTGTCATCGCTACTTCAAGCTTCAGGTCTCTTACCGGGGGTCTCACTCTATAAAAGAAATAAATATGTCGATTAGCTGACACGCCATTGCCACATTACTCCTGTATTGGACATGGGCAGAGTGAGCACAACAATATAACGGTATGTCAGGCAGAACGCCAAGGAAGGCAAGTTACTAACCGACCGGATCGTCTTCCTCGTGGCGTGCCCCTGTCCACATCCCGAGCATACCCATCGCCGATCCGACCCCGCCGAGCTGGACAGACTCGGATGCCCATTGGTCCGTCGCATTGTCTTCGTCGAGGGACGTCTATGGCGCGGGTGAGTCTCGTTGGTGCAACTGCCATCACATGTTGACGTACTATAGACCATCGCACGCTGCCATCGGCGAGCACGCTTACAGTCCCGTGCACGCGCCGTATGTCCTCGTCCGCGATATCGATACCGCCATCCCAGCCCACGCCGCCCATTTCGCCCTCAACATGAATTGTCGGCCGGTCGGCATAGGCGGGAATCGGTGACGGCGAGTAACCAGTGATACGCAGCGAGACGGGCACGATGACCCATTCCTCCTCCAAGTAGGAATTGTCAAATCTTCCAGAGTGCTGTAAGCAAGGAATCAGTGCATCGTGCATAGTATGAGGAATAGAAATTAAACTGCAGTATACATTGTGACCTGTGCGAGACGCGACTGAGTTAGACCAGCATGTAGTGGCGCGTGCCAGGGATACGCACGAATGAGGTCATCGTAATCCAGCCAGCAGACGAGGCGCCTGCGATGCGGCATCAGTCGATACTTCCTCGGACGATGCATATAATATGACATACCTCCACAGGCCCTCTACACCCGCCCAGTCGTGCCCATCGACGTCACCTTCATCCGACTCGTGAACTTCAGCCTCCGCATCGCCCAGGCGCGGCGGCAGCCAAGCACCCTCGCGAAGATTGTCCCAGGCTTCCAGTCGCCCGACGTCATCCGTTGACTTGTGCGCGCGCAGCGTAGATTCGGCGACCACCCGCGCCGCCCCGAGCCACGCCCAGTCCGGAAACAGCTTATCTTCCGGCGGAACTGCCTCTTCACTGCCAGTGGATGTAGTTTCCAGCCAATCGGGATCATCGTCCTCCCAAGAAGAGTCGGACGAGGCACCATCGGGAAGCACAGCAAGATAGGGGCCCCAGCTTCGCAGTGGAGACAGGTTTCTCAAATCGAAAGCGTGTCGACGGGCGTGCCATAGGGCGCGCTCGCGTTGCGCATGTTCCTCCATACTCGGGGGGCTAGGTACTATGTTGTAGCCCGCGAGTGAGATAGAGTGTACGTGCAACGAGAAGCTGGGCTCGGCCGAGCCTACAGAAGGGATTGGAATAAACCCGACGTGGCTGACGACGTGGCCGGTCTCGCGACCCGCCGGTGTTTCAGAATACCAGTCGTCCCCCGTGTTGTCGAGCGAGATCTTTGCAGTCAGCACAGCTGGGAGGCCATTTGCGAGGATCCCCTTGAGCCATGCCACGTTTGAGGAGGGTAGGCTAGACGGGATATCGGGTGGCCACTGCGGCGTCTGCATGTGTAGCTGCACCAGATTGCGCGACGGGAGGCGAGCCTCTTCAACTGCTCTGGGAGTGCGCACACCTCGTCGCGGATCTGGCGCGATGGTGTATATTGCGAGGACGATAGTGCGCAGGGCGCGAATGTGAGCCTGTTCTTCGAGCGTGTCGCGAAGGGCGTCCACGGAGTAAACGCTGGCCGGCCCCATCGAGTGTGACACTCGCATATGTTCCACGCTGACAGTGGAAGGCAAATGTCGCGATACGAAGGGAAAAGTCCAGAGGCGGTTCTGTAACACCCCTCTCCAGTCTGAACGATAACGATCAATGACGCATAACCTCCGTGAGCAGGTTACATTGTCATGCTGAGTAGCGGGCGTTCTCACCAAATTTTGAGCTTGCATGATAGCGGAGAGTCCTGGGGTCGTCAAACAAAGTGAGGAACAGAGTGCGCCATAGATGGTGATCAGTGGTCTTGTAAATTGTAGAATATAGCCGCTGCGACGTGGCAGCAACCGCAGCAACACTTTCTGCATGCCCATTTTCCGCGCAAAAGACGAGTATTGCTTCGAGAAGCTCGTCAGGAAGTGTCTGAAGTGATGCCTTTCTGCTACTCATGACGGGAACGGGGGCGAACCGCGAGCGAGGGGGAAGAATATGTGCGCGTTGAATAAGTAGGGCGAGGATGCCAGTGCTCCAGCGAGTCTTTCCAACAGGTTCAGTTTTTTGTGCGAGATTCACTCCTGCAACTTACAGTTGGGGTGGAAGATAGGTCAAACCGGTGGAGGTAGGAGGTGGGAACAGGTCAAGAGGTGCGCCGTGCTAGTAAGGACTGTCGGATTCGCCGAGTCTGCCAGAGAGGAGCAGTGTATATGCGCCAAACGACCCCCGGAGCTGCGGTCTCCTGGTCTTCAGTAAGTAAAACATGTATTGCCCTCAGCTTCCAAATCCGAAGCTAGGTAGCAGGCGAGGACGTGCATATCTTAGAAGGCGCTGAGGGTATTCAGGTCACAATTGAGAGTCAAAAGTGAACGTTAGCAGACTTTGACAAAACGTATTCCGACACGGGGAATCGAACCCCGGGCTATCGCGTGAGAGGCGATAATGTTAGCCACTACACCATATCGGACTTACGGAGTTAGCTGTTGTGCGTATCCATATATTTTGCCCGCCTCGCTTAGAAATGAGGGGACTGGCTGGCAAACTTCGGACCGGATTTTCGTTGGCACCGTCCAGGGGTCGCTGTGCGTGCTGTCTCAGTGCCTGTTCGCCGACGACCACGACGACCACGACGTTCGACGCCGCCGACGCCCTCGTTCCCGGCTACACACGCGCGATGGACTTGGCTGCTCAATCTGGCCGGGAACATGCCGCTGACCAGATGCAGGCTGCGCATTCCATTGGCTGCGGGTCATCGGCACCTCGGCATGCCGAAGACGCGGCACAGGCGGAAACGTTCCAACACTCGCCCGGCATCCAACAAATCGACTTCGACGATGAGAATAAGCCGAGCCGCAAGTCTTCCTTCGTCGCCGAGCAGGTCACGCAAGTACCCGCCGCGTCCATCCACAGCGGCTGTGAGTATCCTCCAATCTTACAAACTCTCGGAACTGACCGGCTCTCCCAGTCTTCTCACCTGCTCTCGCACCTATGCGGCGTCGGTATTTCATCATCCTCGGGCGGGCCACGCTCTTGATCATGGGCCTCATGTGGACATGTCTCCCGATGTGAGTGTTGCGGAACAAGCGTTTCGTTGGGCGCCCCGTTCTTTGATCGTACCAGCGCCTATTGCGCGCTGTCATGAGCGAAGCAGGCTTTGTACGTGAAAGCGGATGCCTCCCTCGAGCATGTGCCTGCATTGAAGCGGCGAGCACAGACCCCATAAGACTCCAAGTGCTCAAAGTGTGACTTGATGTACTGATACCGGCCACGATGCAGTTACTGGGGCGCCCTGAACGATTCGGCGAAGCTTACGGGCAACCTGGAGTCCTGGTTCATCGACAGGGACGGCGGGCGCGTCGGCAGGGGACTCTCACAAGCTGCTCAACAGTATACAGCCCCGGGACCGCAACTCACGTGGCAGTTCCTCAACGCACGCGACGTCGGGGACGACAACGACATCATCAACATGGTCCTCCAGGAGCAAGTATGGGTTGTTGTCGTCGGTATGTCGTTCCCATACAGTCGCTAAATCATCTTCTCATGCGCTGTCTTTATCAGTCCAGCCGAATGCCTCGACTATACTGTCTGCAGCTCGTACTAATGGCGATAAGACTTACGACCCTAGGACCGCCATCAAAGTATACTATTCCCAAGTAGGCGGCACATACTTGTGTTGACGAACCCTACGCTAACATTGGTTACAGGCACGAAACGAGATCGCAACGGGAAACTACATCGTTCCGCTCACGACCCAGATGCTTCAAGTCACGACATCCGCGTATGCCACATCCACGGCGCAGAGAGTCTTTGCACAGATAGACTCGAATGGCCAGCCAAATTCGACGGCGCTGCAGATGATCGCGAACGCCCCCCAGACCATCTCGCCAGCAATAAGCTGGACGATGGTCAACCTTCGACCGTATACGTGCGTCTGCGTCTGCGATATCTATGACCTACAGTATTGACATACACACAGGTCGCCGGCTGCTCAAGCCGCTACGCTTGTCGGCAACATTTTTCTCTGCATTTTCTCGTGAGTCCCTCAGTCGTTGTGATCTTTAAGGGGTCTCTGAACGACCCTTACAGATTTATGATCGTGAGTGGTGCTGGCTGCTACATACGACTGCATCTAACCTAGGCTCAGACTATGGCGAACTCGACTGCGAGGGCCATAGTCGCTCCACACATGGCTTTCTTGCCCTACTTAGCCCTCCGGCTCGCGGTACCCCTTATCGCATACCTGCCGTTGAGCATGAGCTACGCCCTCGTGAACCTCGCTTTCAAGCTTCCGCTCGGGACCAAGTTAGTGTTATACTTCATCTGGTCTCCTCGTGGTTCTTACATCGCTCGCAGGTACGGTCTCGGTGCTGGCTTCATGCTGTCCTGGGTGTACATATACCTCGGCATGGCGGCCCTTGGGCTGTCTATCGAGGCCATGATCACTATCCTCACGCCCCGATTTACGCCGTTCTTCCTTTTTATGCTGGTATGTTCGCCAACAAACTGCAGCCCGATCAGTGCTGATATCCGCCTGTAGATATTGTATAACGTTTCACCCGTGGTTCTGCCCGACGAGCTGCAACCTCCGATATATGCCTACGGCGGCGGCTTCCCGATATGGTACGCAAACCTTCCTGTATCAAAGATATCGTGGTACTGACTATCTGTTCCAGGAACCTGTAAGTTGCCACAGGCACCCGACGCGCACACATCTACTTACTTGTTATTATCGCACAGCTCGCAAGCCCTCAGGACGATCATGTTCGACACCAACTCGCAGCTAGGCCGCAACATCGCGGTCATCATCGCATGGATCCTCCTCTCCTGTGGCACGATTACCGTCTTTACCTGGTACATGCGCCGGCGAGAGCGGCGGATCCTGTACGCGCTCGCTACTCGGCCGGCGAAGAAAAGTGCGGACGACGCGCCGCCAAAATCGTCCAAGGGAAAGGAGAAGACCGTGGAGTGATATCTTAATCTATGTACGGACCACTAGACCGGATTGTAACGCATGGATAGGTATACCGTGGATGGATTAACACATTTGCTAGCTCCCGCTGCGTTCTCCCAGCACGCCTGCCCGTCTCATTTGTGAGTGCATTGCCGATCACCGCGACCTCGCCGCATATCCTGACCCTTCAGACGCATATTCTCGGTGCTTTCGTGGGGCAGCAGCCAAGCCATCGTTATTCTGATATCCAGTCTACCGTGCACTAGCAGCGCAGATAGCGCGCCCCGGGATGCGGCGCGGCCACGGCATCGCGGTCACTGGCACACTGCGCTCGTTGATAAGATTGCGTATTTCGTGCACGGTGCCTGGAAGAAGCACACCATCCCCAGCGGGTGCGGGTCTCCGCCGCTTCTTCGAGCTCCTCGCCTCGCGCGGAGTTCAATGCCTATATACCTTCCGTGCCGTGGTGGCTGGTGTGCTGGTCGCTCTCTTGCTGCCTCCACCTCGCGCGTCTCTGCTGATCCTCTAGGTTCACTATGTCGGCGACCAAACGCGGCTCGCTCGACAAGACTTCTGAGGCGGGCTCGTTCAATGATAAGAGTGGGGCCCACGAGAAAGCCGCCGGCTTCGATGCTACAGGGAGCGAAGAGGGTAACGTCGGGCTCCATGAGTTCGATATCGCCAAACAGTCCGGGATCCAGGTCACCGCAGAGCAGAACCGCAGGTAAGCTTCGGAGAACATTGATCACACGAGTATATGGCTAATCTGAGTACTGCCGTAGGATTGCGAGGAAAATAGACATCTGGATTCTCCCGATGGTGCGCGTGCTGACTAGCGAAGGTGTGATCGCTCGTACTGAACGCCCGGGCGCGTAGCTCTGTCTCGCACAAGGTCTCAGCTATTGTGAGTATTGGCATCGGAACATAGTACACCTTATCTGACCGACTTGACAGTGGATAAGACGGCGTACGCTTCGAACGCTGCGTGGTTTGCAGAGGTCGGCTGACTAGCCTGCACGCAGACTGAACTACGGCAATCTGTACGGCATGAAGGCTGCGCTGCATGTATCCGGAAGCCAGTTTAGCTGGTTTGCGAGCAGTACGCATCGCTTGAACGGCTTCGAACCATAATTCACGCTAATAACGGCCTGCTCTGCAGTTTTCTAGTAAGTACGGTCCTCCGCGCACGTCACATATGGCGTGAACCATCCCCCTGTATAGTCTAGGCTACCTCATCGGGAATTACCCGGACAGTTGGTTACTGCAGCGCTTCCCTACGGGCAAAGTATTGGCGACTAGTGAGCGTCATAACTCGTATGGGTATATTTCCCATATTCAACGCCCTTTATAGCGACCTTGATATGGGGAACGATCGTGATAACGTGCGTGCTCCCTCGCATGAGATCGCACCCGTAGATTTACCGATACCTTCTCAGTACCCCGGCGTGCACGAACTTCGCAGGTACCATGGTCAACAGGTGAGCCGATGATCACCTGGAAGCCGCAACAATTCCTGAGCAGAACGTGCGGACAGATTCTTCCTAGGGCTTCTCGAAGCCATCGTCACGCCCGGACTCACGATCCTAACGTCAATCTGGTACGCGCAAAGCGAAGTCCCATTCCGGGCCCTCATCTGGTACTCGTTCAATGGATGGGCGGGGATCTTCGGCGGCTTCATGGCGTACGGCGTGAGTGCTATGCCTTAACGCCGTGCTATATCGACTGACTCGAACGGGGTGGCTAGGTTGGGCACATCGAGAACCCACAGATCGCGTTGTGGAAGTACGTTTTCCTCATTCTTGGAGGGCTTAGTGCGGTCTGTGAGTCAACGTTGGTCCGATCTGCGAATACTCGGGTGCTTAAATTATACGCGTCAGTCGCGGTTGTCCTTTGGTTCTTCTTCCCGGACTCTCCTGTCGACGCACGCTTCTTTACTCCTGAAGAGAAGATCCTCGCGGTGAAGCGCGTGGCGGAGGCGAAACTCGGTGTTAAGAACACCCAGTTCAAATGGTATCAGGTACGTAGTAGTTCCAGCCGACCCTTTACACTACACCCGACGTCTGAGGCCCTCCAGATCAGACATGCTCTGGTCGATCCGAAGACATGGTTGTTGTTCGTTGCCTCCATCGCCGCTCAGATTCCGAACGGGTATGTACCAGAGCGAGCCTGTCATGACCCCGTGCGCTGACCTCAGATTTTGTAGAATCGTGTCTAACTTCTCTACGATCATTATCAGAGCAAGAACAGTGACATTTCTCCTGTGTATCTATGCTCATCTGTTTACTTACAAAGGGCATGGGCTTCACCACTCTACAAAGCACGCTACTCGATGCGGCATCGTCTGGGGTACAGATCGCGAGCCTCCTTCTCGCAGGGTAAACGCTGTGCAGTTTTCACACTAGACTTACATGAAGCTGACAACCGTCCAGGTGGATATGTATGCGGTTCAAGAACAGTAAGTGTCGTATCACTTTTCATCACCTGGATGATCACCGACGCGGGTTTTCACGGGTAGTGCGCGTCATAACGATGGCCGCGGGCAACATAACCTGTATTATCGCCGCGGCTTGCTTGACCTACCTGCCTTCCGATCAGAAGTGGAACCGCCTGGTCGCATTCTGGTTTACCTCGTTCCAGGTAGGTGCGGCGGAGTCATTTTGCCACACCGTGCTGACGTACGTCGTGCAGTCCGTAGGATTCGCCCTCTCTTTGGTTATGATATCGAACAACGTAGGTGCCCATATACCTCAGTAGCTCCACGCGCATTCTGATGTGGATGACAGGTTGGAGGGTTCACGAAGAAGACGTTCACGACGGCTGTAACGTTCATCGGGGTGAGTCGAGTATGTCGCACCGTATGTAAGGCGTGGCACTGATGTTTTGTCCGGTGCAGTACTGTGTCGGGAACGTCATCGGGTAAGTTACCATAGATCATCCGAGTGTCGAAGGATGCTGACTCGCCGATGCAGACCCCATTTCCTGATTGTGAGTGCTCATGTTCGCAGCGTCAGTCTTGACGGGTAGATCTCATGAACTTACAGGACAGCGAAGCTCCGAGATACGTGACCGGCACGGTGAGTGGTGTTGGCTCACCTCATAGGGTCGCTTGCTGATGCATAACGGACGAAACGCAGACGGCAATGTTTATAGGTGCGTACCACATTCTTGGCATCATACACTCCCCGAGACATACACTAAAATCATATCCAGGTTATGTTATCAAGACTGGTAAGCAGCAGCTTCGTGACGTTCTCACTCGCATATGTCAAAATCAACCCCATGTACACAGTCGCTCATCTCGCTCTCGGTTTCTATATGCTATGGAGCAATATGAAGGTCAGTGACTCGTCCTGAACGCGCTCCTCGCAACTACATGCTGATAATACGTAGCGCGATCGCGAGCAGGGACTAGTAACGTCATACGAGGATCAGATCAAGGGCGAAGGTAAGTGCCAGTATACGCGCGAAACCGCGCGGTGTGCTTACGGAAAGGTTTCTGTTTGCAGAGGCTGGCATGCACGACCTAACGGAGTTCGAGAACCCCTACCACAGGTACGTAGTTCGCTCTTGAGTTAGTGTTATTGATCATCATGTTATTTGATAGATATGTTCTGTGAATATTGAGCCACAGAACCGGCCTGTATACGTAGAATGCGTGAATGCCAGGAACCGCACTGGTATGCTTCTTTCGCGTGTACCTAGGGAGCCAGCATCAGAACGAAACAAGGATGTACAGTATCTCCCCTGCAGTTCACAACAAGCGGTGATAGATATAACGATTATTGACGAAGGCCCTGCACGAAATGTGCAGCTCCTGGGATCTCAAAAGGATCGCGCAGATCCGCAGGAGAAGGTCAGCACCAGACGCAGAGCAGTCCAGTCCATCGTGCCTGTACCGAAGCGGGGGGGGGGGGGGCGAGAGTTTCGGCGACGTCGAGCATTGCGGCTGTGCAGACGGCACGCACAGTGACCCTTGGGTGGTAATAGAAATGAAGGTTCAGCCAGTAAATTTCTATCTGGGCACGGTGGATATTGAAAGAACAAGTGCAGCAGTTGTGTACCCGGGCCATGGTTGAGGACAGCAGGGGATTCGGACGAGAAAGATCTGAGGAGCCGATTGTGTGGTACCAGGTTCGGCCGCATGCGGGCGATCTAAGCGCCCACAACTTCTCGACGTAACTTGAAGCCGCTCGGGCTCTCGCCGCGACGACGGCGGCTCTCTTTGCTTGCAACTCTCGCCTCGCTCACCTTGTCTTCGAATATGGCGCAGTACTCGCAGTACCTGTAGAGGCACTCATTTTTAAACACTACCGCCGTTTGGCCTGGACTGAATACCACTCGTCAATCACTCCGGGCCGGGCCTCATCCACAGCTCGAGCTTCGTCCGCACCTCACATACCTTGGCATGCGATAACTGCTATGACTGAAACATCGTCTGTGCTGGCTACGCATGCCTATGTCTCCTTATGCGGTTCTCGGCTTCAAGAATCGCAACCGAAACTGCTGCAGTGACGCCACGTCAACGGCAAAGTACTACATTTTGCATACGCCGTCCCGCAAAAACATATCCGTTATGCTTCCTACCAGGTAAGCATCCCTGATGTATGTGCCAAACGTGCCCAAACATGTCTGATGCCGGAGACCTTAATTTTTGCGCACACGCTGTGCGTTCTTGGACACCACTCGGGAACGGGATGCATCTACCTTTCGGCGCACATAGCAAGAGCCCGCCGCGCTAGACTCATCTACGCTTTTTCCAGCTTGTTGTGGGACGCCTTTGTAGCTTCAAATTGCCTTCCCACAACGGCTTCTGGCCTCACCCGTGAGTATATCACCGATTGCCGCGATATCGCATAACACCCCTACCTCACAGATCTATAGCTTAAGTGTTTCCGTGAGACAGCAACGGTACGCCGTGTAGTGCAGAGAATCTGCCGCGATTCTCCGGCACTGACGGGCGCCGCAAGCGCAGTCAATGGCACTGCGTCCGCTGAAAAGGTGGTATGTTTAAAGCATGGTGCCTTGAACAAGGGCACCATCTTTAGCGATCGCGGGTCTCCGCTGCTTCTCCGAGCTCTTCTCCCTCGAAATACTCTCGCGAGGCCCAACACATATATACCTCGATGTCGACGATGGCAGATGTTCTAAGTCTCACCCGACCGCGTGGATCTCTCCTGCTACCCCCTCCTCGGTTCAATATGTCGACAGCTCAACTCAGATCACTGGACAAGACCTCGGAGGCGGGTTCGTTGGACGACAAGGGTGGGGTACTCGACTCGAGTGAAGCCGCCGGCTTTGACTCCACTAGCAGCGAGGAGGGCAACGTCGGACTCCATGAGTTCGCCATCGCCAAACAATCCGGGATCCAGGTCACCCCAGAACAGAACCGCAGGTATGCATTCGGGAGACTCGCGCGTTGACTGTCGGCTCAGTGCACATTCGCCGCAGGATTGCGAGGAAGATAGACATATGGATCCTCCCCATGGTACGTGAGCTGAGAGCTCGATCTCTGGATCGTACACATACAACGCCTGTTACACACAGCTCTGTCTGGCGCAAGGTCTTAGCTTTTGTAAGTCCTCACTCTGAAGCTCGAGCACAGAATTCGCTTAACCTGAATGGGCACACAGTGGACAAGACTGCGTACGCATCGACAGCTGGGTTATTTCGAGACGTGGGCTGACGGCGCGCGGTCACAGACTGAACTACGGGAATCTTTACGGCATGACGAGTGCGCTAAATGTGTCTGGAGCCCAGTTTAGCTGGTTCGCAAGCAGTAAGCATCGCACGCACGGTTTGGAACCGTTGTTCGCGCTAATATTGGCTCCTTCTCCAGTCTTCTAGTGAGTGCGATCCTCCGCGGACTTTACGTACGGCGTGAATCATTCGCATGCAGCTTCGGCTACCTGGTTGGAAACTATCCGGACAGCTGGCTACTACAACACTTCCCCACGGGAAAGGTACTGGCGACGAGTGAGCATTATGGTTCGCATGCCCGAGCTCTACACCTTTGACACGCTCTTCAGCGACGCTCATATGGGGAACGATCGTGATTACGTGCATACACTCGCTCTTCTACTAGGCTGCGCTCGTAGTCTGACCAATGTTCCTTCAGTACTCCGGCATGCACGAACTTTGCCGGCACCATTGCCAACAGGTGAGAATCATGGAGTCGGCGGCGGCCGACAAGGGCGACTCACTAACAAACACCACTAGATTCTTCCTGGGACTTCTCGAGGCAATCGTGACCCCTGGCCTGACCCTGCTTACGTCAATCTGGTACGCCCAAAACGAGGTCCCCTTCCGGGCCCTCGTCTGGTATTCGTTCAACGGATGGGCGGGTATATTGGGCGGTTTCGTCGCATACGGCGTGAGTAGCGCGTCTCGACCACGTTTCACATTGGTTGACGCAAACGGGATGGTCAGGTCGGGCACATCGAGAACCCACAAATCGCGCTGTGGAAGTACGTCTTCCTCATTCTCGGGGGGATCAGCGTCGTCTGTGAGTCCACACTTGCCTGCATCGCGACTACTCGACTAATGATGCGTCAGTTGCTATCAGCCTTTGGTTCATCTTTCCCGACTCTCCGGTGGATGCACGCTTCTTCACCTCGGAAGAGAAAATCCTTGCGGTAAAGCGAGTTGCCGAAGCAAAACTGGGCGTCAAGAACACGCAATTCAAATGGTACCAGGTACGCAGCGATCTTGGGTGACCCCAGTACGCGATGCCTGATGTTTAGGAGCCTGCAGATCCGACACGCCTTGGTTGATCCGAAGACTTGGCTCCTTTTCGTTGGCACCTTCGCCGCTCAGATTCCAAATGGGTAGGCACAGCAGCGGATGTGTCATGGTTATATGTACTCACTTTGGTTTTTGCAGAATTGTGACGAACTTTTCTACGATCATCATCAAGGCAAGGACAATCCGCCTGTACCGCGCGTGTATAAAGGCTGACATGACTCAACTACAGGGAATGGGATTCACCACATTGCAAACCACGCTACTGAACGCGGTATCGTCCGTGGTTCAAATCGCAACACTTCTCACTGCCGGGTAAGCATCGCCATCCCACGACAGTCATGCACGAGTATAACTCCACCGCCTAGATGGATCTGCATGCGATTCAAGAACAGTAGGCGTCGCACTACCTCTCTCTCTCTCTCTTATCACGACTGACGTGGACTCTCCGTTGGTAGTGCGCGTCATTACAATGACCGCGAGCAACGTGGTCTGCATTATATCGGGGGCGTTCTTGACGTACCTCCCGACTGATGAGAGGTGGAGTCGGCTGGTTGCGTTCTGGTTCATGTGGTTCCAGGTGGGTGCATCAAGGACTTCGGCCAGTGGCTGCTCCATATTGACGCGCATCCGAGTGCAGACCGTCGGATTTGCCCTCTCGCTCGTCGTGATCGCTAACAACGTGAGTGCCAGCATATCTTTGTGTGTAGACGCGCATCCTAAGGCAGACACCAGGTCGGAGGATTCACGAAGAAGACGTGCACGACTGCTATAATGTTCATCGGGGTGAGTGGAATAAGTCTCAACGAATAATCAGGTACTGATACCATGTTCGACTCTATAGTATTGTGCTGGGAACGTTATCGGGTATGTCAATTCAGACTATCCGAAAAATCGGAGAGGGCTGACTTGCCGATGCAGGCCCCATTTCATCATAGCGAGTATTCCCGTCTACGATTTCAGCCTCGAAGAGCATATCTGATGATTTCTCAGGACAGCGAGGCTCCTAGATACAGGACCGGCACGGTAAGTGACATTTTCCTAATACATAGGGTCGCTCGCTAATGCCCAACGAACACAACACAGATGGCGATGTTCATAAGTGCGTAACTTGAATAATGTCTCTTCGTTTAGAAGTATCTAAGCGTCGTCCTCAGGCTATATTGTTGAGACTGGTAAGCATTGGCGGCATTCACAACTACCGAACACTCGCTTAATGCCGCAAATCTAGTTGCTCATATCGCACTCGGGCTTTACATGCTGTGGAGCAATATCAAGGTCAGTGATTCGGTCGAAACGCAAAACTCGCAACTGTGTTCTGACTTCTGCAGCGCGACCGCGAGTTGGGCAAGGTGACGTCGTACGAGGATCAGCTCAAAGGAGAAGGTACGCGAGTATGCGCACGTGAGATCACTTGCTCTGCTTACGGCGGGGTTTCTTCGGCAGAGGCTGGTATGCACGATCTTACAGAGTTCGAGAACCGTTACCACAGGTACGTAGAGAGCTCTCGCCCCAGCTCTCAGTGTCTTGAAACTATTCCCCAGATATGTACTTTGAACGTTGGGATACTGCGACGAAGCTTTTGAACGTTGGAATACTGCGACAGAACTTGTCTATATACGCAACAATCGTGAATGCAGCTGTATCTTGCTGACCGGGTCTCGTTCAAGTTCCCACCTCCCCAGGCGGAAGCGTAGGGGCGCAAATCTATGCAAGCAAGTCCAAGTCATTGGTTCAGCTGGTGCCCACGGTAAAGTATACATCGACGGGAGCTACTTACGTTGATCGGGAATTCCGGGTCAATCAAGCACACGAACTTGAGCGGCGTACTGCAACAGTCAGCGTCGGACTTGCATTCCTGGCTGATGCAGGAGCTTGGTACGCATGCCTGGGTGCAATATGTGAGGTAAGTGATACACTGTACATTCATCTGTGGCCGGACACTCCTACCCCGCGTCCGGACTCGAAAGGGTCAATGCAGGTGCACTCTGAGCCGCAAGCCTGCCCATTTCCAAAACACGTCATGTCACTGGCCCCGCATGCGTCTGACTGGCGGGCCTGCAGAAGGAGCGAGGAAGCAGCAGTCTTCGTAGCGGTGAGGTAAGCGAGGGCGAGCAGTGTGAGGAATCTTGGTCGGAACGCGGCCATGTTCGTGAGCAACGCTTGAACGCCCCCCGTGGTTCTGTTTATATATTGTGAGTCGATCGTTTTGTCAGATCACCGCCGCGCTGGGGAAGCAAACATGATGGTTGATGTCGGACTTGATATTCCAGAACTCGTGCCTGCTCTCGGCGAGGTCTACATACGATCACCGCGTGCCGAAGCTACTCGAAGCTACCGTTCAATTCAGGCATCACCTCGATGTTTTTCACATCCGGCTAGGGCCAAGATACATTGCTATGCATCGGTACCGAGGGGAGGCGCATTATCTGTGACTCGAGTGATAATTGCCCCGGTGAAAAGGATACAAAGCTACACAAAGCGATATCAGATTCACAGTGCCGGATAACGCGACCGTATATATGTCGAGACACAGTATAGACGTATCAAGAGCCCACCAGACCGACCTGAAAAGCCGTCAGTATACTTTCTACATTCTGACCAGTTACTGGCGTACCTAAACGACTCCATGAGACCCTGTCATCCGCGCCGTACCCCGAAACGTTGTTTTGCAGCATACCGTCGCCACTTCTGGATGTCTTCTCGCGCCAGGAGGAGCTCCACAGTATAAAACTCCTTCGCAAGAACCTCATTGGTGGCGACGTGGTGCACGGCTGTATGGCAGGGCCTAAAAAGGTGAAGTATCAGGCGTCCAAGCTCCGAAGATCCGCTAGCACCGGACTAAAAGTGCGAACACATACCTACACAGCCACGCTACGGAGTTCAGCATCGCCTCAGGATGCCACTTCTTCTTCAGGACCTTGTTGTGCACCTCGCGGGGGATGAGATGGTGGTATGTGAGCGGAACCTCGCGCTCGCAGATCTCGCATTCCGTCGTGCGGGTCTTCGACCACATCGGCGGCGGCGCACAAGCTTCGGCGACGTAGTCCTTCAGCGCCCTACGGAGAAAGGCGGCAGCAGCGTCCGCGTCGTCGGAGATGCCGCACGATATGAGGGTATCGGCGAATGCGGTGGGGATGTTGTCCAAATCGACGTCGTCAACGTCCGGTACGGTCTCTCGGACCTCGTATGTCGCATCGCGCAGACGTTGAGGGAGTGCCGACCACGTCTCGCGCGCGAGGTATTCCGAAAAGTCGTCGAGAGCGTCGGCTTCGTCCTGGGTGTGCGAGTCCGGCTGAGTTGGTGCATTTATATCCGGTTCGGCTAAAACTCGGCGAGCCAGGCAATCCTTATACGTTGAGAACTGCAGCGAAGAGTCCATGGGCATCACCGCTGCAGATGTATGTGTCTGCACAAGAAAGTATTAGGGGGTATTATCGAGAAAGAGAGATGAAGTTCGCGTACAGATCTTCCACCGCTGCCTCACCTTTTCAAGAAAAGAGGCCACACGGGCGGGACCGAATAGAGGCTGACTGGGAGAGAAGTAAAAAGCCATTCCGACACGGGGAATCGAACCCCGGGCTATCGCGTGAGAGGCGATAATGTTAGCCACTACACCATATCGGATTAACAATACCTCAGCCGGGCACTTATATACTCAATGAGGTACAGGTTTGCAAAGTAAGGACGTTGGGGAACTGCTGGCAGTACTGTGTAAGTACTGAGTAGGCCGGCATCATTACTCTCGTACCAATCGCGGCGACCGCCAGCGCCGCCATTACACAACCCGGACGGTACGTCATGACCTTACATACAGCGTGTCATCATATACTGATCATGTCTAGTCCTCCGCGGCCACATGAGATGCCAGAAGACCACTATCACAAAGCTCATGTATACGGAATAATCACGCGCTTATGTGGATACTGAGCTCCTTTCGCATGTACACACTCACCAGCCCACCAGTGTTTCATTGGCGCAACAGCACGATGATACTTAATTGCCGTAGGCGTTTCCCAATAGACTGAGGCCGGAGTATCTCGGAAATTTTTCGCAGCGCTTCGTAGTGAGCATCCACCGTTCGTGTGTACTCAAATCGGCGTATACTAATCGAATACGCAGTTCCAACGTCAAGCGCGTCGTCATGACATGCTCCATAAATTCCATCACCGGCATGGGTGTACGCCGAAGAAGACTGGAACGACGCGGCTGTCGAGCGTGTGCGGCGAAGGGGGAACGGCGCTTCGGGACCCGTTAAGTACGACGCTAGTACTTAAGACGCTGGCGAAACGTGGTGAGCCTGCGCGCACTGCACAAGAAGCACAGTAACCGAGAACTCACGCTTGCCTCTACCATAGCTGCTTGGATGTTCAGGAAGGAACATACAACCAACGTCGGCTTGGATGCATGCGTCATACATTCGGTCTGGGTTCTCGGGGTAAGCCTTACGGTATGGTCACCTCAAACGCCGGTTTCTCAACATGAGCACAGCCGGTTCTTGATGAGATGCTCTGGACTCCTGATGCTCTCCCGAGAACCCTAGGTTACTTGTAGGCCATGCTCCTTCGCATCGCCCCCTCCCGTAAAGCGCGCTCCTAAGTGGCTCAACTACGTCGACGTCCGCGACGTCATCGTCATGCACATCATGACATTGGAGGTGGAGGAGGCGGGAGGCCGGCGCATCATTGCGAACGCTGGTGTGCATGCGCATCTTCATCTTGACAGACTGTAGGCTAACGAGAACAAGACGAACTTAACAGGACGAACTTTTACCAGGTGGGAAGACTGGCGTAAGTTTGTTCCCGATGATCTCGCGCGTCCGCAGGTATTGACCATTGTCTTTTCAGTGATCGCAGGGGAGAAGGGCATTCTTCTTGGCGTCGAGAAGGTCGATATCGGGAGCCCCAGCGTGCGCCACTCGGAGCACAACCCGCGCCGTTTCCCAGTTTCCTCAACGACAAGGCTGAACGTATCCTATGCAGGACGTAGTCGACGATTTTGGCGCAAGCAGATGGCTGAAACATCTCGGCGCGTAGAAGTTGTATTTCGGTGCGTTCCTCGACTCTCCGAAGCGAGCTCACTAAATTGATGTATGGGCGGTGCTCGGCGCTCAGCACCTTCCAGTCGTGAACAGTCGGCTTTCTCAAATCGATCTCATATCGACCGTGTATACGGGTATTACCTCTAGACGCGTTACTTTAATGCAGTCCAAAAACTCTTACGGCAACACTTCAATGGTATGCTACATCAAGGAGTGAGTACAGATTAACGCCAATAGGCTCTTCAAGCGTAATTTCTGCGGCTTTGTATCCCCAGGCCTCCCAATGGCGGCCGTAACATCTGAACTGATCACATCCTCTTGGAGCATCATTGACTACCTTGATGTATCTCCGCCTCGAGCTTCTCAAGCTGCCTGTGCCCGTGGTTGCGCATCGAATTCAATCTGATAGATGCGCGTCTGTGCTGCGAGTGAGCCTCGAGGTGTGTCGAGAGGAGCTAGACCGCACAATACAAAAACTCGTGTTTTCGTAACGGTTAGAAGCCTAATTCTCTCCGCTCGTAGCACTTTGACGTCAATGACCTTGTTCCGCTAAAGGTACAACACCACGACTTGCTATCGTCGCGAGAGTGCCGCACCCGTCTGCAAAAAACCTATAAGTTGAGCACGATGTCCTTCATGATGTGTACCGGAGCGACCTCTCTTTCCCATAGCTCGCCATGCATTCAAGTCTTATACCATCCAGCACCGATCTAGTACCTTCCGCCACAATCACTCTCCGCCTCTCCTCCGCTGGACTTGATAGCCTCACTAATGGCCTACATGCTATGAATACCATGTCGGACAAATGGTCAGAGTCCTATGCCAGCCTCGTTCCCTACGCGATCATGGATATAGCCTTACGGTCATCAGCATGCGGCAAGTGACATTCATTTCCCCTCGGCATCCTCACGCTAAACGACACCTCTACAGCTGCCTTGACTATACTCGTTATGATGTCTCTGTTCGCGATCATGTATGTCACAAAGTTCTCCAGTTATCTACGGGGACGCTGATCCGTCGATGTTCATCTCCGTAGCAGTCGCAGGCGGCCTAAACAGCGACCAACACAGATTCTCGTCCTCGCCGTCCTTGTTCTCTGGGTATCAAACTTGTATTACTGGATTGCGGACCTGCACATCATCTTCCAGGCTCTAGGTCACCTCCGAGCGCTCGCCATATATTATATCAACAACAACTACGGGTTTGCATGTTTCTTAACAAACTTTCAGCACCCGCCGCCCTATATCTATTCAGAAGAGGCCTCGACGCTGAAGTCAAGCTGTTATTATGAGATGCACGCAATACCGCGTGAGGTGCTACAAGGGGCAGAGTTTCTTAGCTCAGATGATCGACTGAACACTTGCGGTTCAACAGCAATTCTGACCATCAACGTACGTAGCTGGAGCCATTCTTCCGCACGCTGCGGCCGTATACTCGAGCTCAGTGGGTCAATTCTGACGCTTCATTTTTGGATCCTCTTAGATCGCCATAGGAGATGGGATCGTTTGGTGGAGGGCGCTCGCACTTTATCCGAGACAGCGTTTCCTTCGGGTGCTCGCAATTGCACTGCTCGGATTCACTTTCGGTAGGTCTTTTTATGACACTCTGACGTCCCCACATGATATAACACTGAACATGTACCTATGATGTCACAGCTATGGGCGTTTTGGATGCGCGAGTCGCGTGCGACTCGAATTTGCGACGCAAAACGGGGCGTGACATAGGCGGAATGTATGTAGGGACTGACTACGGTTTCGCAGCGACGGTTCTTTCGCTGGCAACAAATGTACTCGCAACATCTGTCGTCGCATTCAAAGCTTGGTATGTACCATGGTCATATGCGACACTGCTCGCTCATCCGCCCGTTATTGACTGTAAATAGGCAACATTGGCGGTTCATACGAACAAACCTACAGGCGCTCTCTGGTCGCACACAGGTTCAGCGAGTACTGGGTGTACTGGTCGGGTCTGGGGCAGTGTACTGCCTGCTTTGGGTGCGTGTTTGACTTTCATACCTCATGCTCGCTTCATCTCGTGATATTCAATCTTAACGTTGGAGTTTTCTCTGACATCACAAATTCACGTGGCAGGCTTTTGTGTTCGGAATTCAGCTATACAGACGGGATCCGCCCCGTGCAGTTTCTGAAGACTCAGATGGTTACCGCTTCGGCTGGTTCATTAATTATTTCCTACCCACATGCATCACTCCGCTCATCGTAAGTGCCGCGTCCAGCAAAGTGCACCTTCAAGATAATGATAGCCGCCGCTCACCCACCAATACGTCTTTCTTTAGGCTATGTACCCGGTGGTTATAATCCTCCTCGTCACCCTCACGCAGTCGCGTTGTGACATGCTGCTTATGGACCAGAGCAAGCCTTCCGTCTCCCACCCCCTTGCCTTTGCCCTTCGGACAATCTCGGACGACGGCGCACACAGTACGGTCCAGCTCGCGGTCGTCTCGGAGGAGCGAGGAGGAGTCGGCATATTCTTCTGGTACGCGAGGTATCTGAAGCCAGATATGAAGGTTTAGTGATCCGTGTCGCGTTACTTGTATAGAGCTGACATCATTTTTCGTATCAGGCATAGTAACCGTGTTACGTCCTGAAATCGACAAATCAATGCATGATCTATGACTCGGAGGGTCGGTCGACGCTCGCGGGCGGCAGCAGTTGCGTACTTAAATTGATAACGTTCTGTAGGCTTCTTCAATCTGTGGCGGACCTATAGGAAAAAGAGACTCTTTGCAGTATAAGAGGAGATTTAAGGCCGAAGATCTATCTTCGTGGCAGTGTTTTGTACTTTTACCGCGCACGCTCGGTCCGCCCGACCACGACGACTTTCAAACGCCATGCCCGCATCAATCATGTATCCGAGCGTGGACATGGCTTTCCAGAGCCGGAGAGCTCTTCTTGAGCACCAGCACCGAGAGACTCTAGCTTGACTAACGTTGCGCTCGGCTACGGCGGCTACCTCCAAATAACGCGATAGCGAGGTTGCAGGCTCACAGGCCGAGAAAGATACCAGGCGATATGTCGCGATCTCGCAAACCATTCATCGTAGAATAATGTATTATGTAGATCATTATGCGTATTCACCGAGGTCTTCGCATGTCTTTAGCTTCAGGTAAGCGTACTCGCGAACTCCATCTCCATGACTCGGAGCATACTCTTAGACAACTTCGAACTGCGCTTCTCCCTCTGTCGTCGTCGCCATGGCCGCCTCGGTGGCCGCCATCGAACCCTTCGTCACCGACACCCCGTGAGTGGAGTTTTACCAAAGCCGGTTCTCGGAAGCCGACTTCCTTGCAGGGCCTCCGCCATGCAATGCCAGACCACTGTGATGACCTGGACCGGTGGCGTTCGTAAGTACACCTCGTGACGCCGTAAACTAACAAGGTGCTTACCTTGATATCTCATAGCGCCTTTCAACTTGGTCCGAACGGTCCCCTTCCCTGGGACGCGTCTTGCTTATTTACTGACGATACCGATTGCGCTGCTACTCATTCTCAATCGTAAGTAACCACCATGCTCCTACCATATGCCTCTCTGACACCCCGCTTTCTTCAGTATCGTGCACGACCGGACTTCCGAGCGCCACCTCAGCCTCACGGACGGCACTTTTTCGTGGAACACCGATCTCCCTGCTAGTGACCACGCATCCTTCCTGCTCCTGAGTCCTCCGTCGGTTCACGGCACTTACGAACGCCGCGGGCTCCCGCAAACACCGAGCTCTTCTTCTTCCTGATCGAGGGGTCGTCCCACGCCGCGCAGTCCTTGCTAATCGTACGTACCCGTCTCTCGCCACTATAGAGTAAAGAGAAACTGACGCGCAATGCAGCGAACAACGCCTGCCTGCAGCAGTGAGCGGTTCCGGTCATTAGCTCGCGGGTATGTGCGCCTATGCTCCGACCCGGGTGTAGGGTTCCGTCGGTCGGGTGGATACTGTGAACGTCCGATATAGGCAGGATCAAGCCATGCTCTCCCGCCCATGTCAACGCAACGCGCATGCTTCCTTTAAATCCAGTTTGGGTTCCAGAGAACAGTGTGGCTGCGAGAAAGGTGCGCGTGAGCGCGAAGGGCATTCGGCGAGCAGGCGTGAGGGTCTGCAGGGCAAACCATAAGGGGGAATAATCTCCGTGCGGCATGCGCACGCACCCGGAGAGACTGTCATTGTCGCGGAGATCTTGACTCCGTACACTTGCAGAGCTCAGACGTCTCGGGTGGCAGACATATGTCTCTGCGTGCCAGCGGAATCCGCCGGGGAAGAACGCCGCCCGCGCTGTGTGGCGCATATGCGGTCCGGGTGGAGGCACCGTGATGGCCTCTAACACCGAGCTCTCCGAGAGAGTGCGAAGGGGAAGGGTACCGACGTACCGTTATGGACTTTCGTGCAGACATCCTGGTCGCGTCGTCGCACCGCCTGATGCTGAGGCGTCCTGACTCCGCTTACGGGTTGTACGTACAGACGACTTTTCTTGACGATTCAGGGCGCTGCTCAAAGTCACCCCAGCACTGGCACTCACCTGGGTCGTTCAGGAACTCCACCTACATCGTAGCCGCGCTAGGAATCCGATGGCGGCCAAATGAAAAAGAAGCACTTCTTGCGTTCGATATAAACTTTGGGGTAAGCCTGAGTGGACTCCGTCCAACCGCCAGTGTTATCCGCAAAAAAGGTGGCGAGTGCGCGACGGCAGGCTTTCAGTCGCCACAAGATAGAGCGAATCGGGCTGATGTGAGTAACGCTCCCGCATGCGCCGCTCTTGATGTAGATATGTCGGTGTCGGTGGTGCAGGAGGAGAAGGTCCTTGAAGAAGAGAGGGCCTGAAATTTCCACGCGTTTGGACCCCGGCGCTTGCCGAGTGCCACGAGGCTCCCAACCGCCATGGCCCGGTACCTGGGCTCAGCGCTTCGCGTCGCTCTTGCCTCCGGACACGACTCCGGGTCGGAAGCACAGCTTGACGCTCCTCCTCCCACATATCCGCACACTGGGGCGCCATTCCACATCGCATGCTTTCCAAGCACAGGCCGGATCATGCTGGGACGCCTGTCGTTGACGAGTGGGAAACCCTTCGTCGAAAGTTACGTGGGTATGAGCCTACTCGAATCTTCGCTACGTTTCCTGAATACTTTCCAGGTGAAAGAACCGTGCTCTGCAGATACATAGGTCTCGGACGCCGACGCTAAACCGTACACGTCCTGCCGCAACGATGGCGCGACACTTATGGCCTGACCATCCTCTAAACTTCCTAAGCGCGTGGCTCTGATACATATGATCAACTTAAGGCGCCACGAACAGTCAGAAACGCAGATCACTTGTGAGCGGGGGTTTATCACGCTTGTTAACTGTTGACTTATACATTTCAAGTTCGCTATGTTGACCCTCATTTGCTCTCCAGACAGATCCGTTTGCGAAGACCGGCACTAACACGCACGTTCAAGCACAGGTTCTATGTGGCCATAGTCAAGGCATTTTTCACCGGCCCGACTCTACACCGCATCAGATCTCGTACCTATACTGTGGCTATAGCGATCGAAGAACGACGCTTTCGGGTGTCGAGGTTTCCTAGGACTGGTGACTCACTGGCGTCTTGCCGTCAGCATCTCGTCGTCTCTGTCCGACCGCCTCGCAAGATGTCTCCGCCGCGCGCAGCATGTACGACATCTGTCTGGAAGCTCTTCTATGCGGAAGCGCACTCTTCACAAGGCCGTGCAGCTTGGCATATAAACCTACTTGGACGGCCTGGACGCCTAAGTCGCCTCTCGTCCGTCGTCCTCGACTGTACTTCGTCGACATCTCTCGCTCGATGGACATCGCAACATCTGCATTCACCGAGGCGGCCAGCCCGACTCCCGACCTTGGGGCTACATTTGGGATCACCCTCATCGGCACATGTGTTGGTCTTATGTACGTCGTCACTGAAGCGAAGCGCAGTCGAGGGTTCTTCGAAACGTTGCTGAAAACATCCGCTTTAGGTTGTACGGTATGACAATACATCAGACGTATAGGTACCTCCGCATGTATACCTCCGACAAGGGCATTCTCAAGACGACGGTCAGTTGTATGATATATCTCATGACCTAGGCTTTTGCTCACCGATCTATAGGTCCGCATTCTATTGTAGACTTTCATTCTCATGGGTATCTAATATCGGCGCTGACGCGGATGCAAGCCTTGCAGACACGATACATTCTATGCTTTCAGTGCATATATGGTATGTCTCACGTTACTATATGAAGTGCGGATCTCATCGTGCCGCGCGGGTAGCTATTACTACCTCATTCAGAGCCAAGCAGATCACTCTATGCTGCTTAACGGTGTTTGGTACGTCTTTCTGACAACTTCATATGCTATAACCGTACTTAATTTCATTTGCTATAGGTCCATCAGGGTGAGATACGACCTCTCGTATGTGTTCGAAAGTTGACAGAGCGCTCTTTGCGAAGTCCATTGGTTTGGTCACTGTAGGTCTCTTTCGCACTACTGTGGAGATATATCCTCTTTATCTCGTGATCTCACAGCAGCTCGTCGTCACTATTGTCCAAGGGTACGACGTCTTCTGTTGTTTCCATTCCGGGCTTATCTGAACCATCGTCTTGTCCCTCTAGCTTCTACCTCCGACGCATACGCATCAGTAAGCATAGTGCGAACATCTTCACGGTCGTATGGCTCACGCGCACGCACCTTTCTCAGTAGGAGCACATGTCGTTGTACAAGCTGTGGTGGTCCGTGCGTCCTCTCGTATCGGTTGCCGTGCACTCATCGCACGCGACACTTAGGCAATGCTTATGCTTGGGGAGATAGGTATGTCATCGTCATCGTTCCTATATAGCCTCCAGTCTCTTATGCTTTGTCCTGCTGCAGTGTCCAATCTCGGTGGGCTACCTCTCTTTCGTCCTTCACAACGCGGCTGACCGAGCGACAGTCATGACCGTAGCTTTGTCAGTATCTTGCTGTTCTACATGCCACAGATGGGCACATTTCCAACCCTGCTACGACTCGGTAGGTTCGAGACAGTCAGTCTTGCAACCTGGGCCAAAAGCGCGGTACGTCAAGGCCCCCAAGGCGACCCTCGTTGCGCGTACAACGACGCTGACACGTCCGCTGCTCGCGTTCTCCGTATCAGTGGCTCGCGGCGGTCCCGTACGGTTTCACGATCGTCACGGACGTCATTCTCACCAGTACACTCATCCTCTTCCTGCATCGGAGTCGGACGGGCATGCGGCAGTGCGTCCCCTACGTCCCTGTCACGTTCCGAATGGATGCATATCCACGTTCACTTTCAGAACGGATACGCTTCTGAACACATTAATCGCATACACGATCAACACCGGTGCGTCCTGTCTTGCATGATGTTGCTTTGAAGGAGTGGCTCACTCAACACTGTTTGCAGGGCTTTTGACAACGTGCGCAACTAGATTGATGCATGACACGTCCGTACACGTCTCATGCCGTCCATAGTTCTCTGAGCACGCTCTGCCTTTTCTTCGTGCGTATCCCCATCGTTTCCTACGGCCACCCACCAGTTCTCCAGCTGAGCGACAGTCCTCTTCCTGGTAGACCATACGACAACCCTATAATCTCATCTATTTCGCACTCAACATGCCCATCACGAAGAGTAAGCCGCGGGCCTCCTTCGCCGCATCCGTCCTCACTTCCGCTCGCTTCATCACTGACCCTCCGACATGTGCACCTGCATACATAGGCTACACCAACTCGATGCTCACCGTGTACGTCCCTCTTGCTTCACGACTGCGCTCTGAGATCTGATTCCTCTCTCCACACACTAGCCTCAACTCCCGCCACGCGCTCGCAGATCGTGCCTGCGCGACGACCGGAGACCTCGGAACCTTCGGCATGGCTGCATCCCCCAGCGTGCGCCTCAGCCACCTTCCGTCTTCGCGCAACGTTCCCTCGATCTCTTTTAGGCGGATGTCCACGGACGATAGCGGATTCGAGTGTTAGAGCGCATACGTCCGGGTCTTGTACTGGTAAGCGTCTTCGTCCTACAGACAAGCGGAATACTGACGGCTGCTCCGTTACTAGTTGGTGATGTTTGTACCAGATCTAGAATCCTGCACTGTAGTGTATACCGCATGGGGGATTGGCGTTGTCCTTGAGTTGTGTGAGTTTGATATTTGTATACGGTGAGCAAAAGGCCAGCAGCGATATGACTGCAAGTCCAGACAACCGGATATGGCCTGGTGGTCTAGTAGTATGATTCCTTCTTAGGGACAATAAGTCAGTATTTGGAGGAGGTCCCGGGTTCAATTCCCGGCCAGGCCCTTTTTGCGCTCCCGCACCACCAGATACACCTTACGACCAGTTGAAAGAATCTCGACACCGGCAACACCACAGGTGTGCGCTCATTGATTCATAACGTCTACATAACAGCGCACATCACAACCCGGCTAATGATACACAAACAGCTACAGGGGGAAGGGCATAAGAGACCCAGAGAGGAAGAGAGATCGTCGCGCGCGTCGTAAATGCTCCGCCACCGACGCATTCGCCGGAGCGCTAAGCATCATCCGCTGTCCAGCAGCGGGGAGAGTACGGGGGATTCACCCGTAGATCTTGAGCCACTGAATGTCGAAGAACGCGTTCGTGAACGCGGACGGGTTGTTGTTCACGAAGTCTAGAATGCAGAGACGGGTGGAGATCAGCGGATGTGTACGTCGGCGGCGCGCGGCAGGAATGCTTACCGACGCAGTTCCCGGAGCAGCCGTCCTGGTTGAATACGGCGCCGGCCCAGTCGCCGCCTGAGGGAAGAGCAGACACGTCAGTTCGATTGGCTGACTCTTGCTTATCGTGGCGATGACGTACAGAGCGTGAGGTTAATGATGATGTTGTGCGCGCCGAAGTGCGAGTTCAGGTCGCACGACTGGCTGGGGAAGAACGCGTACGGAGTGCCCTACGAATCGCAGCGACGTCAGTGGTGGCGCTCCCGACGGGAACGTCCGCGAAGCGTCGGGCTTACCCAGTTGTCCGTGTTGATAGAGGTCGCGCCGTTCAAGACATCGCTGGGCACCGACCCGTCGGTGCGCGACCAGAACCAGACCTTGATAAACGATGTCGTGCGCTCCATTGCATACCTGCGGAATGTACGCGATCAGCGGGGCCCGATGGCGGGCGCGCATCGCTGCGCGGGTGGTGGTGGACTTACCAGCCTCCGCCGGCGTTGTTAAAGCCAGGGCCATAGCTGTTGGCCTTGTTCGCCTGCACGCCACATCCCGCGTTGTTTGTGGCCGCGACGTCACAGTTGTTCGAGCCGGAGGTCCTGATATGGCGTCAGCACACATGACGGTGGATCCACTCGCTGACAGAACTTACCCCGTCTGCGAACGAGACGCGGGCATCGAGCATCCTGTGGCAATCCGACATGAGTCCCAGAATAGCGCAACCGAGCGGAGGTGCCCAGAGGCCGGTGACTTACCGGAGCTGGTGTGGAGCGTAGACTGGTTCGGGCTCACGTCGTTGACGCCCTCCAGCACGTCGATCTCGCCTGTGGAGACGTTAGAATCACGGGCTCCAAACTCAGCACGCTTCGCGTGGGATCGGGACCGACCTTGGTTGGGCCAGTCCGCACCGACCTCCCACAGCGCGGGCCATGTGCTGCAGACGCCTGTCAGAGAGGGCTCTATTGACGACAGACACGTTCCGCCACTCACGAGCATCCTTGGGGCATGTGACGGATGTTCCACCTGGTCGCGGGCGGAGCGTGAGCGATGCTGCAGAGAAAGCTCGGACAAGCCATAACGGGTGGGCTTACACTGTGACGTGTGTCGTGTACTGCTTGTTGCTCTGCAGACGCACGGAGTTCCGCCCGGGGCCGCTCGCGCTGAGCACGGTGGTGTGGTCGGCGCGAATGACGAAATGGTCTCCGGACGAGAAGGTGAGGTTCTGCGCGAGCGCAGTCGTTTGATCGACGTAGTTCCTACAACAGCATCCGCAATCAGTCCGCGGGCCAGAGCGTAGCGCGGTGGAAGCATTTACACTCTGCCGTGTGTGGGGTCAGCGATGGCCTGGTGCGTGAACGATTTGAGGAAGCCGTCGCCCTGGTGGCTGTCGGTCTGCGAGTAGGTCGCGCCGAGGGCGGAGACCACGAGCGTCGACAAGGCGAAGAGGGTGCGGGAGGCGAACATCGTGAGGACCAGAGACGGAGAGTGGTATGCCGTGGTGTGTGCTGGGAGTGCCTCGGGGGGTAGGAGGAATGCAGCCCACGACAAAGACCAAGGCCTCGACGCGACACACCTTTATACATGTCCGCGTCCGCCCAAACCAGGTAGATATGGAAAAGAGTGGCGCCGCGGTGGATCACGCTGCGTAAAGCCTACGGAGCCGGCGATGGGCGCATCGGGGTTGGTACCGGATCGGAGTGGCCCTCGTGCGACGCAAGGCACACGACGTTGTCCAATAGTCGGCGCGCGGAGGGGAACCGGAGTCGAGACGCTGCGCAAAAAGACCGGGGTGGTCAGGCGAAAACAAAATGGAAGGACCGTCCCCGCGCGCCCAAGCGTCGCGAGACCTGTGGAGAGAAGACATATACGGCAGTCTTGATGGTGCGAACCGGGATCCTTTGCTTCCGCGGCTATCGATAGCCATCCTCGGAGAGCAGCCAATGGCACCCGGGACCGCGCGACACACATGCACGCCACGAATGCACGACAACATGACCCCGGTAGTTTTTCCGCGGACCCTTGAGAATAGCTCTCGACGAGAAGGACACGAGCAAGGGAACAAGTCATCTGAGGGCGCGATTGGAGCGCGCGCAGATGCCTTGTGTCGCCTGACGAGATTGGTTAGACGAGCGGTGCGCCTCGTTTTTGGTTCGGGACCCAAGTCTCGGAGATGGCGGCGAGCGCCGTCGTCCTAACGACCTCCGCAGGAGCTGGAGTAAAAAAAAGTGGAGCGCGGTCTGGAGCGCGCTGTGTACTCCGATCACAGCATGCTCGTTGGCCCAGGAACGTGCACAAGGAACGACCGGCATCCTGAAATGTAGGAAAATCGCACACCCCGCGCCAGCCGGCGCTCGGTGCCTGCAACGTAAAGCCGGAAGCTGCTCCTCGCCCTAAATAGGTAAGAGCGGAAGAAGTCTTGGAAAGAGGGTGGCGCACGACATACATTATTAACGTTCTCTTGGATCCTCACTTGGCCTGTGCGGGCGCCGCATGCGAGCGCTCCGTTCGTCGACGCCCCCGGCATTGACAGAAGCGATTGCGACAATGAACAGGTGAGGGGCAGGACCATATGTGTGTCGAGCCGGCGTGATCAGCCCAGAGCTTCCAGCGGAGATCAGCGCATGCACGGGGGAAGCCAGCTACGTTGGGCGTCGTCGGGTTTGGAAAGGGCTCCATCTCGTGATACCGATACGAGCCCCATTCCAGCGCATGAGTTTGTGGCCGGGCGACTCAGAGAAGGTGCTGTCGTGTCTCGCCGGTCCACATCGCGCCGAGTTCCGTTCTGACATGGACGCATAAAGTCGACTGGCACTTCCAGAGTGCGGAGAGCTGCGGCCTCGCTCCGTCGCACCATGTGGTTCGCGTGTGATGTTAGCACTGTGCAAAAACGTTCAGTATCGATAATGGGGTGCAAACTACACGTTCACGGTGATCCATGTGGATCGCGCTAAGCCGTTCAAAGTCGGAAAACATAGCGCGGTTCCGCCGCCCGGAGACGAGGCCTAGATCGTGGTCAGAGACAAAGAGAACAAATCGCAACGCAGAAAATTGAAGCGCGCGGCTGCGGACGACACGATGCTTGCGGCGTTGGCCGAGAACATCCCGCGTGCCCTCTTTAGGAAACCATGTTTGTAAGTCATGAACTTCTCCGCGTGGTCGCAGCACTCACCCATGACAACCGGCGAGCAGCCTATCCGGAGTGTGGCAGACAGCCTACGGGAAATAGGCTTTCTCCAAACTCTCTGGGATGTCTCAATTCAAATCCGTCGGGTCACCTACGACTGTCATGGGTCCTCGGAGAGTCTGCGGGAGCACATGCCAGACTGTGGTCTGCTTTGCGCAATGCAGAACCTTGAAATGGGGGTGCTTCTTTCCGTCCTCATGAGCATCTCCAGGCTCTCGATGCAATTGGATCACACCGGGCCAGTCCGGACAAGGGAGAGGGCACGGACCTTGTTGGCACGATACAGGCCCTTGGGGAGCTCCAGAAGACGTATACACCGGCATAATTCGCCCTCGAGTGCATGGTCGCATCTCTTCCTATGCATGACAGGGCCCACCGGCCGCATCTCGAAGTGGAGAGAGGGGGGATGACGGGCATCCCTCAGGGCTGCCTGTAAACCGGAACACGGGTGGTAAGCAGGTACCAAAGAACATCAGGAACGCCGCATTTAGCGAAGCGCGGACACGAACTACGTAGTACGCACCTTTGCCGAGGCGCACATACGTAGGTTTGCACGGGCGGAGGATCGAAGCGAGGCCGTCGTAACGGCAATGGTATCTGATGCGGTTGAGGGTGGTGGAGAATGCCACATAGGCAGTATGCAGCGCTCCAAGATGACAAAAGATGACAAGCATGGAGAGAACCTAGTGTCCCGGTCCGTTAATAGCCTGCGGAAGATGTAGAAGTATGCGAGAGACGGCCCCTGGCGGAAGGCTATCTATCGTGCACGCGCGCGGGTAGACTACTGTGGGAACGAGGGCCGCTGTTCTTCTCCGACAGCAACTTCCTAGTGATACCTGAACTCTTGTCGACTTTTGGGGAGGCGAGAGTGTGAATAGAGCGGCGGCAGGGGGATTCTTGGGATCGAACTCACAAACCACGTCGAAGAGGGAGAAAACCCGTTGTGTAAGCGCCCAGTGCTCAGATCTCAGACTTCTTCGTCTCGAACCATAACAAATGTTTGCAATTCCGTCGAATCTCCGACGACGTTCCTAGTACTCGTGAATTGCATGCAGCAAATTCAATGTATGATGGCTTGTGATAATTACATTGAGTAGCTGCACGCACAGGCAAGGACAGCGCCCATCCCCCATGTATGCATAGTATGTACGCCACAGAATAGCTTCTGGACGTACCAATGCGACGGATGTGATTGCACCTCAAAGTGGCGACGAACCACAAGCCGCCAATTAGATTAGCTACGATCACAACAGATCACAACGGTCATGAACCAAGTTTCGGGGAAAAGCACGATGTACAAGTCGAAACGAAGCTAAGTCTATGATACACAGCAGGATCCAAATCGTTCGTCGTTCGCCGGTGTCCTCAACGTCCAAGCCAGCTCATACCCGCGGCCTCTGTCTCAACGTACACTCGCAGTAGTCGGTAATCATGTGTTCAAGCCGCGCCGCCAGACTTGCGCCTGTCGTCCGCGTCCTACGTCAGCTCCGGCGTCCGTCTCACTCCCAAATGCCCAGGGGTACTCACATCTGGTAGCCCGCGGCAATGAACGGCACCGCGAAGAAGGTGACCGCCGCGCCCGCATAGCGCGTTGCGAACTTCCGCCGGTTATCGTACGTGAACGGCATGTTCTGCAGGAACAGGGGGAGCGCGCGGAGATGAGTCCCTCGTTCTTTCGGACGCCGCGCGGGGCGCGCGGGCTGAGTGCGGTGCGTACCTGGTGCGTGGTGTGCTCGTTCGTGTGGTGCAGACCGAAGCTCCGCGTCTGCCTGGGAGCGCGCTTGAGAGCGGCGCGGAAGGCGGCGGGGGAAGTCCTAGCGAGCGGAGACATTGCAAGGCGGTGGTGGGGAGACGAGCGGGTGGTCGAGGAGTGCAGTTGGACACTGAGATGGTTGAGCGGGTGGTAATGATGAACGAGGTCGCTGCGTCGTCGTTATGTAGGGGATGCGGGAGCCCCACACAATCGAACGATGGCGCGCAGGCGGGCAGCGGAACGTCAGGAGACCCCTCTGGACAGGAGCTAGAATAGCCGTGGCCTGAGAAAGACCCTCCGGCGTGAGCACGGCATGGGGGAACCTCGACTGGCAGGTGATCATTTGTATTGAGTTGCGTTCCAGGGGGGTCGAGAGCGCGGATAGCCCTCTGGTGCAATGAAGGCAATCATGCTCGACTTGTGTATCGCTGGACTCGACGTCATATTCACGCTCTCCTTCGCACATCAAAATTTATCAGCTCACACTTTAAATCAGGCTATTGGAAAGGGTTGTACGAGGACTTGGACGAGTGACACGCATGAGCGCTGAGCTGTGGCTGCGGGAAGAGGAGGTCTAGGTCACCGGATGCGCGGGTGTGATCACATTAAGTCATCTAGATTCTGGTCTAGATCCTAGATCTAATCAGCTTTTCATGGGGTGCAACGATCACAAAAGACATAAGATCCTACTTACTGCTAGTGCGATAGATTCTACTAGTTTGACCTTGAAGGTGAACTACCTCCACTGCCTTGCGAGGGGAGCAGCAACCGCTATAGCTTCAAGTTTAAGGCCAGGCAAATGAGGGGTCTGAAGGTAGGCGGGCGAGCGTCCGAGCCTACCCCACCGTCGGCCGGCAGCTATGTCTATGTTGTTTCCGATTCCACTAGGAATCGGTCTTGCTTGTGAGAAATGGCTCGGTCACGTGAATCCAGGCGCACCCGGCTTCGTCCGCGGGTTTCCGTAGGTTCCCTTCGCTTTGAGGCGCTCGCATTTGCTTGCCTCTATTTGTTCTGTGGCGTCTTCACTCGCATTCTGCGACTCTCCGGCGGTGGTAATGTTGTGTCGGCCTCCCATCGTCTCTGTCCACGATTTTCGCAGGACGTTTGCTAGCTATAGAAGACATATCAAATCACGGTGCGTGTCTTCAGGGGCTTTTCCCCGTCATAGTAAATGGTGTCTCATCCCACTTTCTGCCTCTCAGATGTCCCGCCCGAGGCATGGAAGATCCTCAATTATGTGCAGACCTATACGTGGCCGCGGACATCATTCCGCCGTGCGACTATAGTTCGCTTGTTCTGCGAGCTGTGTGCAGCCGCTTTCTGATTGGGCACGAGCTTTTCGAGTTCTGACCTACACTTGGGGTGTAGCACTGCGGGCGCCGCGCGGAGCGACGTCAACGCTAATGCATGTGGAACGGCACCTTTCGTGTTGACGAGCATGGCACAGTACTGCTGGTATGTGCCATCAGGCATCAGGTATAGTATGCGACGTTTGTGCGCGCCATTGAAACGGCTGCGTGTTGCAACGATTACACATACATGCGATAAGGCCCCAGTGAGCGCGTCAGGCACATGGTGAGTCTGACCGTCCTCCTGTGTCTCAACAACTTGGCTCGATGCTCGCCCCAGCGGTCTGCAGGTTACTCACCCACCTCTCATTGGGTGTACGAGGCTGTCGCAGGCATCATCGCAGGCCAACGCTGCGTCTTTCCCCGTGTCATTTTGCCAGTGTCCTGAGCGGCTATGTGTTTGTTGTCCTGTCATATGTAGTATAAGACATAATCAATCATATTATGAGTGACAATTATAATGTGCAGTATCTACGCCAGTGGAATCGGATCTGGCGTGCGAAGCATCGCCGTTCACCCTCAAGTTTAATGTATCGCGCTTTGCACTTGCTGACGAGGATGGCGAGGGAACTGACTATCAGTGCAGGTGTCGAGATAGTAGAAATATTGAGAGTGCGAGGAGATGTAATAGACGCTCAGTAACTGCGACGGATTTGGAACGCTTCGACTTCCGCTAGGTTAATAAACCGATATATTTGATTCAGCCCCCCGAGAAGCACTGCCGCATTGGCGTAGTGGTATGCGCGCCCCACTTGTATCGAGCGTTTCGCTCCGAGCAATGGGGAGGTCACTCGTTCAACCCGGGTATGTGGCATCTGATGTTTTTGCACGTTCTCTGTACACAAGCTTAAATACAGCACCCGCACCGTCAAGCCAAAGGGCACGCTCGAACTCCCAGCCCGTATGTTGTCCTTGTGTCTGGCAAGTCATGCACTTTGACATATCCCTTTCATGTACGGCAACCCATCTTGTCACCGACTTGCCTCGGCACCATATGCTGATTGTCCTGCAGTTGAGCCACACCGCGCCGCATGGTTACCTCACACAACTCACAACAAAGAGACATGGATCTTAAACTCCGCCAAAGACCTTTCAGACAAGATCCTGCCGCGGCCTATAAAATTCAGAGCCACATGGCTTCTACCAAGCACCTCTCTTCCCTCCACCACTCATTACTCTACTTCCTCGGCGCCGGACGCCTCGCCTCTCCACCACTAATCCCACAATGTCCTCTGTCACCTTCCACAACGACGTCGACGCGGTAGGTCTATACCGCGAGTTCTCCGAGGAGGACTCCGCGCTCCTTACGATGCCCCTTTCACCTGACATGGACGAGGAGATGGACCCGGACCTGCGAGCGCGGCGCCGCTCGAGCAAGAAGGCCGCGCGGGTCCTGGGCATCACAGAAGAAGACATGGAAGACTCACCCATGCGCTACGCCATGCGCTCCGACAGTGGCGTACAAGACAACCGCCGCGCGTCGCTCTCCCAACTCAACCTGACCTCGTTGTCGCTGCGCGACTCGCCTAGGGCGTCTGCGCCCGACGTCACGATGAGCGACGAGGAGCCGCTCTTGGGTGGCTCTACCACGCGCCGGTCTCAGGCTGGCAAAGCCTACAAGCGACTCGGCAAGAAGCTGCTTGGGCCCTTCCATCTCTCGAGCGTCCCCAAGGGCAAGGGGCGCAAGCGGAAACTCAGCAGCGGGGCCTCGCCCCTCTTTACCTCCACCCTAGCTTCTCCCTTTCGCGACAAGCGCTCTCAGGAAGACATGGATTGGGAGGACGAGGGGGCTGCCGGTCCGTCCTGCAGCACGCCCGCGGACTTCGACATGTCCGCGCCGGACGAGGTCACAGCGCCCCTCTCCCCGAAGACCCCAAAGACGCCCCGACGCGCGCGCCACACCTCCGCGCCCACGACCCCGCGCACCAGCCCGCTCAGCGCGAAGAGCCGGCGGAGCAGCATGGGCTGGCAGCGCACGACCCCGCGCACGCCGCTCTCCGCGAAGTCGTGGCGCTCGACGTCGGACAGCTCGCCGGGCACGGGCAGCGACCGGAGCCCGGGCGCGTTGCGGCGGCGGGCGAAGCGGCGGCGGGCGCGCGACATGGCGTCGCAGACGAAGATCCTGCAATTGCTTGGGCCGGAGGCGACGGGGGCGGTCGCGAAAGCGACCAATGTCAAGGAGACGAAGCTGCGTTATCGAGACTTTGGGCGGCAGCTGCACGATCGGCTCAGGAGGGATTTGTGAGGACGCGGGATGGAGGGTTTGCTGGTCGAGCTCTGGATCTGGACTGTATTGTATGGACGCTGTATCGTGTAATGTGCTCTGTGTTGTATACGTTATTAGTGAGTAATATGGACATTTGTAGCTGACTCTCACGACGCACCTGCTCTGTCCGGGTTGGATCGATATGCCTGTCGGACTGTAAGCAAGGCCGGTTGATATGCGAACATAAAGGTCTCTCTGCGCCATACAGCGTGGGACGGCCCGAACCTGAAGGGGTACGCCTCTTTGGTACCCCATGCTCAACTTGCAAACGACCGTACTCACGAATAGTCACCATGCACCAAGGAATTACATTGCGATACCACATTACAACCTGATTCAAATTATGCGGCGCGCCCCGACTGCGTTACAACCTTCAGTTCTCCACTCATCCCGCAAGACGTAGGACCACTCACCAATATCGTAAACCCCAAGATACACCACCGCCTTCACCACGCGACGTGCGCGCTCTAGCACTCGAACCTGCTATCGTCCGTGGACGTCTGCCGAAAGGCAATTGAAGGGGCGTCGCGCGGCGCCGGAAGGGGGGCCATACATATTCCCGGGGACACGGTCATGCCGAAGGTCCCGAGGTCTACGGTCGCGGCGCACGCGCGGTCTGCGAGCGCGCGGCGAGAGTTGAGGCTGGGGTGAGAAAAATGTAGCCAACGAGGTCAGTCATGGAGGGACATAAACGCGAAAGGAACCTACACGGTGAGCATAGAGTTCGTGTAACCTGCACAGACACGCATATCGAGGGATCAGCAACGGAATTATGAGGAGTAGGAATGGATGCGGCGAAAACGTCTTCCGACTTACTCTTCGTGATGGGCATGTTGAGAGCGAAGTAGATGAGATTGTAGGGCTGCAGGATGGTCTACTTGGGCAATGAGTACTACGCATATGGCGGCAGGATCGAAGCAGGACACGCACGAAGAAAAGGCAGAGAGTGCTGAGTGTGCTGCGGGGGTGTGAGCCGTATGCGGACGCTTCATGCCACAGGTCACATTGCGCACCATGTCAGAAGCCCTGAAAAAGATGTTGAGCGACTCATTCGAAGTGGTAGCACTCGTGTCAGGACGCACCGGTATTGATCGTGTACGCGATCAGTGTGTTCAACAGCGTATCCGTACTAAAGGTATCAGCGTTAGCGTGAATGTATCTGTTCGGATCGTCACAACAGTTGGGTGAGCGTACTGCCGCATGCCCGTTCGGCTCCGGTGCAGGAAGAGGATGAGGGTGGTAGTGAGGATGACGTCCGTGACGATCGTGAATCCGTACGGGACTGCCACGAGCCACTGATGAAGCGGACACGCGCAGCCGTCATGTCAGCGCCGACGTATTACGGTCGCCTGGTGGACTTGACGTACCGCGCTTTTGGCCCAAGTTGCGAGGCTGCGTGTCTCGAATCTGGAGAAGCGTAAGGTCGAATCCATGTGTGAAAGTGGAGGGGGGATGGAATGTTGGATTAAAGTGCAGGGGGGATGGAATGTTGGATTACTAACAAGGCTACGGTCATAACTGTCGCCTGGTTAGCCGCGCCCTGAAGAGAGCCGTAAGAGAGCTTGCTCACCTAGGTTTGCGACTGCATCATTCCGGAGACTCCATGAGTACCGCACAGTACATCGTATCATAGTCATACCTATCTCCCCAAGCATTGATATCGCCTAAGGGTCGTATCCTTTGAGTACACTGCAGCCGATGAGAGTAGATTCACTGACCACTACCACCTGTATAGCGATATGGGCCTTTACTGACGGAATTATCAGCGTGTAAGCTATACGCCTTCCCGAATGTTCATATTGGTGCTTACGTACATATATGTATGCGTCGGAGGTAGAAGCTGCGAGAACAGGGTCATAGTTCAGCATATAAGTTTGGTATGAGAACAGTGGAAGACGTCGCACCCTTGAACAATGGTGACGACGAGCTGCTGTGGGATGGCGGAATGAGGAGGGGATGGCTTCACACCGATCAAGAGACTTACAGTGATCACTCCAACGGTCTTGGCACATAGCACATCATCAACTCTCGAGCTTACACGAGGCGGCGGATCTCACCCTGATGGACCTATACGGTTCAAAATTGAATGAGAATATCACACGAATAGTCCTCCGTGCGACCTACCAAACGCCATTTTCGAGCATGCCGTGATCGGATTGACTTTGGACGAGGTAGTAGTAACTATTGCACGACACGTTGCGGCACGTTGAGGGTTCAAGGGTATGCGGAACGCACCATATGTGCACTGTAAGCACAGAATGTATGGTGTCTGCTAGACTGATAACCATGTCGGCACCGAGATAAGACAGTAGTTGAGAAAACGAGCATACAATAACACGCGGACCTATCGACTGATCAGCAACAGAAGTCGTGAGATGTATGCCGCAACTGACCGTGTCCTTGAGGATCCTCTTGTCCAGAGTATAGATGTGGAAGTATCTGTACGTCTGATGAATCGTCATACCATATAGCCTGCAGAGGATATTGTCAGCAAGATGTCGAGATACCCTCGAGTGCCCTCCGCCTCGGCAACGACGTACATGAGACCTACACACGTGCCAAGCAAAGTGATCCCAAATGTAGGTCCCAGACTGGGCGCCGGGCTGGCGAGAGCAAGCATCGCGCGAGGGGTATCGGCGAGATACAGCTGTGAGGGATTGACGGAGAGCGACGCAGGCTTCGAGGTTAACCGAGCAGGGTTATATGACAAGCTGTACTGCCATTCAAACAGCGCGCTTTCCACATAGAAGTGCTTCCAAACAGATTTATTATGCGCTACGGGCGGCGTAGACACCGGACCGCAGCGCAGAAGACTCCCGCCGATGCTGACAGCAAGGTGCCAGCACTTGTATCGCCCGGCAGAACTATGCAGCTTCAACACCCGAAACCGTTGCTCTTCTGCGATCGTCAAGCCATAGTGTACCTGTTGGATCTGATGCTGTTTCCGGTCGAGATCTGACAGGTGAACGACACCCTCACAATGGCTGCGGATAATCCACATTCGAACATGTTGCTGCCTGCGGCCTATGTAAAGAGTGTTGGCGGCAATTCGTATGATAATATATCTGTGCCTAGAAATATGATACCTATGCAGTCGGAGAACACGGAAACTTGAGCAGAAAAATCATTCATAAGACCAGGGGGTTCAAGATACGCACTTTGTCGCGACGCAAGTGTCAACCCATGATACACACTCGACGACGCGTGTCCCTGTATGCTTGATCGGATGCTTGGCATGCGATGGGGAATGGTGCCCTGCGCAATTGCGCAAGCGGAAGAGCGTGAAGATGATTGCTTCCGAGTCCGAGTCGTGTCCGGAGGCTGCGTCGTTGAGCGCTGGACCCAGGTCCCGGACGATGGTGGTCAGTGGGAGCCTCGTGGCATTCGGCAAGCACCGGGACGTAAGCGCGTGGAAACTTCAAAAAACAACTTTGATGAATCGGAACCGTCCTCCTTCTCCTCCTGCACCACCGACGCAGATATATCAAGAGCGGCGCATGCGGATGCGGTCTCAACCTCAGTCAGATTTTCTGTATCTTGTCCATCTTGTGGCGACCGAAGACCTGCCACTGCACTCGCGATGCCTTCTCTTGCGGACAACAGCTGGGCGGCGCTTCTTCAGGCCAGTAGCGCCATAATCCATTGCGGAAACCGGTCTGTACGTGTCATCAAATCCTGCCTCAGTGCGTGGCTCATGTCGAAGGGAAGTGTTAAGGCTACGGCTGCACAGACGGTTTGTTCATCGACGCGAGGTACCGCACTGGTAGGCTGTCGGAATCGCTGTGATGGCCTGACGGATTGTTGTATGTAGTAGCATTGACACTTCCATGTGACGCTAACGGTTTGACAGATTCTTGTTCGCTGTCGAGGTCGCCGCTGCAGAGTTGGGACCACGACCCGAATCCATCCGGCGCAAACCCGTACGTGTATCAGAGAACAGCACCTGCACACATAACCCGTCGTTTTGAGGAGCAGCAACAGTTTGGATTGGGTTACAAGGGGTTACGTTTGGTGAGTGCATGAATTGTCGCATGCGCATCCAAATCTAATCTGACAAGTTCAGTGCCCGGGTAAGCGGCTCGTCCCCTCACCCCTTCCGCCTCAGCAGGTACGACCATGAAGATAGCTGCGCTCCCTCTTCGCACCCGCTCGGAGGGCGCGGTGTTAGAAACTATCCGGCCGGTGCTTATACAATTTCCGCATATGCGCCACACAGCGTGGCCAGCGTGCTTCCCGGCGGATCCCGTTGGCACACAGAGACAGGTGTCTTCCACCCGAGACATCCCTAAGATCTACAAGCCTACGGAGGCGAGGTATCTGCGACAACGATCGTCTCTCCGGGCGCATGTCACACGGAGATAGTTCCCCCTCATGGTTTGCGCTCCAGACTCCTCACATCGACTCGCTAACGAGTTTCCGGAGCAGTCGCATTCATCAGAACTCAAACTGGCATTAAAAAGGTATGCGTATCACGTTGGGATAAGACACGAATTCCCATATGGATGCTCACAGTACTCCCTCGACCGACGGAGACCCGCCGCTGAAGCATACGTGAACATACCCGCGAGCTCACGAAGATATTCGCTCACTGCTGCAGGCAGGAGTTGTCCGCTGCGTTGCCAGTAAGTCTTTTACTATCATCGAAGGTAGGAAATGGGTACGTACTGCTGGGCTGGACGCCGATGAGCGAGGACTGCGCGGTGTGGGACGTCCCGTCGATCAGGAAGAAGAAGATCTCGGTGTCTGCGAGAGTGCGCGACGTTCGTGAGTGTCGCGGACAGACGGAGGGGTAGCAGGGGCGCGTGCTTACTGGCAGGGAGGTCGGTGTTCCACGAGAAAGTGCGATCCGTGAGGCCGAGGTGGCGCTCGGAAGTCCGGTCGTGCACGATACTGGAGGCAGCTTGTCGTCAGAGAGGGGCCCAGGTGGTAGGAGGGGGGTGGTCACTTACGACTGTGCACGAGCAGCAGCGCGATCGGTGATGTCAGTCAGGGCGAGGGGTCCAAGGGGAAAGGACTGTTCGTACCATGTTGAAAGGCGCTATGAGTAACAAAGGTAAGTACCTTGGTAGCATACTACAAAGCCAAGAAGTGGACTTACGAACGCCACCGGTCCAGGTCACGACAGTAGTCTGGCATTGCACAGCGGACGCCCTGGAACAAAATCAGCCTCCGCGAACCCGCTTTGGTAAAATCCCGACTCACGGCGTGTTGATGACGAAGGGGTCGGCGGCGAGCACCGAGGCGGCCATGGCGACGACGAAAGATAGGGAGAAGCGCATCTTGTCTGTGTATGAGAGAATGTTCTGAGTCTTAGAGGTGAGTGAGGCTCGCGGATGCTCTGTACCCTGCCCAAGAGATGTCTTATATATCTTGATGGCGGGTCCTGTGCTCGCCATGGACGTTCATGCCCCCGACGCAGCCGGCGATAGAGGCCTTCTCTCGAGCGACCGGTACGATATTTGACCGGCGGCTACAGTGCCGCGTTCGGACATCGCACCCCGCGTCCGCACAGCATGGCGATCGCGTCTGCACTGAATCAAAGTAATGCGGTGATGAGACCACGGAGCGTGGGGCTCTTCGTGGGACTGACGACGCTTGGCGGCTCCGAGTGCAGTTGAGAAACAACGCGCTGGCGGCCGCGAGGTCATCGATTACTATGAAACAGATACGCCGCCTTTGCAAACTGCTGCTGCGATGCAGAACAAGTTGGGACGGGTATGTTGCATCGCGGGTCGCCCCCGCAGCATATTTATCATGGATGGTAGAAGCGTTATCGCTGAGGCCGAGAGGGTTACACTGATGCGAGCGAAACGCGTGAGGATTGTTCAAGTCTCTTAAGGCGACATGGATGACTCACTTGTGCACACGAGGTGGAGTGTCCATCGCGAAGCAGAGTTGCGCACCAGCTCGTTTACGGTCCCAAGCGAGCTGATGTAAGCCAAATATACGGTCCACAAACGCCCGCGCGCGCGCCCCCGGAGTCGGCGAAATAAGCGCCCATGCGCGCGCGAAAGCGCAGGTCTACTATAGTCACTTTTCATGTGTTTTTTTGCGTGTTTAAATGCTTCAAAGTGTGGAAGAGGCCATAATTATGATTGGTGACATTTCTGTGAAAGCATGGAAATTTTTGAGCCCAAGTTGAGCTCAAAGGGAGCGTTTTCATAACATTTCTGTTAGAATTCTGAAAATGGAGCCAATAACTTCAATATATGTGCTATAGAGGTCGCAAAAAAGGCCGCGCAAGGGTGCGCGCGCGCCCTAAGCCCCACCATCGGCAAGAATATGCCCGCGCGGGCGCACGGGGGAGAGGGAGGCGAGGAGGAGCGCGGAGGGCCGGTGGACTGTGAATTTCCCACGATGGGACTGTAAACGTCCCGGGTCGCAGCTAGCTGCGGCGGGCTCATTTTTGGCGTGGCATCCAGCCAAAATGATGCCCGAAATTGCGCGAGGGGTTCGCGTTTACGGTCCAACGGGTTTACAGTCCAACGGGACGCCCGCGGTCGGCTGTACGAGGAGGGCGCGAACGAGTGATGGCGGGCACAGCGCCGCGCGGCGGTGTCCGAGGTCCGCAGATAGAACATGTGACAAATTACTATATTCGGCGTTTGGACTGTAGCGCGGGCGTCTATGGACCGTAAACATACCGAAAGAAGCGTGCTTCGGATTGGTGCTGATCCATCAAGTCCCAGGCGGCTACAACAAGAAAACGTGTCAGCAGCTGCCCATGACGTCTTATGCTGGGCGTATGTACACTCACCGCGTTCTACGAATTGTATGTGTAAGGTCATGACATACCATCCGGGTCGTGCAATGGTGGCGCTGGCGGTCGCCGTAATTGGTACTCGGACAGTAATGACGCCAGCCTAGTCACGGAGTGCCAGTGTGGCAGCACGGAGCATGCGCACTGGACAGCCAGATACTCGTTCAACCAAATACTCTACCCACGGATCATGACTTCTACGCAATATAATAAAGCTGGGTTCGATGTGCTTGTGTATGGGAGTCGTCGTCGAGGAGAGAGCGCAGCTCGACGATGCAATGCAAAACGGAGTGATGCAGTCCAGTGCGGCAGCTGGTATGCGAGACTCGTGGCAATGTTGACATTTATTGTCACTTTTGTTTTGGCGCTCATGCGCCCGGTCTCCGTGGCTCTCTTTTCGATGACTCTCATGAATGATCTGCTACACAACACACTGCACATCTCCAAACCAGCGTGTCATGATGTAAAAAACCGTGCTAATCACGTAAAGAGTAAGAATCAATTCTGAATCGCAGGCTAGTTCTTGATATACTTCAACCAGTCTCGCGACTTGTAGTCCTCCACAACGTCCCGCGCAATCTCCGGTAATTCCTTGAACTCCTTTCCGAAGATGCTTATTGCTTTATCGTTCTCCAGATACGCGTGAGGCGGGAAAGACGGCTGCTTGCTAGGCTTCTCGCGCCCAGGGAGGTCGACATTGGCGAGCCATTCCTCCCACGTGGCGACGCCTGTGCGCATTGCAAAGGCCGACATCAGTATGCGACAGCTTGAGGACCGATGCAAAGACAAACCGGAACTGCATATGATTCGCTCGCCGCCCGCGGCCGCCACCTCGAGCGCTCGTACGTGCAAGTCGGCGACGTCACGCACGTCCACGTAGTTGTGCCATGGCATCGTTTCCGCGGCCGGCCGAGGGACTTCAGCGAGCTGTCGCCACATATGGAACGGCGTATTTGACAATGCAGTAGGCTCTGGGACATGCTCGCCTGCCAGCGGCTGCGAAGCATGTTGACCAAGGTGAGTACTCTGTTCATACACGCATGCTGCTCGGGATTACTCACGCCAAAGACCCAGGTTGGCAGGAGAGTGCACAGATCGAAGGAGATTTCTCCCTTATGCTTCTTAACGAAGTCCCATGCCGCTGTAATCAAGGTTCAGTCGCGTTCTGATCTACACGCAATCCAAGCCGTGCTTACCACGTTCGGCCAGAGTCTTGCTGGCATCATACATGAAGACAAACAAGGCATCACGCCCCTGTTGCTCTACGATTTGGACCGCGGAGTCGTTCCAGTCCTCTTCCGTGTACGTCCTTGGCAGCGCGGTGATGCTGATGATAGCGGTCATCGACGACGTGACGACCACGCGCTTCACATCGGATCTGTCCGCGATGCTCTGTAAGGAACATGCGAGCGAAGCGCGATACAAGGATGGTGGCGATGACCCACTTCGCTGCGCTTTTCAAGATGTTGAGGGTACCCTCCACCGCAGGCCGGATATACGCTTGCGGGTCTCCAACCTGCGTGTGAGTGGCGAGCGGCGAGGCCGTATGGATGATTCCATCTAAACCCTTGGCCGCCTCGTCGAAGGCGCCGGCCTAAACGCGCCACCCGGTGAGCACAATCATGACTTATACACATTAATAGTGTAGCTTACTGACCTCTGCGATGTCCGGAACGACTACAGCATTGAAACGGTCCTTCGCCTGAGGGATGATCCGGGATACGAAACCGACGAGTTCCTGCGCCTTCGTCTCCGATCGCACCGTACCGCGCACGGAGTATCCACGCTCGAGCAGCGTGCGTACCACCCAATGGCCAATGTATCCGTTTGCACCAGTAACGAGGACGGTCGCGGCGGAAGAGATCACAGGCATGTCGTCGTGGGATCAGGGCGATAGTAGTCAACAAAGAGGATTCCGGTTGCATTTGTATCGCGCCACTCTTCCACCGTCTGCACCGAGACCGCGGAATCTATCCTCGGCGTGTGTCTGTCCCGTGAGGTCGGTAAATTTCGATTTCGAATCTCACGAGAAGCGTATCTGATCTTCGTAGGCGCTGACGACATAGTGCGCGGAGTTAAAGTTGCCGCGGAGGTGGTTCTGACATTGCGTGTATATCAACATACGTACTCGGCGCCCGAACGAACGGACAACCCAGAAGAGTCCGAAAGATGAAGCTAGTCAGTATTGGGGTACTAATAAGGTGTCCACCACTGGTAGCCAAATATTTACGTATGGTTGGGCTTTCCTGGCCCCCGCGCGTGTTCCAAGAGTGCAAGTTTTCTGCTCGACGAAATTCTACACGGGCCTGAGTCTTTCCCTCACTTTGATAGAAACTTGGGGAGGCATGATCGTCACTGTATTGCCGTTCGCTTATACCAGATTGTAGCTTGAACTTCATTGATGTGCTAAGTCGGTGAACACGGGAAAGCCTATAGATGGGCACATAAGCAAGCGACGAGCGGACCGGGATGGACGGGATAAAAGAGTCTTGTATGAAAAGCACCAGTCATACGCGTTGTACAAGCGGAAGTCCCCCCCCTCTTCGTCATAGAGCTAGTACTCCTATTCCTAACCCCTTCTTCCCCCTATCCCATGTATTGATGACCACTATACTCTCGAAATCCCGAAAGGTTAAACTGAGGAGACCGTATGAGCGCGAAGGAGTCGACACGTGTCGATACCAACGATAGTGCCGCGCGCCGTGGTAGTCTCGCACGGCCACAACTAGGGCCGGTCTACACGGTGTCCGGGAAACATTCCTAGTAGGAACGATCAGCAGGGCTGTCTACCCGTCAAGATACTGCACAGACGTACTCCGACCTTGGCCACGCCGATCAATACGAGCGGCGAGCCCTCAGTGACACAGGTCCACCGAGTGCCGGAGAGCACTCCGGGGCATTCGTTGCAATCGATCTGGAGTTTGCAATCCGTCACGTCGCAGTCATCGCGAGCCTGGAGGCGGGATGGGTTGCCCATGGCGACGCCGATCTGGGCCAGAGCGAGGACGAAGCTGACGAGGACGGAGAACTGCATTCTGCTGCAAGGTAACGAAGACAGCAGGTCAGTACGACGTGAAAGGGGAGTCAAGTGGGTGACGAGTAGCGTACTTGGTTTGGGAGGTGAAGTTGCTGTAGCGGAAGGTAGCGGAAGAGGCGGGTGGGGATTGCTGCTGTCTCGGACGATTTGTGAGTCCTTTTTATTCCCTCGAAGGGCGCTACAAGTTGTGTGCCATCGGACAGGGTCTTCCGATTCCGTCAGTGACAAGTCCAAGTGCAACAGCGCCAGGGCTTCCAGGCGGGGGCATTCTGGAGCGGTGCCTTAGGGGCGCGCATCGCATCCGAGTTTGTTGACAGACAGAGTTCCATTCCAACAATCTGCTCTAGGCATTCTTGATATCGCTTCGCAGCATGTTGTCGATGCAGATGAGAACCACCAACTGCAGAACCATAATAATAAACAAACTGCATTATAAACATAACGTGAGTGCGCGCAGCCTCAGGTTGTGTAACGTGCCTACCATGGGTGCTCAACGTCATCCTTGCACCGACCCCGTCGCGGGGTGACACTCTCTTCGGACCACGAGCTGCTATGCGGCTCCATTGATGGCGGTTGCATGCACTCGGGAATGCCAAAGCTTTCCGGCCATCACCGTATGAGTATCACGAGTCGCCAAGCTGCAGAGCGGGCGGTGCTTGTACGGGACCTACAGGTTCAGTATGTCCGCCGCTGTCGCTCACGTCTGTTGCTGGGGCCCCGATCGTCGGATGTGCGTTCGCGCCAACTGTGCATAAGCAGTCCGTTGACTTCGCAGTGTCGGAATGTACAGCGGCGTACCGTTCGCGTCGGCAGAGGTGCCAAACGAGTCCATAGCTGGCCAGATGAATTGTACTTCTCGCACGCGTGGCACAAGTAGGAACCACGAGAGTCGTCGAATTTGTACTCCTGCAGGTTCTGGCTCTGTTCAGAGAGTGTCGGAATATGGCCTGCGCAGGTCGGCCGGTCGGCATCGGACAGGACGGACGAGATTAGTGAGCCACACCGTGGCATGAGCCTCATGGCAAGGCTCGCCAGTGTCCCTCGGGAGTTGCCGATTGGATGACATGTATGAGCGCCTATGTAGCGCTTACTGACTCTGTTTCGCCACTCACCATCATCTCGCCGCCTCTCCAGCCAGTACGACTCAGTTTTGGGGAACAACAGTGCTGGAAATATGCAGCCACAACGCCGACGCGAGGTTTCCTCCATAGCGACAAACCTCGGCCGATGGTCTTGCTCAAGATGGCGTCGGCTGCGTTAATGTCGAGTGCGTCAGTGCTGACTATATCTTCCAACGACATATCGGGGTCGGACGTGTCCATTCTACGTAAAATATGCTCCAGGAATATTGCCTTCATTTTCCGACCGAAACCGTCCCTTTCAACACCCTCGACATAAGCAACAGCATGTTAGAAAAGGCATACCTTTGGCAGCGACAAGAACTTTGCGAGCGAGCCTCGCATGCAGGCTTCAGAAGGCGGACTTCCACTCAAACGCAACGATTATAGGTGGTGTACATGTTACATAGTGAGCCTTCTTCCACTACACTGATATTGATTTTTTCTCGTTTTCTGCGGACAGGATAGGGATGCATGCGGGCCAGCTTTTGATACGACGCACGCACGGCAGGCACAGCGAGATATCAGCAAGCCGTGGTGCAAGCAACATTCACGGTACGCACCTTAGCTAAACACCCCGTCGAATGCTGCCATGATTACTCGGCGATCTTCGGTTCGCAGAGCTGCAAATTTACGTGTCATCAGCCGTGGGATCTGGTTGTCCATGCTACTGCATGTGCCTTACCTTGCCGAGTGAGGGGTTGAACTCAACGCACGTCGAGGGGCAGGCTATGAACGCGCAGTCGTAGTCTGTATCACATGGGACATTGGCGGGGCACTCTGGAGTGCCCTGGCGGGCCCCGAGCACAGAAGCACCGGTAGTCATAACACCGACGTGGGCGATCGCAAGGGCAAGGGCGGTGAAGGTGGTGAACTGCATGCTGCAGGATAAGATCAGCACAACACCTCTTTTCGCGTAGCAGAGTGCGCGGTGAGTCGCTTACATGGGCTGGCTTGTCTGAAGCTGCTAACTTGGGAAAAGGCAGGGATGCTGTAGTCGGGGACCTCTCTGCAGCTTTTTATGTTTCCGTACGGCGCTCGTGACTGCGCATTCAAGTTGCAGATATGGTCTGCTCTCCGGAGAAATAGCCCGTCCGTTGTCGGCAGCGTAGTGAAACACCGTCGTACGGCGCTGGTCAACGCAGCCTCCGGCGTTTCGGATGTGTAGGACGTCTCTCCTACCCCACACCGACGCGTCTAATCCGGACCGCGTATTCTGTGGCGTCCCTAGATCATATGATAAGACGCTGCACAAGCTCCAACTACCTCAGAAGCATACCTTGACTCTTCTTCGGTCGCGGTTCAGATGAATGGTATTTCTATCGATCTCATGTCGAAGTGACCGTACCCTGACTAATTCTACTACAGGGGCGTCAGCCTGATCCATATTTTTCTCAGGCGTGCGCTGAACGCCTACGGCCGCGTCGACTATTCCGTCATGCGACAACCCGCGATGACCCCGCCCATTGCTATTTACAGGCCAGGCACTCCGATATCCCACCCGGTGATTGAATAGCCGCATGCAAGGCGCCGCATCGTTGTAAAATGACTCGTTCTTCGCGCAGCGGGAGCCCTCAGATGGTGTCTAGGGCCTCGGCAAGGTTTGGTGGTGTGCTTCAGGTAGCGCAGCGCTCGCATCCCAATCATTGTGTGGCGTATAAATGTGATTGACAGCATCTCGTTTATCGTAGCGCGTTCATTCGCGGCAGGCCGCCGTGGTTTCGTGAGAAGACGACGGGCTCACGCCGGCTCCGAAAGGTCACGGAGCATTCGTTGAACGGAATGGTGTGATTACTATGCTCATGCGTACAGTCGGCACCGAAGCAGCACGTTCACTACAGGCGCGTAGGCGACACATCGATCCTCACCGCAGCGCAGAGCGCCTCCGCGTCTGACTTCAACTGCTGGCTTTGTGGCCGAGACACCTCCGAATCACTACTGCGAATTATCTTACTTTTGACGTACGCGTTTCACATCATCACCGGTGAATGCGACTGAAAATAGCTCTTTGCCCCTTACAGTACGTTGATTCGCGGCGGGCAGCCGCACTGTGATGAGAACACGACGGGCTCTGGTACATCGACCTTGACGTATCGAGACCGTCTCAGGAAAAAAGACTCTGGAAGAAACGTTACACAGAGCCAGACAATGCAAGGTGTCGTACCACAAGCTCCGCCTCGCCCTTCGAGTTATGACCTTCCCTCCGCTCTTCTTATCTTACACCCCAACTACGCCGTGTTTCTGCAGAACTTCAAGCCGGAAAGGCGGCTCCACGCGCGCCAGCCTCGCGTGTCGCGGCGGCCCAGACCCCGCGATAGTCGGCACCCGGGCGAGCCTACACCAGCGGGACGCACAGCTGTGGTTACAAACGGTCAGCCAGCCACACACGCATACATAAAAATCGCGCGCGCGAAACGCACCCCTTGCGCCCCAGGGACGCCCAGGACGTTGCAGGTCCATCCGAGGGCGGCGGTGACGCCGAGACAGTCCACGCACTCCGCGTCGTTCACGCATACGAGGGAGCACTCCGCGCGGTTCTGGAGGCCGGCGGGGCTGCCCACGACAGCGCCGACGTGGGCGAGGGCGAGTACGAGTACGGCGTTGGCGAGCGTGGTGAATTGCATGTTGCTGAACGCTGGGAGAGGAAAGGGCGGGTGAGTATGGCCCAGGGGGCGCGAGGGTGAGCGGGGAGTCGCGCACCTGGTGTGGCTGGTGGTGCGGCTGTTGGAAGACGGGGCAGGGATGCTGCCGTCTCTCAGATTCGGGGGCCCTTTTGTAGGTGCGGAGAGTACGGAATCCCTGTTGCATATCGTCGAACTGGGGTCGCTGATGAGTTTAACAGCACGACCCCGAAAGAAGTGTTCAACTTCAAGTATCTCTAAAGGGTTCACGCTTCCGCGGCGCACTGGGAGCGCACAACGGAGCCGACGTTCTAGCAACGCCCTCAGGGTGTGTCGAATCACCGCTCAGTCGGCATCGTATTCCTGTAGAGGGGAATGGGGCCGCTTCTTGCACGACGGGGTACGCTGCGTGCGACGATCCAGTCGTCCTTCCTGGCTATTTCGTAACCGTTGACCTTCGCAGGATGCCCGGGCACCATGCGCTGACCATCTCCGCCTGCGGATGATCATAGGCTGCCCGCCGCCGAGTTGCAGAGCCGCGCTCCCGGTGCCCGGCGCGCGCCGAACATCTGCAGAGCCAGTAAGGATCGCGCGATGATCCACGCCGCAGGAAGGCGGACAGGCGAGTGCGACTATGCAGGCCCAGTCGCAGCTTCTTCCCTCACTCTCCGTCGGATAATTCTATTTAGAAACCCGGGGTACGCACAATAACCCGGGTTCCAAAAGATTACACGTAGAAACCCCTGTCCGAAGGTGTCAAACGCGGCCGGGCAACAGGCGCCCTCGGCCGCGCGGATCCCTACGCGCGAGCCCGCCGTCCTACGGAGGGCACGCGCGATGCGCCGTCGGGGGACTCCAGAACATCTGGACGCTACGTGGTAATTCTGTAAATAATTGAGACAATTCCTGAACAGTTCGCGCAGCGCGCGGGACTCACATCGAGCCTCGCGCGCAGCATGAACTATATCAATGAAGTAGAAACTTGAAGATGCGCGTATTCCGAGAGACATATTTGGAATTATAATGCATTCACCTGCTCGCGACGAGTCGGATGTGCGCCGATCCATTGTTCAAGCCAGCTTCGTGACGCACGGCTGTGATCGAGATGTTTAGAACGTGGTGCGTGCCCGTATTCGTGTATGAAACAAGAGAGCCGCGCGCGCGCGCACGCACCTGCCGACCACGTCCCATTTGGGGTACGCATCACCCGGAGGTGCTCCGGTGCAGGCCGCGACGAAACCGGGTTTCCAAACTAGCAGAGGGGTTCCAAGGTGTACCCGGGGTTTCCAAATAGAATTATCCCTCTCCGTCAATCGCGCGGTGCTTGTGAGGCCTTGAGGGCGTATGGCGCCTGCCTGTCGGGATGCAGCAGCACGCTTCGTTGGAGCGGCGGAAACTGCAACGGAGGGAACGTTCAGGCGTACTCCGGAGTACAGGCTGGCAAGCAGCAAAATACGAGAGCATATCCCACATTCTTCACCGGGAATGTATGCAGCTCATTGACGACTACTGATGGCGACACTGCGACCTTCCCAGGTAAGCTGAACTCAGCCATGTCGCGGCGCTCGGCGCATAGCACAGTTATTGGCAACGCTCAGCTCTCGTGGCAGGCGTGGGAGTCCACCGCGGTCTCCATACCACAATCCGACGCGCCTGGTCCCGGAACACACAACATGTCATACCACTCAAGCTGTATCGAATGGTACGTGTGCTCCTGCCCTCTCTCGAGTGTATGCTGATTCCGGTTGGTCGCGAAAGCCTTTCTTTCGAGTGCAAGAGATGGTGCCCTTCAAAAACTACGGTACTTGAACGAATCGCTCGGAATCCTGCCCCAAATCATCCTCCTCAACCCGAAGTATGCTGTCTGGAGAAGGCGCGCGGCAGGTCTGTGAACAACGGACGCGTGTTTAGTCATCGGCTCATAGCGACGGACCCATAATTCCTACCACAGGCATACCCCCCGGTAGTGTGGGGCAGATAAAACTACTGGGACAGCCTTGCCGCTTGCAATCCTCGGTGGTCAGGCACATGACGCGGGGAAATATGCACTCCATTTGGCGAGCCCTGAGGACAGAGGCCCCGGCTGCTGCGATTCCGATATGGACCACCGCAAGGGCGGAGACGACGAAGGCGGTGAAGTGCATGCTACAGAGGAGGTCCGCATGTCATCTCGAGTCAGGATAATTCGCAGGTATGCTCGCTTCTCTGTCGCGCACCTTGCAGACCCGTGTGCGATTCAAATTAATTCTTGAAGGGAAGGAGCTTCTGCAAGTCGCTGGGGAGTATTCGTCTATTTATCGGCCACAGAACCTCCCACGCCGTGGAACGCGCAACTAGACTTCAGTCGTGCGCGTGAGCAGTCCAACAAGGCGCGTTGACAAATCTTGTCAAGATGGTGTCAGCTGTGCCCTGCGGAGCGCGTCAGTCCTAACCTTGTTTTCTGGCCCTATCTAGTATCTCGGCGTCGAATGGTACCCTGAAGATAGTGTACCAACGTCTCCAACTTTCTCAGTCTCGTTGCAGAACTACCGGAGGGTGTGTACCCGGTGTTCAGCCCCACACACCTCTGGACATCGTGGCCACCAGCTGCACATGACGTGAAGTTGCCCGACGTCGAGTGTCAAGGTGGCGGTCCTCGTGCAGATGCAGCGCCTCTACCATAAGCCCAGCAGAGCCTGCAGAGGTAGCTCGAGCTCCGCTTCTGCCCCTGGCATCGAATACGACTACGCGGGTTCCGCTTTGGTGCCAGTTTGGGCGCGCTGTACATCAGATTCCCATGCACGAGGCTCTTCGCCGACCACGCAGTGCCAAGGTGCGACCTTCTGTAGTAGCACGGTTTCCGCAAGCCCGCCTCTGCGGCATGGTGTCTTTCGAGCGCATTTCGCGTCTCACGTTCCAGGATTCGGTTCCCTCGGGGCACGAATGCGTCGATGGAGAGAAATCTCAGTCGAGCGACGCGCGCGCAAACTTCGGAAGGGGTCCTTCGATTTCCTGCATAACGAGTCAACAATCAGATGCCTCGTACGTTACATGTCTTCCACATCGAGGGCTACCCTTGCCTCTGCGACAACTTGTTCTTCTCTTCACGTCTGATGACTACTAGGGTTTTTGCACGACCCCGGACCGGGAACTTTGATCTGAGACAGGAGAAACGGGCCCGCGCCCTCCCCGCGCGACGTGCCCATGTCCACGCCGGCGTCACCGCGGTACGTGTACCGCACCAAGACCGTCCGGCCTACGCATCGCGCTAGAGACACGCCTGCCAACAAAACCGGTCAGTCTCGCGCGTCTCCCTGTACGATGCATCGCGCGCACGAGAACGAGACCCGTACCCCAGCCGTGCCCGGGGTGCCCAGGGAGACGCACGTCGTGCCGAGGCAGTCCACGCACTCCGCGTCGTTCACGCACTGGACGGCGCACTGCGCACGCGCGGCCGGGCTACCACATCGGGACTTGTACGCTACGCGATGGGCGATCTCTGTTCGACGAAGACCAGCAGGTCGCACTCTCCCCCAGCAGTATAAGAGGGCCCGCTCACTGTCCAAGACTTCAGCAGTTCCGCCCCACCCGCCCCGCCCCGCCCCGCCATCCGACAGCCGCATCCCCCACCAAATCCACCAGGTATGGGTTCCGCACCCACCCCCTCCGAGTCCTCGCGCTCGTACCGTACTGACCGCTCTCCCCGCCCCCACCCAGCAACATGCAGTTCACCGCCCTCCCCATGGCCAGCCTCGTCCTCGCGCTCGCGCTCGCGCTCGCGCAGGTCGGCTCCGTCATCGCCAGTTTCGATCGCCCCGAGCCTACGGCAGTGAGAAGTGCATACGGGGGGTCGAGCGTCCGACGGATAGATCCAGTGGGAGGGTCGAGTCTCAGAACGGGCATGATCGTCTGCAAGGGGTCAATAGACCGCTCGTGTTATTTAACACGAATTCGAATGTAGTGTACTCCTTCGCTCGGGGCCCGAGGCGGAGGTAGGTGCGCATACGGAGGGGGTGAATCCAGATGGAGAGAGCCTGTGGGGAGGGTCGGCGCTCCGACGAGTGTGATTCTCTGCAAGGGGGCTAATTCAACTGTGGGTCCTCGGGAGGGCGCGCCGTAGCCGGTTCCGATGACGGCCACTACTCCAGAAAGGCCTCCTCCATATGCAATGGTTCAGATCTCCCTTTTTACGACGCTTGATTCTTGTTTACATAGGCCCACGGCTGCTTGCACAACGGGATGCCCTATACAATGCAGTAATCAGTTCCCGACTACCCCGTGAGGATTGAGATACTTAGTGTTGTGCCTCGATGCAGCTCCGTCGCACGGGAACACATTCATCATGCTGGTCAAGACTTCTCTGCGACATTCCTGGCCTCTGGTGGGAATCCGGGTACCGCACAGTTTGCTGGCTACATATCGTCATCTACATACTGACCCAAAGTTACCCAACGCTGGGTACTGCGGGGACGCGCCCCTAGTGCGCGCGGTGCTTGTACGACGCCCGTAGAACCGTTTCTAAACCTGCACATGCATCAGCTTCCTAAACACGAGGCTCTGGGCCGCCGACCGCGCAATGCCCGAGTCAGCGCCTGTCATAGCGAGCGTGACGTACTACGGTGGTTTGTCGTCATCGACGGAAGGGCGATAGCAAGTGAGCCCGCTTAGCATGGTTGGTCCCCCCAGGCAGTACTTTGGAGCCACGGGCAGTACGCTAGTGGGTGCAGAAGCGCATGCTGCGCAATTTTGCAGCATGTAGGACGTCGAACGACACAGAGAGCAGTCAGAGTCGACGGTCGCGAGCTTCGTGGCGCGGATGTTGCCGAACTCGAAGAGTGACGTCACCGCTCGCGCAGACGCGCTCAGCAAGCGCTTGCGACCGCGACCTCGTCTTGACTCTCGCCGCCCAGTCGAAGCTTGGCGATGCGAAGTGCGTATGGACGGTCGTTCTTTCGATTCCGAGTGGAAGTACTGCTTGAACGGTAACTTCCATCAGGCTGTTTCCAATCCGTGCATGTCGATATCTCACATTTATCGTCTGGCTAGGGGTGACAGATCTGTCCCGCACGAGGAGGTATACATCTCCTCAATGTGCGCCGAATGGCTGTCTCGACGCTTATGTGCCATGGAACAATATCAGCCCCTCCCAGACCGCGAGGGCCCTGCTTATTGCTCAGAGTAAGGCATCGCACCCGGCGTCAGAATCACCACCTCCGGGTCCGCAAGGCGGCCCGCCAAAGCAGAGGTGCAAATCGCCCCAATCGTCTCTGCAGCGGAATCGCTGCACGCTGAGGGTGCCCTTAGACGGTGGCTCCAAGCCTCGCAAAGGTTTTTGCACTGCGCTCCGTGTAACGTACGCGCATGCACCCTCATCACCGGTGAACTTTGCAACTGAAAATAACTCTTTGACCCTCATAGTGCGGCCGTAGTCGGGCGAGAATACAGTGACGAGGGGCTCTAGCCCCGGTGCCTCATCTTCCACACTGCGCGGGGCGCCGGGGCGTGGTTGTCGCCAGTGTCGGTTGGTGTTTCCGGGTACTAGGCTTGCGCGCCAGCTTGTCCCAATACGGTGACTTCAAGCTTGCTATTCTGCCGCGACCTCTCTATCACCACTTCTCGCGTTTCGGGCTAACACCCCTCGCATTCATTCCCGGCTCCACATCCTGCTCATGCTGCTGTGCGCCCGGTGGCCTCGGCTGCCGCACTTCCTTCTTACCCCTGCACGGGACAATCAATTTCTCGCCCTCCAGTAGCCGTAGGGCAATATTGGGCAATGAACGAAGATTCGAAGGAAGGCCAGAAAGTGAGTCTGCCGCTAATCCGTTATCCAATATTCCACCTCCCCTCCCCCAGACATTCATTCTGGCGTTACCGAGCAAGCTGCACAAACTGACTCGGACAGATCGCGCCTGCCCTCGACGTACTGGGGCCGTATCAAGAGAACAGACCTCGAGAGAAATATTTTTTCGCAGAGCCTAACATCCCGAGGTGCCGTACTACACTGAACTCCGCCCCTCCCTTCGAGTTCTGCTCTTCCCTCCGCCCGAGCTCTTCTTATCCTACACGCTAACTACGCCGTGTTTCTGCAAAACTTCAGGCCCAAAAAGAGACTCCACGCGCGTGTCGCGGCGGCCCAGACCCCGCAACAGTCGCAGTCGTCACCGGGGCGGACCTACACCAAGGGGAGGCACAGCTACAACCACGACCAGTCAGCCACACACGCACACCCCAGACTCGCGCGCGCGAAAAACGCACCCCTTGCGCCCCAGGGACGCCCAAGACGAGGCAGGTCCAGTCGAGGGCGGCCGTCACACCAAGGCAGTCCACGCACTCCGCGTCGTTCACGCACACGATGGAGCACTCCGCGCGGTGCTGTAGGCCTGCGGGGCTGGCTACGACGGCGCCGATGTGGGCGAGCGCGAGCGCGAGCGCGAGCACAAGGCTGGTGAGGGTGGTGAATTGCATGTTTCTGAATGCCGGGAGAGGAAATTGCGGGTTAGTACGGCGGGCGGAGGCGTGAGGAGGGTGAGCGGGGAGTTGCGTACCTGGTGTGGTTGGTGGTACGGTTTTTGGAGGACGGGGTAGGGCTGCTGCCGTGTCTCAGATTCGGGAGCCCTTTTGTACGTTTGGAGTGCTGCTTGCCTGTTGCACATCGTCGAACCGGGGTCGCTGACAAGTTCAACAGCACGACCCCGAAAGAAGTATGCAGCTTCAAGAATCGCCAAGGGGGTTCACGCTGCCGCGGCGCACTGGGAGCGCACAACGGAGCCGACGTTCTAGCAACGCCTTCAGAGTGTTTCAAATCACCTCTCAGTCGGTATCGTATTCCTGTAGAGGGCAATAAGGCCGCTTCTTGCACGACGGAGCACGCTGCGTGCGACGATGTAGTCGTCCTTCCTGGCTATTTCGAAACCGAAGCCATCTCCGCCTGCGCATGATCATAGGCGGCGCGCCGCCGAGTTGCAGCGCCGCGGTCCTGGTACGCGGCGGTGCCGAACATCTGCAGAGCCAGTAGAGATTACGCAGTGATCCACGTCGTAGGAAGGAGGATAGGTGGGTGCGGGTATGCAGGCGCAGCCGTAAGACATCAGCTTCCCTCACTCTCCGTCGAACGCGCGGTGCTTGTGAGGGCGTATAGCGCCTCCGTGTCGGGCTTCAGCAGTTGGCTTCGTTGGAGCGGCCGACCCTGCGACCCTGCGACCCTGCGACGGAGAGAACGTTCAGGCGAGGATCGCGTAGACATGATATGGAGTTTGCGATCATAGGTGTTGTACTTACGGGTTCGCGAGGGGTATCGGTCTGCAGCTGGAGCGTTTTCCCTGTTCCTCCGCCCCCTACTGCCGCCGGTTCCGTTAGGTTCTCTCAAATATCCTCGCGTGAAAAGAGAACAAATGGGCGCGCTTGCGCCGTCTCTACACACAGAACCGTGCCGATGACGGGTTCGCGTCTCGCAGCGGCCGACCACCCAGTGCAGTGCCGGGGCGCGGCCTGCTATCGTAGCATCGTTGCCGTAGGCCCGCGTCCGTGACGTCACTCTTCGCCTGAGTCTGAGAATTCGAACCCCTCGAATTACGGCAATCGCATGAGTCGGGGCAGCGAACGCGACGATGGAGAGCCTGGGTCTCAGGCGAGCGACGAGCCCGCGCAAAGTTCGCAAAACGAACTTCAATTTCTTGCATAATCGGAGTCAGCAATCCGACTCCTCGTGTACTCCACGCCTCCCGCATCGAGCGCTACCCTTGCCTTCTTGTAACCTATGTTGAACATATCTGATAAAGTTCCGCACACCGGATCGAGAAAAGGGGATACATCGCGATGGACACGATGCATAGTCCTCGCGCAAGGGGCCAATGCCGCCACGCAGTGCCGCAGCGGCCTAGACACGGCGCCAGGTAGAGTCGGCCTACGTCGGGACACATATCTACCAACAGAAGCGGTCAATCGGACGCCTCTTCCTGCAAATTCGAAGGAAAACGTACTCCTTCTGAGCCCGGGACACCCGCGGTGATGCAGGTATACCTGACATCGAAGGGGCAGTCGACACATTCCGCGTCGTTTACGCATAACAGGGGGCACTCCGCACGGGCGTGGAGCGTGGAGGGACTGCCCATGGCTACGCCGATGTGGGCGAGGGCGAGGACGAGGCTGACGAGGGCGGTGAATTGCATCCTGCGAAGACAGTATGTGAGTACCACAAGAAGCGCTAGAGCAGGGTGTAGCGCACCTGGCAGGTCTGGTAGATGATATGGCTGTTGTCAGGCGGGGTGGGGTGGGGTGGGACTGCTGTAGTCTCGAACCTTCAAGAGCCTTTTTATACTGCCGGTAGGGAGTACTGCCTCCCAGTTGTCGTCGATCATCGCTCGCTCGTCTTGTGTATCGCGATCCTAGATGCGGTGAAATCCATCTCAAAAAGCCTGATGCACGGATATGGTGCTGAAAATTCCAGACGAAGTGACCCAGCACAGACGATAGATCTTCAGAACGAGTGTGATTTCTCCGAGGGGGTCAACTCTGCCGCGGCGCCTCGGGAGCGTACGTGGCTGGATTCATGACAGCGATTGCTCCAGCAGTTGACATCTAGTGTCTCTGCCTCCATCGTCCACACGACGGGTCCATCCTACAAACAGCTGCCCCAGGCTCTTTCTAATCATATAGCGTGGACATGAGCACTGAGTACTCACCGGTAGCGTTGACTCGTCGTCACTCCGTAGCATTGTTTTCCACGTCAAAAAAGTACTCTTCCACGACACGGCTGGCTTGTTGGAGGTATTCGGATACCTTGAGCACGTTGTCCGCAAGTTGTACGGCGGCACCAGTCACTGCATCCAAGTGAGCGAAATTGGCACGATGCCGGGTGTTGCGGCGCTGCAGTCCGCGTGCGCGCGGCGCATTTATGACACCTGCAGAGTTGATACGGACCCCGCTGCTGTTCCGTACGTCGACTGTAGACCCAAAGAGTCCAGGTAGGGATCGACAGATGCAAAAACATCAGCTTCCCTAGGCTCGCCGCAGACCGGGAAGTCACCACCGCCAGAGGCGGGTATAGCGGCACGGTGACTCTCGCTAGTGGGCTTGTTGATGTCCTGGTTCATCCCCCGCAGGCGTGATGTTTCTCACTGTCAGAGTCTGATTGCAAGCAGCGGTGCACAGCGGCAAGAAGGTACGGCCAGCTTTAGTCTCATACCAAGACCGTTCATGTGTTCGGGGTTTGTGTCGAACCTGCGGCCAGCTTTGTAGCGCTGGCAGCTAACGCCGGATGTGGCCGAATATGAAGGATGACGTCATCACTATCACGCATGCGGCCAGCGACTGCGCGCCGCTCGAGGGCTTGTCTTGCCTCTTGCCATCTCCGATCCTGTTGCTCTCTGGCCTTCTCGTGCAGGCGCAACTCTTGGTTACTCGACAACATGTTAATCCCGAGCGTAGCTAAGTTCCCAGCTGCAGCTCTCAGTACTCGGGACCATTATGGGACCTGCCGTGTCACTCTCAGTAGTGCCCGCTGAGACTAGTAGGGATACGTGTTCACGCGCACGACTCGCGCGCATTCATCCGTACTGCTGTCTTCTCACCGAGGTGCGAGATCACCCATCCTCGCATGACGATCGTAAGTGCTTTACAAGTCAAATCACCAGTACCTCTACTATGTCATATATCGATTATCCCCCATCTTTGCCCGAACATTAGGCTAGAAAGGAGATTGGAATCGTCCGAGTGCGCCGTGTCAATTCCGATGGTTGTGCAGTTTGTGACGATGAAAGGGTGAGTCTTCGCCTCTAGCTCGAGCGACAATGCTGACAGGCTGCTTCAGCAGAGAAATCTTGAACGTTGGACCGACAGACACGTACCCCTATAGGCTCTGGGGGCGGGTTTAGTAGATTGCACGTCCATGTCGAGTTCGGAGCTAGTTCGACACAAGTGTCACAGCCCGGGGAAGTTGTTGTACAGAAGAATTCCTGTGCCAAGCACAGTGCCAAAGGAGGAACTATGCGGGCTTCGCGAGTGGCCGGCGTGCCCAGGACCATGCCGATCTGTGCGACAGCGATGATGGAGCGGGTGATGGCGGTGAGCTGCATGCTATAACACCGGGTCAGTACAACACCTCATGTGGCGGAGTGGTAGGCGCGGTAATGGTGAGTCACTCACTTGGACTCCCTTTTTCGTGTCAAGTGCGTAGTCGAGGAGTAGCAGGAGGGGCAGGAACTACTGTAGCTTGTCACCTACGTCCAGGCTTATATGGTGTGCGCGCAGGCCGACTGCTTACGCGCCGGTGAGGTAACATGCCAGCGCACAGTGTCAGTTCATTTCCCCAACAACCCTTTCAGCTTCCATATGAACTCTTCCTAGCCGATCCTGATCCCACTCGTGTACAGGAGAGCGGCCGATGTCAAGGTATCGGACAGATAGACTCCCAACGCACCGTTCCCAGCTGACCCGAAAAGACATTTCGCAGACACACTGTCACTGTGATGCGGGCTACCCACTCACGGCACGATGTTCTGGACCGCCCACCAGATGCAGGTCATACCACCGATGACCCCGGCCTTGCTGACCTATGGCGCGAGGTCTCGCGAGCGAAGCGCTTGTATGTTGCACGCGGAGCTCCCTCTGGCACCGATATCCATTTCAAAACATCCAGGTTCGCACCTCTACTCATGCTGAATCGGCGCACTAGCGATGCCTTGACACAGCTTCGTTGACGGCGCCCGGCTCCGAGCCCGCGCATGGTTACAGGCGTGTTCTCCGGTTGTAGCTGCCCAGGGTTTGAGTGTGGGTGTGCGATCGCATGGTAGCATCCTCACGCTTTCCTGGGATAGTACCCCTGGCTGATCTGTTATAGTTTTATAGCAAGAATCAAGTCTGGTGGCGTGTGCCTCATGCGCAAGCCGCGAGACGGACTACGTGAGTGCCATCCACCGCTCCGCGCAGGATCTCTAACGGTCCTTTACCAGAGTATACGCTCAGTTCTCTGCTGCCCGTGATCTAGGACTTCTTAGGATCCAGGTGTGAGTCTGGGCACGCTGGGTCAAGGCGCGGCCTATTATAGCAGTACAGTCGCCGCAAGTAATCATCCGTAGCCCGGCTCCTCTGAAGTGACGCACTTCACGCCCGGGCAATCGACACATCTGGCGTGTTTCACGTTTCCCTTGCAAGATGCACGTAAATGATAGTGCTCTGCCTCTACAAGTAAGCGAGCAGCTATCGCTTTCCTGTTTTCGTTATCCCTCCGTCTCCGACTGACTGATTTCACTCAAGCTTCTACTCAACATCGTCGCGAAAGAACAAGACACCACAGGCGCACTCCCAGCGACGTTCTCGCGCATCACAGCGGTCCGAACGCAGCCCTGCTAAAACGAGCTACACGTCTGACCGAAAAAATCAGTTCTACAGTGATGCCTGGAAATCGTAAGAGAAACCAGAAACGCACTCCGCCAATGCAGCCCCCAGGACAATCCGCGCAATCTCCATCGCTTAGGCACACGATGGCGCACTGCGCGTGGCTCTGGGCTCGACTGGCGAGGCTGGTGCCCGTGGCGGGGCCGATCTGGACGAGTACGAGCGCGAGCGCGAGGCCAAGGAGGGGGGTGAGGTGCATCATGCTACACGCGAGGAAAGCGGACATGTCAGTATCACAGGCAGCGTGGAAGGTGGGTCGTACGAACGCTGTTGAAGGGTGTGGTGGGGCGTGCCAGTTGCTGTGATGTCAAGCGATGTAGGCTTTCTTGTATACTCACGAACTCGGTGAATATTCGCTACATCCTGTAGTATGTACAGCATCGAAGATGGGAAACATCCATCTCACCTCGTACTGCCATCGTGAATATAGTGTACCAACGCCTCTAAGAAAATCAGTCCTGCCGCGGTAACTCCGGAGGAGGGTACGTAGCTAGTGTTCCACCCTATAAACCTCTGTTCACCGTGGCCACCAGCCCCAGGTGACATGTTTCCCGGCGCCGAATGACACGGTGGCGGCCCTCGTGCGTACGCAGCACAGCTACGCATGACACCTGCAGCACTGGCAGAAGAAGTACTGGTCCCCCTTCTGTTGCTCACATTGGACACAGGCTTGGGGATCCACGTTGGTACGATTTTGCGACAGTTGTACATCAACGTCCCGTGCACGAGACTCTCCGCCGACCACGTACTGTCAAGATGGGACCCACCATAGCAGCACGGTCACCGTAAGCCGTCGTCCGCGGCCTCAACACTCCGGAGCGTACTCCGGGCTTCACGCTCCAGGACTCGGTCGGAGTGTTGGAGCAGCGAACGCGTGATGGAGAGCCTGGGTCGTACTCAGACTGCGGGGGAGGACCTTCAATTTCCTGCGTAACGAGTCAACGATCGGACGTTTCGTATATTACACGTCTCACACGTTGAATGCTACCCGCGCCGCTGAGTTGCTGAGCCGCGGACCTGGTGTGCGGCGTGCACTGGCACCGAGCACCTGAAGAGCCAGTCGGCGTGGCGCGGCGATCCACGTCGAATAGAGGCCCAGGTCGAGCCGGATAGGCGAGTGGGAGCATGCAGGGCCCAGTCGCTGTGCCGCATCAGCTTTCCTCACTCTCCGTCAATCGCGCGGTGCTTGTGAGGGCGTATAGCGACATGCCCGGTTCAGGGGAGGCTATGACGCGCAAGATATGATATGGAAAGAAATGCGTACATGTTCAGTGGATGAGGTAAAAGTCAGTGCAGAACCGTACACTACTAACTCTTGACATACTTCAACCAGCCTCGCGACTTGTAATCCTCCACAACATCTCTCGCGATCTCCGGTATCTTCTTGAAGTCCTTACCAAAGATACTGATTGCCTTATCGTTGTCCAGATACGCGTGAGGCGGGAATGGCAGTTTCTTGCTCGGCAATTTATCACGCCCCGGAAGGTCGACGTTGGCGAGCCATTCCTCCCACATCGCGACATCTGCACAAACCATAGCAAGCGGAAATCAGTATACGAAACCCCGAGAATGTATACGAGGACATACCAGAGCTGCAGATGACCCGCTCCCCGCCAGCGGCGGCCACCTCGAGCGCGCGTACGTGCAAGTCCGCGACGTCGCGGACGTCCACGTAGTTGTGCCACGGTAGCGTTTCCGCGGCCGGCCGCGGGAACTCAGCGAGCTGGCGCCACATGTGGAGGGGCGTTTTTGACAGCGCGGGGGGTTCTGAGACGTGTTCGCCCGCCAAAGGCTGTGAGACAGCAAGGTCAGCCCTCTTCTCATACAAGATAGCATGCCTGGGGTTACTCACACCAAAGACCCAGGCCGGCAGGAGGGTGCACAAATCGAAGGACACCTCGCTCTTGTGTGTCTCCATAAAGTCCCAGGCGGCTGCCATCATGCCAATCATGATCAGGATCCGTTCGGGTCATGCTCTGCGCGCGGCCCAAACGTGCTCACCACGCTCGGCCAGCGTCTTGCTAGCTTCGTACATGAAGATAGACCTAGCCTCACCCCCCTGTTCCTCCACGATCTTTACCGCGGTGTCGTTCCAGTCCTCTTCCGTGTACGTCCCAGGTAATGCGGTGATGCCAACGACGGCGTAAATTGACGAGGTGACGACCACACGCTTTACGTCGGATCTATTGTCGATGCTCCGTCAGGATCAGACGGCGCGATATAGGCAGGAAGGTGAAGACTCACCTCGATGCGCTCTTCAGGATGTTGAGAGTACCCTCTACCGCGGGCCGGATGTACGCCTGCGGGTCTCCAACCCGTGTGGGAGCGGTCAGTGGCGAAGCCGTATGGACGATGCCTTCCACACCCTTAACCGCCTCTTCGAAGGCGCTGTCCTGAAAGGGACATTTGGTAAGTACGATCACTACTTCAACGCATCAGTCTGGCTTACTGACCTCTGCGATGTCCGGGACAACTACAGCGCTGAAACGCTCCTTCGCCTGAGGTATGATCCGGTATACGAAATCGGACAGCTCCTGGGCCTTGGCTTTCGATCGCACCGCGCCGCGCACGGAGTATCCGCGCTCGAGCAGCGTGCGTACCACCCAATGGCCAATGTACCCGTTCGCACCAGTTACGAGGACTGTCGCAGTGGGAGAGATCACAGGCATGTCGTCGCGGGATCAGAGCGATAGTAACCAACAAAGAGGATGCCAGTGGTACTCGTACTGCGCCACCCTTTCCTCATCCACACTCAGACCGCGGAATCTATCCTCGGCGTGGCGTCAAAGTTCTATATAACACCAGCAGAGGTAGTGCGGGCGCTGCCTTTGGTACTTGCATCAGTCACAAGCGCGGGGATTCCAGATTCGTGTCGGTGGGTGTCAGTTTGGGCGAGCTGGGGCGGCGAACGTGTCAATAGAGCCCGGGTCTTGGGCAGGCGCATACTGCGAAAGGAGACCTTCATTTTCCTGCATAACGAGTCAACAATTGCGCCCTTCGTATATTCCACACCTTACACGTCGGGTGCTGCCCTTCCCTCTACCACATCTGCTGACCATCAGCGTTTCTGCACGATCCCTGACCAAGCAGAGGCGAAGCTATATGTGCTCGTCGGAGTCCTCAGCCGGCCCTGCGCGGTGTACTCCGACAGCGCGTGCCCACGTCGCGACAGTGCGGGCGCATACACAGGTCTGCTTCTAAGCACTGGGCAAGATACACATCTACCCCCAAAACCAGTCAGCCTCCCTCCCCTCATATCATGCACACAAAGAACGTACCCCAAGCGCGCCCGGCTTGCCCAAAGTGACGCACTTCACGCCCGGGCAGTCGACGCACTCCGCGTCGTTCACGCACTCGAAGACGCACTGCGCGCGCGCCTGGACGCGCGTTGCGGGGCTGGCGCCGACGGCGCCGATGTGCGCGAGGGCGAGGGTGAGGAGGAGGGCCAGGGGGGTGAATTGCATGATGCTGGATGGGGAGGGGGGTGGGTTAGTGTGAGTGAGAGGGTGCGCGGCGGTGAGTAGCGTACCTGGTTAATTTGGTGGAGGATTTGGACGTCGAAAGGTGGGGCGGGGAGGGACTGTTGAAGTCTGGGACGATTGGTGGGGTCTTTTATACTGCTGGCGGAGAGTTCTACCTGCTGGTCATCGTCGAACAGGGATCGCTCGTCGTGTATAGCTCGAACCTGCATGCAGAATATTGCATAGTCTTGAGCCCGAGGCGGGGGTAGGGGCGCATACGGGGGTCGAGGGTCGAGGCGGAGGGCAACAGTGGGAGGTTCGACACCGGGAGCAGCTATGATCGTCTTCAAAGAGGTTAATACTGCTGCGCTGCCCGGGCAGGATGCGTAGTAGCCGGTTCTGGTGACAGCTACTATTGGCGCAGCGCCTGTAAGTGTACTAGTCGTTCTGATCTTCACTATTTGCATATCACTGTGGATGTAAGTCTCGCCGCTGCCTGCCTGCCAGACAGGTGATCCTGCAAACTATGCAATCGTGAACCCACACTACTTCAAGTCATCTAGTACGCCTACAACTTAGAGAACGGGAGTACTCACAGGTAGTACTCGTCGGAGTCGGCATCTGGCAACGAGATGGGGCGGTCATCGGGTGAGTCACAGTGTAAACTTCTCCGCGGCATGTCGCACGCATCCAGGTACCCCACACCCGTCTGGCCATCGCCACCCGCAACATGACCGCGGTCCTCATGAGCATGGGGCGTTCGTACAACGCCGGCGTAGCGAGTATAGACTCCGCTGCTGTCACCGGTGTCGTATACAGGTGCATTGGTCCAGGTTGGGATCGATGGCTGCGAGTTCGCGCCAGTTGTACACCGGCTTCACGTCACCATATGTACTCGCCGTTGGCCGCGAGGTGCCAACGTGTGTGGCGGCGTTCTGGCACGGTCGTGGGTGGAGCCTCCGGGTGAGTCTATGGCTGGTTCAAGGCGATCATTCCCCAGGCCTATAGGGTGATCTGAGGTTCTGAGGAGGAAGCAAGCTCGCGAAAGCGTGTGGGGACTCGCGAGCTTCGTGGCGCTGCGCGAAGCGCTCGGGTGTTGCCGATTTTGAACGATGACGTCACCACGCTCGCGTACGCGTCGGCGGTCCAGCGGGTCGCGACACACAGCTTGCCTCTTGCTACCAGCTGGGCTCCTCTCCGGCCGCGTGTTTGCAGTACTGCTATCATCTTATTCACTCTTTTCGAGAGCTTTATGAGATCGATATCGATATGCCCGCTGGGACTCCTAGCTAGTCTTTCGTGTCAGTACAACATCTGCGAGTCTTCCAGCTTGTAAACGGCTAGTTTGGCTTTGCGGTCTTTGCTATCCAGGTGAGTATACTATCTGTGACTACTACTCAGAATGCACTGGCAGGTTCGTGGTGCCACTAGCAGGCCCTCACTTACTAGGTACCGTCCCTGTGCTTCAGGTGTCGTTGACCCCAATTCCTCCTCGTCTGCGCGGTGTTACTGTTCTCGGGGTACGTTTTACCCTTCTCTCATACGAATGCATCGAGTTCGGTTCTTCTCTAGCTGATACAGTTATCCTGCTACAGTACGCTTACCCCACGACCAAACGGTGATGCGTGATGGTTTATCTACAGCATGGCGACGTCCAACATTCCCCGCCGGTTCAGACTACAAGCGTCACGGCGTCCTATCCGCAGGCCCCTCTTCGTCCCGACAAGCATAACACCGTGCCGCATCTTCCGCTTTACCCCATTTACGTCTCGCAAAGGCCGCGGCCGAAACTGAACGACCTCTCGAGCAGAAGATAAGCTATTTATGGCCTTGGTGAGTCGTGCGCCTACATCCCCGATACCGGGTGTGGTGTCGACGGGTGGCTCTGGGCGGCGCCGGGGTGGAGTTCGGCTCAGGCTGCAGCAGTCGGGTGGCCCAGAGCGGCAAACGCTTTGGCGAGGAGCTGTCAGGTCGTTCAACGGCGGAAAATTGATTCTGGAAGCATCAATTGTAGGTGTGGCACAAACATGAGAACCGTCTAGAGTCTTTTCATTCATCGTACCCCTCCCCTTGTCCTCCTCCTCCTATCATATATACTGATTATCGCATTCTGAGTTTCATCTCCGCTCCAGGTATCAGTGCCGTGGCTGTCGGAGCCTTGCACGCCGCCGGTGCTGGTTTACAGCAGGAGACAAACCTGATGGAGCTTGATTAGCGAGGCCGTTTTCCTGCTATCCGACAAAGAAACGTACCCCATCCAAGTCCGGAATGTCCAACGTGACGCAGGTGTACTGCAGGATGGGAGCGACAGCCCCAGGGCAGGCCCCACACTGGGCGTCGGTTTGGCATAAGAAGTTGCACCCCGTTCCGCTCGGAATACCGGCAGGGATTCCTGTGACGGCGCCAAGATGCGCGAGCGCGAGGACGAGGCTGGCGACGATAGTGAATTGCATCTTGCTCAACGGGAGCAAAGCACGAGGGTCAATATGGCGGACGAAGCTTGAAGGGAAGGGGGTAAGCGGTGCGTCGCGCACCTGGTTCGTTTGTTAATATGGCGGTTGGAAGGGCGTTGCGGGGAGAAAGCACTGCTGAAATCTCCGCCATTTTGGGGGCTGATTTATAGCTGTAGAGAGTGCCGCCCGGTGAACATACGACATACGGAGATGGAGACTAAGGAGCCCAGCGGAGAGGTAGACACCCAGAGCATGTATGACTCACAAGAGGGGAATGATCCCGCCGCGGTGCCTCGGGAGTACTGTGCCCTACAGCAGGTTGCAGCAGGCTTCAGTGACACCAACTAGTCCAGCAACGAGATCGATATGCGGCGTTCTTGATCTGCCTTGGTCGGCATCTGATCTTTGTATGTGTCGTGTACTTATGTGCGAACCCCTCCACTGCTGCGCGACAGATTATTCTGCAGCAAATGAGTCGCGACTATAGACCAAATCAGAGTCACCGTACTAAAACATGCGTATGAGTACTTAGGTATTCACTCGCAGCTAGTGTTGGGCTCATCGGTCGCGTGGTGACACTCTCCACATCCGGCCCATCGAAGCTTCTCCGCGGCATTGCTTACCGGTCAGAGGAATATGGGCAACACGCATCCTTTGGGACATTGCCGTCTGCATATCACAGCTTGTCCGCCGCCGAGGGGCGACCGTGTGCCTCGTGCCAGTGCGCGCGGCGCTTCCGCGACATACGCAGAGGCACTGTACGTCCGTGGCTGTCACTTCCATCGAATAAGTATACAAGTCATGGGGTGCGAATGGGGGCTGACATGATGTGATCCGAGGCGCCAAATGCGAATCCTCGTACTTTCGGTCGTTCAACCGGTGTCGGCACGTACGTCCGTGGGCGCGGGTGGAGGATCCAGATGAGTCCATCATAGGAATTGCTTCAGACGATATTTGTGCGATCTTTAGAGAGTTAATATAGCTAGTGGCCAGTAGTGTGATACGCAAGCAACAGTACTTGTGTGTCATACACACAGCGCGGCGGGAAGTACGTGGGAAGTACTGTGGCGAGCTGCAAACCGCACTCGGATGCTGCCGAATTTGAAGGATGACGTCATCCCATCAGGCTCGCAACGCGTTCAAGCAACCGCGACTCGGACTTTTCCGAGTGCTCTTGCATCTTGCCACTTCTTCAACCGTCACTGTCCCAGTTCCACATTACATCCAAGCGCTTGCACTATTGGCTCAGAGAGCAGCTGCTAGATCGACCAGGATGGACACCGGGACGCCTGCTAAGGTTGAGTCTTCGTCTTACTCCCAACAACCTCCCCACGTGTACTATGCGTGAGTCTTCCAGCCGTTCGCGGACATGCTGTGCATTCCAAGCGAATTTAGTTCCGTACAACGTCAGAATGACAGGCTGTTTCACGCGCCGTACCGCAGGCAATCCTACCTGCAAGCTGCCTGAAACATATAAAAAACCCATTCGCACAGCGAGTATTCCGTTATGTGACTTTCGGTGAGATCTTGTTTATACTGTAACCACTACCCGTCACTATCAACGTCTCTCGCCTCTAGCCCTATACGGCGCCTACGGGCGCACGACACGCATTTCTCGCCAACTCGCCTCCAAGATGCGGCCGAGAAGGCATCCCTCATACTGGTCGTCTATCGAGTACAGTAAATGTCTGCTCCATTGTATACCGATGCTAAAGCACGCACTGACCCTGCTAGAGAGGCATTCATCCCGCCGATCTCCGGCATGTCGCGCGAATTTCAGCAGGCTGTCGCGTCGCTTCTCCGTGTCCCCTCTGAAACCTCCTCTACATGAGAGCCCGCGAGCGTTCCGGTGTGTGTCTGACTTCGACACTCTCGCCGTTTCCATCGCAGCCGTACTTCTCCATTATATTCATTGTTTGCAAAGAGTGCAGCTAGAGCGTACACCGGAATGCAAGTTCAAGTCGGCCGGATCTACTCGTCTTCCGTGTTGGGTCAACAAATTACGCGTTGCTGGCTAGGTGAGTGTGCATAATATCTGTGAAGTTGCCGATGCGATGAACGAGCACCCATACGACCGTCGAGCGCAGCTCTTCGTCTCGTCAACTAGCCAGCTACCTGCATCCGCGACGACGATTTCCCTAGTATCAACACGAGCCGTGCCCTTCACGCTGGATAACCTCTCGAACTCCTCCGAAAGGGCACAGGTTGGACGTCTATGTCACATACGGCGCAAAGACGAAGACACGGAAAAGGCTTGTACTGGTCTATCCTCGCCACCCATACCTTTCAAGTCCAAAGGGTAAGTAAACCATATGAATTATCTTGGAAGAGCCGCTGTCACTCTGATGACAGTATTACTCTCTTGCAGGATCTTCCTTAACACGAAAGCCCAGCAGCGCTGAGCATCTCAATAGCGAGGAGAGTGAAACGATTGGACGACGACAAACTAGGGACTACTAGCGACGCACGGCCACGTTTCGGAAGACGACCTTCCATTCGTAGACGCGGATACAGGTGTTGTACATGTTTAGCGATTCTTACTCCCCAACACTAAGTATATGTATGTTTTCTCTCATTTTTCTGAAATTAGGACCAGGAAGGAGATATGGTTGCGAGCCGTCCGAGGGCGAAGTGCCGATGCCGATGGTTACGCCGGTTGTTGTGGACACGCACTAACATACGATACGAGTGCGACAAACACAGGAAGATGTCAGTACGTTGTATACTCATGATAATTCAAGGTGCGCACTTTGTATCCATGCCCCAACTGTGCTTACGGAGACGTGGAAGCCGTCTACACGCCCAGCACTTGGCAGACCTGTGTAAATGCACGCAGTAAGTCGTGGAAACGAAGTAGTAATGAGGACGCTATTCATACCGACTGGCCACCCTGAAGAAGAGGCCCGCAAACGGTAACAGCGGCAGGACAAAGTATCCCCACGCAGTCGCTAACGTCAGTGCACGGAGTTACCTCGGGGATGCAGGGCTGAGGCTGGCGAGCGTCGAGGATAGAAGCATGGATCCCCGCAATGCCGATGTGAGCGACGGCGAGGGCGAGGGCGATGAAGGAGCTGAAGTACATGCTGCGAATCGGTGTCAGCGCGACATTCAGGGAGGTTCTGTGGCCAGTTGCTTACATGGTGCTCTGTGACGTTGATTTGTGGGAGGGCAGGAACTGCTGTAGCCGGGGCTCACTTGTGGGGCTTTTATGGTCTCCAGGAGCTCCCCGGCCACGGCCGCAGCCCGACAGTGGACTTCACGATCGAAGTCTGTCATGGCACCTGCGCTGTGCATTGATAGGGCCTAGGCGTTGAGCTCCTTCGACAGGTGCGGGATGGTCCAGCGCGGTATTCATGTCGAAGTCTGATACGCCTCCGCACCATCCTCTGTCAGGCTAGACGGTCATTGACTCGAATTTATTTCACAGGAACTGCGCCACAGTGCGCATACCGTCAATGGCGTAGCGAGAAGCTCGGTGCGAAGACAGTGTGGGCTCGGCATCACTCCATGACCGGCGTGGACGTCGGCCGGACTGAGGTACGCATGAACGGGTTTTCCACTGCGCGAACGTGCGCTGAAGGACTCGTTATTCTATGTATGCGCCAGATATGCTACGACACTGGTCGATCACAAGAGCACTGCACTGCGCTGCAAACCAGGCATCTCGGTAGTCCACAAGATGAATAGTTTACTGCTTCCTCGATTAAACGCAGGAAGAACGTCCGAAAAATATACTTCCATGACTCCCAAGTACAGCGGGCTAGTTGCTTGCGGGACGCGCCCCAGTGTCATGATGTTATGTCGTAAATGGACTGGTGAGTGCTAGGAGTAACGTACGCCGCCGCATCCTCATCTCATGTGGCGCGTAACCATAACTGAAAATATATCTTCAGTGCTTCAAATTCCGTGTGCTCGCCAGAGGGCCAGAACTGCGATGTTCCAGCCATAGTATAGTCTCATCTGTCACATAGGAGGCGGGGCTGCGACGCCAACTGTCTCCGATCCTTGGAGTTTACTGAGGCTCAGCAGTGTTCTAGGGTGCACTCCAATCCTCACCAATCTCAATGAGTCCAACCGAGCTTGTGCATTGTCCAACAGCAGCGAGAGGTGCAAGTCATCCACGACACCACATTTCCTCCCGCTGACTACCGCTACACAACCTTTCCTAGCGATGTCTGAAAGCGCCAACCGGGATATCTTTAGCCTTCCGCCTCTCTTCGCGTCCTCCCTATCCCCGCCAATTCGGAATTCGGCTGGCTCCAGCCTCTACCATCAACGTTCCACCGCCATTATCATGCGCTCGAGCAGAAACAGTTCCATTGTCGAAGGCCCCGCGAGCGGCAGCCGCTGCGACGGTGCCTGCTCTGCACACCAAGTCTGAATGAAGCTTGTGTGACCATGTGGCCGCCCTAGGTTCGTGATCATACTATGTGACGTGCGAAGGAATCTGCCGTACTGACATCTCTGATGCCGGTGCCGATTTTTTCCGTGGCAGCGGTCTAGCGCACTGTAAAGCGTCGCGGTTGGCCAGGACCCTATCACTGGCATCCAAACACTTCGAGTTATCTTGCGAAAGCGATGCACATGCAGAGGAACTGTACTACATGCGAGCCGACTCCGTCCTACAGTGCTACGAGAACCCATGCCAGTACAGTGTGAGTGGATCTCTGAGCCGTCGTATTAACTCTGGCCAACTGATACAGATCCGATTACCGTGCACAGAATAACGGTCAGCAATATAGTAAGGCGCAGATAGACTCCCAACGTATCGTTCTCAGCTGATCTACAGGGAGACATCTCGCAGACACACTGTCACTTCGACGCGGGCTGTTCAGCACGCCAAGATCTGCTGGACCAACCACCGGACGCATGTCGCGCCACCAGCTGACAACCCCGATTCTCGACCAGCTGAACCAGAGCGCCAGGTTCCGGGCGCGCGGAGTTTATATGGTGCACGCGGAGCTCCTCCAATGGCTTTCAATTACGAGAGCGTCCAGGACTCGTCCCGCCACTAACGTCAAGTATCATGCCTTCTCTGCAATATTGTGGTCGCGCGTGCTGTTCGCGCATCACCTGTTCAAAAATTGTCGCCGGTCGCGCAGTGATCCAGCGCATTAGCGACGCCCCGACAGCTTCGTTGACGGCGCCAGATTTCGTGCGTGGTTGTGGGCGGAGTCATTTGGTGGCAGCTTGTTTGACGGGTGTGGGTGCGTGGCGGAACGGTCGCGTCTCTTTTCCCTGGGGACAGCTGATCTGTGTTATTTTTACAGGAGGTATCGGGCCTGGTGGCCCGTGCACACCGCAACGGTGAAGTTTGAGCTGCTGGGGCCCTGTAACACTCTCCTCCCGCTTCACGTAATTGGTGGGTGCTTCGCGGCGGACCTTGTTCCCGTATCAGACTCTACATTGAATCGCCCGATTGGTCGCAGCCCTCGAACCTTCCATGTACCACTTCGCGCAGCACGTCTATTTGTCTCTTTTGCGAGAGAACGTGCACCGCCGGACGCAATAACTTGAGCACACGCGCCACCTCTCGCATTCAGTATCTGTCCAGCAAGGTGCAGTTAATCCATACGACGATAGTCCATTTTTCTCTCCGACGCCGCCGCCACAAGCCAATACGCGCACCAGGAGCGTGTAATCCGCCTTCTTCTCGCAATCTAGGACGTGCTGGCCTCGGGCGCGATGAACGGCGCATCGCGCAGCCGTCAACTAACTCCTACGGCGCGTTCACAGGGTTCAGGAGGATGGCGCCGGCGGCGCCTTTGTCGAGCGCATCAATCCTGGCCATGTCCTCCGGCGCTATCTCGAAGTCGAACACGTCCACGTTGGAGACGATTCGCTCCGGGGTCGCCGACTTCGGGAGAGGGTTGAACCTGTGGAGAACACTCGCCCTCAGGACCCCAGGAACGGGCAGCACGCGCAAACGGGAGACGCACCCTTTTTGCAGCGACCAGCGGACGAGGACCTGCGGGACGAGCTTATTGTACTGCCGAGGTAAGGTGAGCGCGGGTGCCCGAGTAGTGCCGTTCTTCATCTAACCTTTTTCGCGACCTCGTGGAACACAGGGTTGTCGAACTGGCCCTGGATCAGAGGGCAGTACGCCTGCAGGACAATCCCCCGCTCAGTGCAGTACTCCACGATCTCCCTCTGCTGGCAAAACGGATGAATCTGTTCGCGAGATGGCGGTGAGCCAGCAGCAAAGCATTCTTCACTGGCACACTATACCTCAAGCTGGTTGACGGCGGGTGGCTCGAGCCCGGCCTCCCGTATCTCCTCTAGGTGTCCGACGCCGCTGTCAGGTCGTCTGTGAGCGACCCCCACCCACGCGAAACGACGTCCACACGTACTAGTTCGACACACCGACAGAACGTAGCTTCCCCGCCTTCTTCGCGTCGAGCAACGCCCGGTACGTCTCCAGTCGCCTCGCCTTCCCGGAGAGCGGGGTGTGCACGAGGAACAGGTCCAGGTAGTCTGCAGAGAAGTCAGCGGCGCTGAGCCTGCAAACCGCGTCGACATGCTCACCGAAGCCGAAGCGCTTCAGCGACTCGTCGACCGCGGCGAGGGTGCGCTCATATTCGTGTTCGGTGTGCAGGATCTTCGACGCTGTGACTCGTAAGTACAGTTGTCGATACAGGATGGGATATTCTCGCACTTACTGACAAATATGTCCTCTCTAGGGATACCGCTGTCTCGCACGGCCTGGCCAACCTCCACCTCGTTGCCGTACACTCTCGCCGAGTCGATGTGCCTGACATACATTCAGTCGCTCGCAAGCTTCCCACCGACTTCAAGACCCCACGAATGTGCCTACCGGTATCCATGCTTCAGCGCCACGGCGCATGCGGGGATGCATTGATCGATGTTCTGCCATACTCCGAACCCGACCAAAGGCATCTCATAGCCTGCCCGGGCACCACAAAGGTCAAGACGGACGATGGTGTGATCGCTGCTGAGACTGCTCACCGGAGGATAGCCGTATGGTCGACGCAAGTGTGAGAGCATGAGTAGTCATTGCCGTAGATGTTTGCGGAGAGGCGATTATACTCAAATCTATGGCCAGTAGTTGCGGGAACTCCTGTGCGCGGACCCTTTGTCTTTATACCCATAGTATCCGCTATCTCCCCAGCGTCGTCGCGCATGCGCGTTCTGAATACATAGGATCAGTAAGCTTTCACACAAGAGAGATTTGAAAGAATGCCTTCCAATTATTCTTGGCCGTGTAGGACACGAACGGCGATGGCGTGTAGAGACTAGTCATCACGAGGCAGAGAGGGCGTAAGATGGAACGCGTAACGGCCTAACAAGGCACAAAACGACACCAGCAGGATTTGAACCTGCGCTCGGAAACCGAAACAGATGCTTCGTAATTCGAATCTGTCGCCTTAACCACTCGGCCATAGTGTCTTATTGCTGTCTCTGAGGCAGTACGTCATCAAATACAATATGTCTTATGAGCGTCGCAACTGCAAGCAAGAATGTTTTCAAGAGAAGACTGCGCTATCCCATAGGGACACCTGATTGCAGCTCCACACCGCTGGAGTCGACAGCATTGTAGAGCTTCATAAAGTCATCGGATACAATCGCGATACTTAGTAATCTCCAACTTGAAACTAAACATGTTCACGCTCGCACTGCTTTCCTAGGTTGCGAGCGCGCGGGTCCCCCGGCACAACCCCGGTGTGCTGAACGAAGTTGGATACCTTGTGGGGGAACGCGGGAGAATGGGGGTGCTCCCTGCTGAGAAGCATACCGACCCGTAGACCAATCACGAAGAGCTGCTCACTGATACTACATTGCTCCGGAGAGCGAAGCGCCTCCTCGGTCGTTCGAATACTGTACATTGCACATTCACCGTGCGCCGCATACTGAGGTCAGGCCTCTACTTCAAACAGCCACTGGCCGCGTACCGGCGAACGTCTGCAGGTAGTCAACGCGGTACGGGTTCTCGTCCGTCGCAGGCCCGCGGAAGTGCGCCTCCCATCGCGGCTGATCCTAAGTTCGAGTAGGGTCAGATACCGAGGACGACAGGAAAGCGCGAATTGGCGCACCTTGAAGAGCCGCAGCGTCTTCGCGCGCTCGTTCTCATCGAGCGTGAAGCGGTGGTAGATCCCCGAGGGGAGAATGATCATGTCCCCCGCCTCGAGGTGGCACCGGACCCACGCATCCGTGGTGTACTCTGCGATAGAAACTTATCAGTACTTGTGAACCCAATCGTTGCAATCCGCATGGTAGGCGACAAACTTACCGCGAACATCAAAGAATCCGCTTCCCTCGAGAAGGTACCTGATCTCTTCGTCCTCATGAATATGCCTAGTACGCGCGCCCAATCAGATCATCGTAGTTTGGAAGCAATAACATGTTCACTCACTCCTTGAAGAACATGGCCATCTTCGCGTCGAATTCACCCCCGAGCGACTCCCGGCTCGCGGTCACCACATCGCGCGAGCGGTAGTTGCGCTCATCCGCGATCGCGTTGATCTTCTTCTCCCATCCCTCCGGCGAGTTGGTCGGGATGCGCCAGTACAGCACCCCGAGCGCGGCGAGCGTCTCGAGCGCGACGGCACGCCCGGAGTCGTGCGGGAGGTGCTGGTCCCCGGGGACGTCGTCGAGGTAGTACGCACGCATGTCTGCGGCTGAGTCGTCGGTGTTGGTACCTGTGGTGTGGTGGAAGACAAGGATGGCGAGACCCTGCGGACGTGTGTACGATGGAAGCTGTGGCGGTACTTGTTGCGCCACAAACAACGTCGTACAAATGACGACAACTTGCCAGGCCGGAGTTGGTCATCTGGTAGCCGCCGGTCCGGGTTGCAGATGGAACGCCATCGCTAGCTACGATACCATCCATACTCGAACGAATAATTGAGAGAATGAGCGTACGGGGGTGTGCATGCCAATGGCGGTAGTTTGCAAAGGTGAACGTGCGCCCAGAGCGCGCCTAAGGACCTACAGGCGGGTATTGAAATTTCGCCCGATTGGGAAATTTAGTTCGCCCTCCTTGGCGCGCGGCTTGGCTTGGAGTCGTCGCTTGCTTTCACCCACTCACTCGACTCAGCCGGAGATTGTTTGCGATACGCTGTATACCTTCTCAAGCTTTGCAAAAACACGCGTGTGTAGTGGTTAGGCTGCAGCATCATCACCTCTCATCCACGCTCCCTATCCGAAGGCCGTCAAGTCATTTCGCGACCACTGGACTTGCCGCGAGAATTCTTCAACGGCACGTCTTCTGACACTCTACCTGGCTCCTCGGATTTCCAGAAGATGAACGACTTTACTGGGGTTCGTCATGGCTCAACAGCGCCTGCCGTCTACGAAAGTAGCCCGTCTTCAATAACCGGCAACGCCGACGCCGAAGACGTCGAATACCCCGGATCGTCGAACTGTCGGGAGGCCTTACGATTACTCTTGATAAGAAAATTAGAGGCAATGTCCACGAATCCGGAGCGTACTGTATGTCTTAGCGCGTATACACTGTCCGAATGCACCTAGTCGCTTACATCGCTACAGGGAACATGGCAGTTCATGTCGGTCGCGCCGTACGTCAGCTCACCTGAGCGGACCCGTCCTGTCGCCGTTCCAGACGAACTGGAGTCCTTTTTCCATGTCATGCTCTTCTACGCCATCCGGTTCCTTCCTCACACTCTTGGAAACACGGCGCAATATGTCGCGGAGTACTTCGACATCTCTCAAGACTATGGCAACAACAGGCCCCTTTGTAGCGTAGTGAAGTATTGGGTCATGAGATCCGGTGATTTCATGATGCCATCGCTGAATTTCGTGAAGAACAGTGGCGACCCGGGGAGTCCTCTCGACACTCTTATCTACCTCCTTCTCCAGCACTTCAAGGCGAGGTACGAGGTCCTCAAATACGAGTCAACCATCCAGCAAAAGAAGCCCTCAAAGCCTATTCCGACCCCTCCCGGAAGCACCGCCGACGAGGTGAAGCTCGCCCGCCCCCGGTTGAAGCTGCGCACGACGACCCCAGCGTGGCGCCGCGGTCTGGGCGCCGACGTCAGGACGAATTTCAACGTCGAGTCAAATCAGCCCAGCGAGGAGACCAGGGACCTTGCGGAGCGCCTGAACACGCACGACCGGATGTCGGGGCTGTTCGCGTACATACTGCACCCAGAGAACACCTACCCGGACGAATGGAACGACGTTTTGGCCGTGCCGGACCAGCTTATTGCCGGCTATGAGTGCAGAGACGCGTTCGGCTGAAGAGCGGTCTAGCTTTCTGAACGCTCGAAGGACCAACGACGGGGTGGGACGTATCAAGAGCACCGGACTCGACGCGACTCCTGGGACCGGCCGGCCTCTGGAAACGGGGATTTTCCTTTCTTCGACCGCAGTGTCTACCTCCTCGCTTGATCGCGCTCTTGGAGATTTTGGCCTTAGGCGTACAGGTCCTCATCATTTGGACCGGCGTCGCACGCCATCAGCTTCACGTATCCTCCCCTTCGTTTGCTCGAGTCTATGTAGCTCTGACGCACCCTCTTCCATTAAATGTTCCTTTTAGCACGTCGTCGTCGCACTACACCTCCGAAGCTCAGCCTCTCGGTGCACCGACGCCGTCATGTCCTAAAACCGGTGTGTACCGTCCACCTTCTTCCACCGCGTCGATGTCAGTACGCTGAGAGTGCGCTTGATCGATTTGAACTCCTCATGGGTTTCCATGTCAGGTAGGAATTAAGAGACATATGAGCGACTCGTAGTGCGTAAGGGGGATAGTCAGATTCCTAGACCGCGGCGGTGGCTAATGGTAATGATCATCGACGCCGAGCGTCTGTTTCGTTCAGTGCGCAGTCTAGCCGCCGGCGACTTAGCCACACGCTACTTACTCCCGAGCCGCTGCGTGACAGCTTAGATCGCGCCCCATATCTCGAACTTGAACAGTATCCCTTCAATCTCTTGACTTATCCTGCTACTTGCTCAACATGTGCGACTCTTCTAGCGAGCTGCGCGAAGCACAGAACGACTGGACACTCGACGCAAAGCCGCCCTACAGGTTCGAGGAGAACGCCACGCAGCCGAAGCGCGCCGTAGGTCGTCACAACGGCTCACAATAGGTTTTTGCTAATCTTTTCCTAGGGAACATGGCAGTTTATGTCGGTTGCGTGCGTCAACTCGCAATGTACACGTCCTCTCACCGTTGCGGACGAACTGGAGGCCTTCTTCCACGTACTTCTTTTTTACGCCCTCCGATTCCTACCCCACACTCTCGGCGATGGGGAAGTGGGGCCGTTCATTTCGGAGTACTTCGAGGTCTCCCGGGACGGCGGCGCCGGCAAGCGTATGTGCGGCTTAGACAAGTCCGCCGTCATGAATTCCGGAGATCTGCGGTCGCGCTCGATCAGGTTTAGGAAGAGCTATCACGATTTGGGGAGTCCTCTCGACACGCTTCTTCACCATGTTCTCCGGCACTTCGGAGCAAGATACAAGATCATGGCCTACGAGCGGACTATCAAGCAGAAGACCTCAGAGGACAACGCCACCCCTTCCGAGGTCGTTCCAAAGAGGCCGCAATTCACACCCGCACGGTACGAGGATACAGAGATGCCGTGGTGGTACAGGGATGACCGCCCCCCGCTTAGTCCTCGAGCCGGGCCCCGCCCACCGAACGAGGAGACGAAGAAGCTCGCGGCGGATCTGGACGGGCATCGCAAGGTGCTGGGGGTTTTCGGGAGCATACTGTACATGATGGACAACCATCCAGCGGAATGGTACGACATCCAGGCCGTCCAGGACCAGCTCCGCGACTACTAGCGCACATCACACACACTTCTCTGAGGAGTGGGGTAGCTGCTCGAGCATGCGGAGTGGCTCGACTTCGCGTTCCCTGTCAAACGGTCTCCGGAAACGGGCACCTGCCTACTTCGGAAACAGTAGCTGTCGGGTCGGTATACGTATTGTACGTCGCGGCGTCCACTCTAGTATCAGATTCAAGTATCTTCACTCCATGTGCTAGGCATCTTTGTAGCTCTTAGGCGTCCTTATTACAAATATCGCCCTACGGTAATGTACGCCTTAGACACTCTACACCCTAGCCTTTCGATGCGGCGATGCGGACATGCTCGAGTATGTATATCGCATCCGCCGCCTTATATTGCCCCGTCACTCCGAGTGCGCTGTCAGTCCGCGCGATCGGTGGGAATCACAGTGAACGGATTATGATGATTTCTAGGCAATAATTAGTGAGCGGAGGAGACTAGTAGTACTTACCATGAATTATAATATCTCGCGTGCCTTTGGCACAAGATTCACAAAGCGCGGGTTTAGATTCGCTGGAGGTGGAGGGGTCGAAACTTGTGCAGCTCAAGACCAGGTCGTCGGTCATGGGGACAGATTACATCCTGCTGAAGAGCGCACCTGGATGAACGTGTCGTTGATATGTCGCGTCGTATTCGGCGCCCGCACGGTCTCGGAGGAATATTGCTTCTTCGAACGCAACTCTGAGGCTGCGCAGACAGTACAGCAATTGAATTTGGAGACAGCTGCCGGGAACTGCGGGAGATGCGCACCGCCGCCTAGAGCGCGCGACGAATACCAGATTGTTCGGATAGATTGTGCTTTCCGGCGAGTCTGTGGCCATAGCCAGTCAGTCAAGCGCCATTGTGTGGTGGTGATCGGGGCTTGAGACACGAGCTGCGATGTGACGATTGCAGAAGACGCTTCCATTATCTAGACCCATACCTGGCTCGCCATATCACATTGGGCGGGGTAGGACAATGCCTCTAGGTGATATGTGCGGGATCGGTCAGCATCATTCGCTCATGCGTAGCGAAGGAAATGAGATTAAACGTACTCGCAATCGCAGGCACATTTTCCCGTGGTAGGCATGGGGAAATTACGCTGCAAAATCTAGAGACTAGGCACGAATGCTTGAAATTCATCATATGGTCGCCCGAGGGAGACAGCTCCGAGCCGTCGAAGTCAAGCGTGACATGGACATCTG